AACAATGTTAATACAAACACATTCTAAAAGTTATAAGCATTTTAGAAACCCTTTCCTAGCTATGAAACAACTGTTATTTATAATAAATCAAAAGGCCCATTATGTCTCAGAAATGCTTTTATTTATATTTCTAGAAGGCTTTTATTTTTTGATTTTCTGTTAAGTTTTCTAAAAGCTACTAATTGGTCAATTATTTGAACCATGTTTCGCTTCTATTGCGTTTTGGGAATTAAAAGGGGTTATAGTAGTTGAGTATTTCGTATGGAAGTCAAAATACGTCTTTGTTTACGTTTCGAAACTTTTAAGACAAATAATTTTCTATTCAGTGCTACTTTCATTAGTGAAAATCATCTAACGTGTTCATAAACCACAATGAAATTCATTTTGTCCCTTCGGATGATTAGGAAAATATTTGTGTCTTAGGCATAGTGTGCCTTTCAGATTCATACCAGTAAGGTTGTATATTTCTAATTCATTTGAAGTCAATATGTCAGAGTATTTAAATATCTATGATCTAGACGACAAAGAGTGATAATAAAAGAATATCACTATTACAAAACATTATAGCAAACATAGTCGTACAAATCAATTTACTTAACCGAGAAGTATCTTTGGCCCAAGTAAAATCTGTTAACATGCATATAAGGTTTTTAAGTTTTGGATACATGTACAATATATACAAATGTTATAAAAGTTTGCATAACAATGACAAAATAATTAATTGTAGCTAAGAAAAACATACAAACAAGATTTTGTAAACATAGAAATTAAATTTTAAGCATAATGATATCTCTTCAAAGTAGGCAAACTTTTATTTCACCGTTATTTTTTTAGATGTCCCTATTACTTTTTATGCCTTTTACTTTATACATTTTGTAATTATATGCAATATTGACAGTATCATTCAAAGAATCACATATGCCATATTTTAGAACGCTTTAAAATTTTACTTGAGAATGACTATAACTACCCTAACATTTTATTTTAGAATCGCCAATAAGATAATCAGATTTCAATTTTAAAATGACCAATGAAAATTTTTCCCTGTAAATTTAAATGGATTTTAGACGTCCTTCGGTCGGAAATTTAACATTAGAATGATAATAACATGATATCTATATTTAGTGTTTCCCCATACTGTTTAGTTACATAGTATCCTACATATATTTTCCGACTTTCTCGCAGATAACATTGCATACGGAAAAGATTCACGTTTCGACAGTAATATCTATCCACCTCGCTTTTCATACTTAGCTCATGATAACAACCTATCATCGTCAGCTATACGTCTGATAAAAATATTGCTGCACCTTGGTGGAACATTTGGTTACCGGAGTACACAACATTCAAAAAACTTGAGTTTGTCACTAAGGAAAGCCATCTGTGTAAGTTAACTTTTAAAGTTTTTTCTGCGATAAAAGTGTAAAATATATTGTTTTTGTATAAATGAAATTATAAATTGCACCAAATGTGACTGTAAAACGAGCCTCATTGTAGTCATAATTATTCAATAATGTAAAGAAATAAATTTTGTTTATTTTGCTTTCTTTTAATTAAATACTGTCAATAAGCATGGTTTTTGATACTTTAGAAAAAAAACTAGAAATGTGTCGTCACGCCACGGAGGCCCCCGCATACAAGCAAAATTTCAGATGTTATAATATTTAGTTCCAAATTTGTTTGCACAAATATTTATTCATTTTAAGTTCAAAGCCCTTAAAACTATTCAATGTTAACACAAACCATTTTTATACAAACTTCTAGGCACTGAAACTATTCAGTGTTAACCTTTCGTTACTTGCATATTGCATATTTGTAGCCAAAATAATGGCTACATACATTTCCACAAAAGTATGAGTGCTTAACCTGAAAATTCCAAATTTTTCAAACATTCAAGACAGATAACTTTGTCCAAAATCGTTGAACCACGACCAAATTAAAACTTGAACTGCCTATTTCTTAGACGTATCTATATGTCATATTTGAGTTGAATGTGTACAACCATTTGGGAGATAATGAACGTAAACTTAAAATTTCTGATTTTATTTCAAAGTTCAAGAGGGATTATTTTGTCAGCTATCTTCAAACCATGACCGAATTCGAAATTGACCAATGCATTCTTATGACATATCCATATCTTTAATTTGAGTTGAATATGTACAACTGTTGGGGAGATAATGAATGTGAACTGAAAATGTCTTTTTTTTCAAAGTTAAAGGGGCATAACTCTGCCAAAAATCATCGAACCATAACAAAATTCAAACTTCACCTGCGCATTTCTTTGACGTATCCATATGTCAAATTTGAGTTGAATGTGTAACACCCTAGAGGAGATTATGAACGGAAACTGAAAATTTCATATCATTTTCAAAGTGAAAGGGACATAGCTCTGCCAAAAATTATCAAACCATGACAAAATTGAAACTTGACCTGCGCATTCCTTTGGCATGGCATATCCATATGTCAAATTTGAGTTGAATATGGAACACTGTTGGGGAGATAATGAACAGAAACTGAATTTCATATTATATTCAATGTGAAAGTGGCATTTCTCTGCAAAACGTCATTGAACCATGATCAAATTGAAATTTGGCCAGCGCATTCTTTTAACGTATCCATATGTCAATTTTGAGTTGAATGTGTAATACCCTAGAGGAGATAATGACAGAAACTTTCAAAGTGAAAGGGGGATAACTCTGCCAATAATCATTGAACCATGACCAAATTCGAACTTCATCTGCGTATCCCTTTGACGTTTCCATTTGTCAAGTTTGTGTTGAATGTGTTATACCGTTGGGGAGATAATGAACGGAAACTGAAAATTTCATATTATTTTCAAAGTAAAAGGGGGCATAACTCTGCCAAAAATCATCGAACCATAACCAAATTCGTACTTGGCCTGTATTTTTATGTGTGCAACCGTTACTAAGATAATGAACGTAAACTGATGATGACAGAATGACGGAAGGACGGAATGAAGGAAAAGGGTTACACTATATACCCCAGCCATTATATGGCGGGGACATTAAAATTGTTGTTTCATGTTATGATTTCAAGTATGTTTATTTAAAATACATAATATAATTGATATATATGTGACCCCGATGTATTTTTGCCTTGCATAAATAAAGAACAAAACTGAGGGTAATACTGGTTTGTTGATTTAATATGTAGTGGACATTATTTATAACAGGATACACAGAAGATTCTAACATTAAACATTATTCATTATTCATTATACAACACACACATTATATTACATTACATAACATTAAGCCCCGAAAGTATAAATATTAAACATATCATACTATTACGAAATACATGTATATAGTTTTATACACATTACAATTTCTTAAATATACTTAATTTAATATTTTATAAACAGATTAGTTTATAGGAATAGTTCATTTATTATATTCCATTAAAATAAATTATGTACACATGAAATACATTTTTAAATGTAAATTATCTTAAACCTGCATTCAGTGACCACTTAATTATTTACTTATAAAACAATATACAATATATGCATAACTTAAAAATATAGATGTAGCTTTAAAACATAAAAACAATGACAAAAAATATTAATAAAACATACCAATTGTGGATAAGACTTTGCAACTATACCTTTGTGACTCACACTGTGATATTAGCTTTGCACTGCAATTACTGTAAAATACAAACATTAGTGCATAACAAATAGAAACTGTGATTTCTAGGAATAACTATAAGATAAGAACATATGCTGCCATTTTGAATTTTAACACTTAAGAACAATACAAATTTATTAAAATAACATTCATTAAATTTTCAACTATATTTAATTACTATAAAATTTTATTTAGTTGACATTAGAACTTTTAAGAACAAATGTATAAAACATACAAATTTTTTAATTAAAATTTTTATTAATATTTTTATTCATTTATAATAAGTAAAGTTAACACCAACAACTTTTATAACACAAAAAGTAACCTAGAATAACCCTAACTTTAAAAGGGAACCTTTTTAAATAACCAAATAGCAAATGCGGTGTAAGGGACATAATAACACAAATTAAAATTAAACAGGGTCAACAAAGTTACCTTTCTTAAAAAATAGCAAAAACCTTAAAAATAGCACTTGGTTACATATATACAGGTTAATGTTGAAATTTATGCTAGCATATCGAATGGGTATTGCTTCTGTTAACATTATACACGACATTTGAATATTAAAGGATATGAAACTTTGGACTGCATTAAGCTAAAAAATCACCTTATCAGAAACCTTTATTAATTGAATGACATTTTGTTTTTGTATGTAAGCATCGTGAATGAAAGACTTAGTTTTGGTGAAGAAAAAAAACCCACCAAAAACATTTATTGAAGGTCAAAGACATAAAGCCAGCATAGATTTTGTTTTATATTCCCTTTTGTATACATGCACAATGGAATGACGCAATGATGCGGGTAATTAGAACACTGACATAAATGTAAATAGTTAAAAGACAACAGCAATTCGTTATATGTTCTTGTGCGCATTCAATTAAAAATGTTAAGACATAATTGTTGTAATTGTGGTCAATTTCTCTATTCTCTTTCTTGTTTGGTCATTCCTAGCTGAATAACGTGTATTTAGCCTTGTTTCCCTAATTTGCCTTTAAACAACAAATTCCCTTTTAAACTTAGTTTGTATTCTCCCATTGTTTTCCTATTAAGTCCATATGAATTTGCACTTGGCCATCCGCCGCTTTTCACAGAAAAGCACAAAATGTCGTTATATTGAACGTTCCATGATGATCGCCGTATGAAGATATCTGCGGAATCTAAATACAAAATGTTTCCTTTTTTGTAGATGTTGAATACTGTTAAAGACAGTCTGAGGGTACGTAGACGGTAGTTAAAAAGTAAATTAAAGCAATTTTAAAATGTCTTTTATTTGAGCAACATCATAATACAGATTTTATATTTCTCAGAAAAAAAAAAACAACCCTAAACAGTTATGCATTTATCATTTTGGAATATCTTTATGTCAATATTTAATTTGTAAACTTTTAAATTCTTATGCTATATTTTTATCATTATATTGGAATTAATTTCAGGGGTATTTAACAGAATGCATACATTGCATCACATGGTAAGTCAATATAAATTGACGTATTACATAAATTAATTCATGAATAAATGAGAATGACGGTCACTGATACATATAACTCGTAGTCCAATTTTGATTGGTATCTTTTCTCTTGTAAATAGATATTTTATAAAATCGTACACTACCACCAGCATCTTTTGTTTGCACGGACGTTCTGATAATGATGTATTATTGTATGTTTTTCATTAATATGATTTTCAGGCCCAATTGATAAAACCTTGGAAGATTTTTGGAGAATGATCTGGGAAAAGAATGTTTCTACAATTGTTATGCTCACTAAGTTAGTGGAGGGAAGGACAGTAAGTTGCAGGAATAAAACAAATTTTTTAAAGATTCATGTCTTTCAGATTTAAATGTTAATAAAACTTAAAAGGACATTTTATCAGCTTAGAAATTAGCAAATGATACGTGACATCTGTTTTGAAAAAAAATATTGACATCTTAGTTTACAAAACAATATATTTAAAAGGGTCTTACAAATTATTATGTTGTATCTATATATCTGTCTTCTTCGACCAGATAAAATGCACCCAATATTGGACAAAAGAGGGCACCAGTTCTCAAGTAGGAGACATCATCATATACACAGAAGCAGAAAATGTTTTTTCCACCTTTACTGTTAGACGTCTGAGAATTTCAAATGTGGTAACGTACTTAATATTTACCATTCTTATCGTTTAAAGCTGCATGCCTCCAGATGAACAAACACCTTTAGAAAAATTAACTAATATTTTAAGATACGTAAGAATGTTTATAATTCAAATAGTTATTTACTTGATTTTTGCTTTGGTAAAGGTGGATTTGAAGTGCCGCTAGTAATTGGGTGTAAATTACTTTATTTGTTCACTTGAAAATATTTTACTTTTTATTCTAACACGACCCGCATTTTTCCCTATTGAACATAGAAGAACCGAAAATGTGTGTTATTATGCTATAAAATCACTGTTTGACGTTCTATATTTAGACATGTGACGTTATCATTATACACGTGACGTAACCACTAAAAATATTACGCGCTGACAATAAGTACGGGCAATTAAGCTAATTATAATGTACGGCAGCATTTATTTGTTGATGTCGTGTTAGAATCGAAATAATATATCCAAATCGGTGATTTTATTGCTTGAGAACATCACTGTTTGTCGTTCAGATGCGCATCATTATATCACTCGGGCTACGCCCTCGTAATATAATTCCCCGCATCCGAACTCAACACAGTGATGTTATTGAGCAATAAAATCACAGTTTTGGAAATATTATTTCTTAAAGACATTTTCAAAATTTTTATGAAAACTAGCATTATTCTGGAGCCATTCTTCCATAACTTGCTGGGACCGAAAATGATAATCATTTGATACCGTGCACTCGAAACACACTCTATACTCTTAGTAGCTCAATGTTTTACCTTGATGTAGATTTACCTTAATGCTCTAATCTGGGTAATCAATAAAGAAGGCAGAGCAAATCAATAACTTTTTAATTCACCAGACAGGTGGTAAATATGTCTACGATACTTTAAGTCCTTAAAATCATGGATAAAATAAGCATAGTAGAATATTCTTTCATTAGAAATATTATAAAATCTACACAATGTTTTCTGTAATATAAAAATATTCTATGACTGATACTGTATAAAACACCGAATAAATAAATCCTTGTTCAATAAACAAGCGTTTTCAAAAGCAACGTTTTGATATTCAATATTAAAAATTCAGAACAAACAGAAATACAGGTAGTTATTGAATTACTTTATCCACCTTGCAACAATTAATGTATACCTACCAAACTGCACTGTTTTATATCTTCAGAATAATCCTGACAAAGAAAGGATAATCACTCAACACCACTATACAGCCTGGCCAGGTTAAAATACCTGAACGTTATAAAAGAGGGGATCCGTTGGGAGCAGCTAAAACACATTCAAAAAGTAATAATTGTAGACTCACTCGGCGGGTGCTTGATTGAGACAGTTCATAGGAGAAAGTATACAGAGAGGACAATTTAAAGATTCATTGTCACCGGCTTAGCAATATTCAATGTTCAATTTTATCAAAAGGAAAAAAAGTCCGGATAAAAATATATTACAATGTAATTTTGTTTCAGTGCTGGAGTCGGACGTACTGGGACATTTATTGCAATAGACAAGCTATATGATCAGGCCACCGATCAAGGGTTTATAGACATATTTCAATGTGTGAAAGATTTACGAGAGCAAAGAGTTAATATGGTACAATCAAAGGTTTATATATATCTCGATTTTTATTGCCTGTCCTAAGAGCACTTTTTTATTCTGTACAATTGAATTATCAAAATTTCCTAAACCTTTTCCAAACAATTTATGTTTTTTTATTCCTTATTTGCTCAAATGTCTAATTTATGCTATGGGAAATGCGTTTTTACTAATAAGAATTTGCAGTAATGTTTGACTTTTCTAGTATCAAATATTTCATTTTGTTAGAACCAGTACATGTTTTTACACAAAATCATGTTAGAGATTTTGGTTTTGTGGTCACCTCCCGTAAAATGTGAAAAGTTTATTGATGCGTATGCTGAGCTTACTAAAGAAGATGACGTGACGCACAAAACAAAACTGTTGTTGCAATTTGAGGTTTGCTACCTTTCTTATCTAATATTAAATGTTGAAAAATATTTTTGTCATGTTATAAACGTAAGACGGTGTTTTGGTTTATTGACCCACCTACCGAATCTTTGGCCCAAATGGTTAAATGTTTTTAGGTTTTTAGGAAAGAAATGAAGCGTAGACACATTGTCTTCGAGAAAAACAAAGATATGTAATAAAAGTAAAAATGTACATGTAAAAATATGAAACATGCATTATCCTTGAAGTCATATGTTATTATCTCATTTTAGTTCTGATACAAATTGTTATTTCTATTATAAAGCATGCATAGTTTTATATATGTATATGTATATATATGCAGGAAGATCATTGTTGTTAAAATTTGCTTATGTACAGTCATATTGCTTTCTTTTTTCATTTTAAATAGGCTTTAAAAGATGAAACATTAATAGAAAGTCAGTCAGAAGAAGGTAACATTACTTTTTTCTAATATTTTAATAGAATTGTATGATATATTCGTCTGTGTCCTGTTTGTCATGACTTTGCTCATTTAACTTTTGTCCATATTTATACATATTTTATTTGTGTTATTGGCGTTCAACAATTAATATAAAAACGCAATTATTGTTCTGGATAAAATAGACATAAAAATAAATTTTGTCCAACCTGATGAGCAGGTGATTTACAAATAAGCTTTTCTTTTGCATTATTATGACAGCATCACATTATAAACATCCTTATATAAATATTAAGAAAATGAGAATTTGCCAAAGTTTCACAGTGAAAAGTTAGTTTATTAAAACATCAGATTTGACTTGATAATATCATCACAATTATTGCATTGTATACTTGTATGAATCTGCGTTTGATGTAAGTTGAGAATATTATTGTTATTAAACAGAGTTACACGACAGATAACAGCTTCGTCCTCTCGCCATTTGACAGCAATGCGATCCAATACTTGCAGTTAGTAGACAAGCAGGAGGTTAATCTAATAGTTGCTTTATCTAAAGACACGGATGAAAAGGTATATACTTGTACATTCAGGTGCCTTTACCTGACTGAGATTTGATATATTGACAGCTTTCTCGGTTTGTCAAGCAAAAGTATGATTATAACAAATACCGGTATTGTTTCTCTTTGTTAAACGGTAATATATTATTTTATATAGTTTATACAATGTTTTTATATTAATTGATAGAAATAGTATAATTGTTGTTTCTATATTTTAGGAACGTGTTTTAAAACAGTTTGAATATAAAAGCTCTGCATATCCGAATGATCCACTTGATATGCTCTTGTGAGTGTATCTTTAATTTTTATTATCGAAACAAGAAGACTCCCTTTCAAACTTATCTTAAAAATTTTTGTACTGATTCTGTACTTTTGGGTTTCCCAAAATCCCACTTTGGGGGTTTTTCTTCCTCCAAATAAATTTCCAGGTGAAAATGAAAAAATAAAGCAAATAGCTTTTAAAAAATATAAAAGGGTTGTCAAAATTACTGTTTATTTTATATTGAAAATTTTTAAGAAACTTGAAAACAAAAAACATTTTCCCGTGTTTTAAAAAAATGTTTTTTTTTCCTTTTTTTGTACCAAAATAAAATTTTAAAGGGGGAAAAAAAAGGGTCCCAAGATTTAAACTTTCAGTCCTTGTTTTTTTCTACATTGTGTTTAAAACAATTTTTTCTTTATATCCGTTTCTTTTGAACATGTCCCTAATATTTTTTGGAAAGCTTGAAAAGAGTTATAATTTCAATTTAAATGAAATCGTTCTGCTGATGTCGATTCGTAAACTGGCCCCTAAAGATTGGTTACAATGTTGGGTTTGGCCCTGTTATGAAACATAATGCCTCCCTTCTTTTTGCCATTTTTTTTTTTGGCCCTCAAGTGTTTCCCCCCTTTTTTCCAAAAAAATAGTTATTTGGGAAAGTATTTATACAAGACTATTAATTATATAAAAGAAACTCATACAAAATGAGTATGGCAATTTAAATTGCTATTTTTATAAACAATTTCAGGGACGGCCGAAATGGAAAGAGGTGGCCTGGAAGTAAGTCCTGGTGAATTTATTTTTCGAAGCGAATCAAATTTTTGACAAATGAAGGTGTCTATTCCCAAGGTGAAATACAACATCTTGAGGAGTTTTCCAGAGCCACATAGTTTCAAAAAATTTTTGTAAGTTGCAAAGTAGATTTGTAATGATTTAACCAATAATTTGAACATACGAGTTTGAAACGTTCTGGCCTTTCTTAGAAATAAAATTCATTCGTAGAAAAACTAATACGGTGAAAATTGTTATTGATATCTAATATTTGTAGCAATGAAAGCCGTTTATGCTGGTTCACGTAAACTTATAATTTAAGTAAAGAAACAAAAACCCAACTATAACAGTACAGTACGCTTCTATGTTGAGAAAGAAGTTTACATGCAAACTATTTCATGTTTGTTTCTGTTACAATGTAACATTTCAAACTAATATATACTTTTATGTGATACCAAAGAAGTCATAAAATACAAATAACTAACACTTCTAAATTTGTATACAGATTTTCGGTTACATAACTAAACCCATAGAGATTAAACGTTAGATAGATTTAATTATTTAAATATACAATTGTTTTTATGTATAATCTTAAGTCCTTTTAAAACAATATTGTTTTTCCGTTTTCAGGATCAGTTTTAATTCTGCTAATGAAGTTTAAGCGTAATATTGAAAAAATTGGGGGCGACTATGAAAATACTTTAGAATAGACATTTTTAAAACCCTCACCTTTTAACTTAAAAGGTGAATTTTATTACGGCCCGTGGTGTCCGCCCGTTCTCGAAATTTAAAAAAACTTTCTACTTCAAAAAACCATTTAAAAATAATATATGACAAATGAAAAACGTCTTATAGATTTTTTAAAGCTTAGATTTTTTTCCCATAAACGAAATCCCCCCTTTAGTTTTTGTAAAAAAATTTCCCAAATTTCCCTGCCTTTTTGGTTTTAAAAGAAAGTCCCCCCCCGGGGGTTTAGAAATTTTCCCTTTTAGATTTTGAAAAGGGTTTTTTTTTTTGAAGCTAAATACGAAAAAAACGGGGCAATTTTTTCATGAAGGGGTTGCCAAATGGTTTCTATAAAAATTTAAATATAAAGACAGCCATTTTTGGGTTTAAAATAAAGGGGCCCTGATTTGGAAAATACTTATTTTTTTTTAAACATAGACTTTTTATTTAAAAATTGACTTAAAAAATTTTCCCACTCCGATTAAAAAAAGAGTTTTACATTTTTTGGGGCATGAAATTCCCCCTTTTTGGGGCATTTTAAAAAAATAAAAAAGCTTGTCCCGGGGTATAAAAAATTTTTGTAAAAAATTGGGGGGGGAAAATTTAAAATTTTCAAAAGACTTATGTTTTAAAAAAAATAATTTAAGAGTTTAGATATTGGACATATAGAAATTTGCCTAGCACACTCTTTAAATTTATAAAATTCATGAAATTTAAAAAATGGAAAGCTCTTAAATGTCACAAAGGGGTTCCTTAGAAAAAATTTTTTGAAAATTTTTTTTTCTTTAAATTTAAAATATAAAAAATTTTTAAAAATATTTTGCATGTGACACCTTTTTTGGTGTTTATGAGGATTTTAAAAATTAGGGGCCTCTGAGGTCAAAATTAGTTTTGGCCTAGTTTATCAACTATTTAAATTTATAAACTTAAAAAGTAAAACCCCATTTTTTTTTTAAAGTTTTTTGTAAAAATAATAACCCCAAAAGACCCTACAGATAGTTAAAAAAAAAAGCATTTTGGGGAAAAATGACAAACCAATCTGCCCAAAAATTAAGTGATTTTAAAAAATAGAAAAAAAAAATTTTTTGACTTTTTTCAAGCATTAAAATATAGCTCACTTTAAGCGTCCGGGCCCAAATCATGGCTCTTTTTTAACATTTTCCCCTTAAAAATAATTTTACACAAAAAATTTTGGTTTTATTCTTTTTAAAATAAAATTTCCACCCCCTTTATCTTGTTTCTTTCCGTTCGGATATTTAGAAACTTACGATTTTAACTTTACATATTAACAGAATTATGTTTCTTGTTTTCTTTTCTGTTATTTTTGTATTAATATTTCATTTTTTAAAATAAATATTTCAAGAACTGAAAGGTTATATAGATGGTTATATTTTTAATTGCCTATTAGGCATCATATTAATATTAATGCATATTATATGCATGTAAAATGATTTTTATTGTCACCACATAACTTAACATTAATAATACCCATACGTTGCTTTACATAATTTTAACTAATTTGTAACAAAAAAATCATTGGTTTAAATAATTTCAATTTAAATTGATTTATAATTTTGTGCATGTTCAAAAACAATGTTCATTGACATTAATGCAAGGAATTATATTAAATCATTTCATTGAAACTAAATTTGCATTCATCAAATAAATGTTTGATTTGTCAAACCGGATGCTTGATATGGGTTTTTTTAATCAAAAATGCGAAATATTGAAACGATCAGCAAAAATTGATTTCAAACCTTAATTTACAATTTTATATTGCAACCAAATGACTTGAAATTTTGCAACCATTTATCAACAATATTTCTTAAACTGCTTGACTGATACCATAAGAATTACCCTTTGGATTATTTCCCGACCTAACCAAATTAGGTTTTTTTTGTATATTGTAAGTGCCGTTTTCAATGTGCAAATTATGGTTTTTCTTCTGTTGACAATAGTTTATTTCTAAAGATATACTCTGCTCAAATTTGATATTGATAATTGCTACAATTATAAAATAAACATGTTTTGACTTCACACAAAGTAGATATGTTATGTTTTAAAGTCTACACACTATAGGTTGCCACAATATAAATATATAGACAAGTGTCATTAAAAAACTGTTTTTTTTAAAGAAACGACCAACTTTATTTAACTTGTAAAAAGTAACGTAGCTTCCCATACGTAGTTTTTTTATTCTTTTATTCTCATTTGACATATTCAGTAAGAATTAAATAAATTTCAATGAATTTCTGTGATTAAAATATTCTACTCAAGGATGAGCATAGTACATTTAAAAAAAATTCGAAAATTATAATGAATCTGGAGGCGCGATGCTTTAAGGTAAAAAAGACAAGCAAGCGATTACTCTTTGCGTATTGAACTTTTTATTTATTAAATAAATGAAATAAAATAAATATAGTATCTACTCTAGTGTTCATTCATTTACTGACGTTTTCTACGCCTGTATCCAAAAAATAAGTGCAGATCTACAATGGTAACTATATTCCATACAGCTTCTTTCTTGAACAAATTAGCTTTAGAAGGTACATCTATGTAGAGATTATTCAAACAAACAAATTAATGGTTTCAAAGACAAATTATATATATTATATATGTTAAGAATATAAATTTGCAAATACACTTGATAATTCTTAAGCAGTGCCTAACAGGACAAATATGAAAGATTTGCACCACTGTGAGAACAAGATCAAGCATTGTAGTCAATAAAGTATAATATGTTACTTCAACTGAAATGATAAAGTGTTCGCTTTGTTTTAATCCTCCACGTGCTGGAACCTCGACTTTAAATCTTTATTACCAATTCAGTCTGACCATATTCTTTAAAGTTAGTAGCTCTTCTTATATTTCACATTGAAATCTTGAAAAGACTAAACTAAATCATAACAGATTTCTGGTAACGTGAGGGCAACAATCAGAATGCATTATCTAAAGAGTTAAAGTAACAAAGACAAAATCAAAACATATATACATTCATTATTGAGCAAAAATTAAAAATTAAATAACTTGTAAAGAAAACAATGAAAATAACATAAACATATTAATTCGTTACAAAATATGATGTCATGTTGATTTCAGGAATAAAATACATGTATAAAAATGAAATAACTGAAAATGTGTAATGAGGTGTAAAGACATATATAAAATGACATATAAACAGGACATGAAAATTATTATTTTTGTTAGATTAAAGTTACATTAAATAAATATGTAAAAATATTTTGCCGTCGGCCTAAAAATCAAACATTCTACAGTTTCATTAACCTGTTTAATAGTTTTGTTGTAAATCTCATCAAATATTGTTCATAAATTAGGATTTTAAACGGGAAACCCCACGGTAACACTTAAGTTCGTATACGAATTTTAACATGCAAGTGAAGACTATAATGAGCTCGTGTATGCGCTACGTCACAGTTTTATAGTTGCTATACGGAACACAGCAAATGTGATATTTTCTTGTGCAAACACACTTAAACCGTTTAAGCTTCACGGTGCACTAAACCTAGGGTTCAGTAAAAGTAATCCTCTCGTAAAAAGATTAAATTTGTATGAAAACATCCGTTACAATGCGGAAATATACCGTTAAATTAGGACTGCCACTTATAGTCATGTTCGTTGATTTAACACTGATGTAAGGATGATCCGAAGGCGGAGTTTCTCATGCAAACAGAAATTGTACTTCCCATTTCGCCACAATGAGGTTACCTATTTTTATGCTAATAAAACTCATTTTGGTTGTTTGGACACTAAAATAAGACTTGGAGTCGATATAAAACCCAATTTATTAATGAAGTGTCGCTATTTAGTTTTTTATGAAATTTATTAAATGTAACTTTAATGGCAATGGCTTACATAAAATAAATATTAGTTCTCAAAAAAGGACTTCATAAAATCATGACACATTCAATTAAGTAAGACAGGGTACAATTCTTTTATAGACACTGTTAATCATTTAGGTCAAATGTTCATTAAAATTTAAACAAAATCATGACACATTAGATAAATATTTTCAAATGCGTTTACATACATTCTTATGCATAAGAAGTAAACAGCTGAAAGTTAACTTTACAATCTTATGGGATAGCCATCAGTTGACATAACTCTTATCCATCTGGATCCGGTTGTTCAAAACATTGGTTAGTGTTAACCAGTGGTTAAATTCATTATCCGCTGGTTAAATTTTGTCTGTTGGATAAATTTTGTTGCTCAAAACTTATCCAGCGGATAAAATGTGTTATCCAGCGGTTAACTTTAACCAGTCCTATGACCACATGATAATGCCCTTAACCAGTGGTTAGTCATCATCATTAAAACAGTAAAAATCATAAAAACTTGTTTAAAACCAGATTTTTCTTAAAAATATATGTTTATTTTTCTTGACTAGAACATTTCATATAAAATGCATAGGATTAAATTGAAACATTTCTGAAATAAGTGCTTTTAGAACCCTTTTTCAATCTAAATTTGTTGTTGTTGTAGTTCAGAAAATTCAGTTAAACAGTCATAACTTTCTTATTCTTTAATAAAACATACAAGTGTCGGTACTCATTTTCTTAGTTAGAACATTTCTCATCTAATGGAAGTAATTTCAATTCAAAATTTGAAAAAAAAAATGTTTTTGATTTTTTTCTTATGTGTGTCTAAGGGAAACATAAATCTATCAATACTTTAATGTCTCTGATATACTTTTTGTTTAATTCCAAAAACAAGAAAGCACAAAACATGCAAAATTATTTTTTGGGAGCTTTTTGATTCTATTAAATTTAATATTCATCAAAAAATCAGCCATTTTGTTTCCAGAATCACTAACCAACCCTGTTGCATTGTGGTACTTAACCAGTGGATAAACACGCTATCCACTGGTTAGGTAGCCAGTGTACTATCCAACTGTCGAACAATGAAATTTTATCCACTGGATAACTGGCCGCTGGTTAAGGATTTAACCAGTGGATAAGCTATCCATTGGCTAATTTTAACCAATGTTTTGAACAACCCAGTCCAGATGCCATAAGTGATAAACCTTTTCAACCAATATAGATCCAGACGACCATGCACATGTCCTACCAGGTAATGTACTTTTATAAAAAATAGAATAAAAAAGCCATTTAAGAATTTAAACATGCTAAGGGATATGCAAAGACAACTTTTCATGATGGTCGAAATATTTTTAAAAACCTTTCCATAGTTCACCATGCAAGTATTGTTCGTAGTCTCAGAAGCAAAATCATGATAAGATATTAACAATGATAGGTCTCGATGAGTTTATAAAATTTTCCTGCTGGTGAATTTACAATATAAACATAACGATGCTGACCTGATTGTGGAAAAGTTAAAGATAATGCAGTATTAGCTGAGAAGTAGACATATTAACTTACAATAATAACTTGCATAAACAGTCACATACAGTAAAAGAAAAGTACTGCAAGGAAAACTTATCAACCCACCATTTGATACTTAAAGATATAATGCAAATTTTACAATGCAATACAAGCTATTGGTAAATGTAAAATATTCTTATTTCTATTTAATGTTTATAAGAGTGGCTTGCCGTCGTATGAACACATCTGCGGATGTTTCAAAATTCAAATTTACACCACTTTCTTGTTTAAATGTTAAATTCTGATTCAGCCGGTGTTTGTGAGCGGTGACGGTAACTTGCACTTTGCCATACCGTCCATAAACTAGCTCAATCAAACCGAGCCTGCAACATTTACATTTTGTCGTTTTGGGCGTTTTTAGGGATTCTGTCTAATCAATAATGTCTATAAATGGTGGCTATAACAAATCACTTTCATTTTCAGTTTGTTACAGGTTAACATTAACTGATCATTCTAGTTCGATAGCGTCGTATGTCCCTTCGTCGTTTTCTGTTTTGGGAGTAAGATTTGTGTAGAAATGGGATTCTCTATTGTCCACAGATGGATCAATTCGTATTGCTGCAGCTGTTTCTGCAATTGTTGCTTGAAAGGTATCGTCTGTACATGCATATGTGCTGAAAAATCAAATCTCTCTAAACGGCTCATTTTATCAAGTGGACTTCAACTTAATTATTATTATTACAAAAATCGTTATGGAATAAATTAGGAAAGCTTTGAAAAACAGATAAAATGCTGTTCTTTATAATTTAAGATATATCTACAGAAGAATACCGAAAATTATAATGAGTAAGTTAAATTGGGACAAACGATAAGAATGCAAGTCTGGATCATGAATTTGTTTGTTTGGATTTACGGCGCCGCACTTACACAATTTAGGCCATATGGCACCATATGGCGCAGAAATAGGAAAATGATTTAGCTAATTTCGGGTGTAACTAAATTAAAACAAAACCAGAAGAACAAAAACAATACAAAAGTGGACTTATAGGAGATAAGGAGACATAATGTGCTTACCTTAAAGGTCGATTAAAAGCCCCACCGGTTCCGTCATTTTCTTATAAAATAATCAAAAATTACCTTATTTGAATTTTTGAAAATTACTTATATTACATGTGTCTCTTATAGATTAGTAAAACATTTGGTAAATTTTGTTGTTCTTTGTTGTTGAAAATCGGTGATATAATAACTGTACTGTACAACTAAAATTATAATAACGAGTGAAGATTTCAGTTTATCATCAAAATTAATATTTGATTAAAAGAATTTACAGGATTCAATGCTGACTTAGTATTTAGATTTACTTGATGTAAGAAAGCTGTTTTAATGTTTAAAATAATGATACATGTAATAACATACCATTTTGCGTCGTCTTACGTTTGAACAATACTGTTATTACTGTTGCGTACACAACAATAATCAAACAAAAGCTCCCCAGACATATCAAAACTAGTTTCAGCTTTGATGCTTCATCATCTCCAGGAATCGGGTCTGTTATGCTTAAAGCCCTGTCTGAAACTTTAAATTTTTAACGTGATAGCATCATAACACATCAAATGACTGTTGCAACCAGTTAACGAACTTCCTTTTTTAATATATTGAGCTATTATTTAGGATTTACTATTATTTAGGATTTACGGCACACAAAACAGTAAAAGTCATATGTTTACTATTAAGCTTTACTGGTGGAGATTATTTATATATGTTAGATATAACTTATTACCATAACACTAAATGTAATACACGTGTATTTCGTTTAATGTAATGCTAACTAGTGAATAAGATCAGAAAATGTCCAGTCCAACCGCTTAGCTCATTAAAGAGAATAGCCATTTTGAAATCCACAGGACGCTGGTTTAATCCTATGGTGAAGCGAAATTTCCCAGTAAGTAATATTCAGACATTGTGTCTAATAGTCGTTTGTCTCTAACCACTCATTCAGAAATAATGTGGGATAAGTAGAAGGACACTTTCAAGGAAATTGATAATTGATGGTTAGTTTTTCTGGAAAGCATGTATGACTGACCATACCTCGAGATATTACCAAAAATAAGATGAAAGGAGGTGTTTTGTTTTGTTTTGTTTTACGTGCACCAACACAATTGAGTTCATATGCGTAAACAAATAAAAACGATTATCAAGTGTCTAGATATAAATATTATATATATCCCGTTTTTATTCATTATTGATCTATTCCAAAGAAATAAAACGTTCTATATGTTCTTATACTTTTTACAATTACATACTTCACGTCTATGAAAAAATACTTGTATTCCAGTAAAGTATGTCATACTCGCATGATTTAAATGCTTCACATATATTCTAAATAACAATTTTATGAAATTTAATTCAATGAACATATTTTATATACCAGATCAAGTTGGTAAACCACAGTGTAATATGATTATTATTAAGAACTCTATTGGCTTTCACCAAGTTACAACTTACACAAACTGTTACTTTTTACGACTTTTTTGACATAAAGAGCCCACGTAATTAAAAGTACGCAGAATTTATATGATTTCAGCGCAAATTTCAAAGTTTAATGTCCATCTTAAAAGGCAAAAAAGATGTCAGCAATTACAACTATACATACCATCTGCACCGTCGGAAGTACTCTTGTTAGTCCCTGATACAATATAATTATGACCGATTCATTAGACATATTCAGCAATTGCGAACTTATGAACTTTCTGAAATTATTGTTTAATTTATAAAATAAATCAGAAAATATCATTTGTTTAATTTTTTTTATGTAATACTTACCTTTTTAACCTGTAATGTGATTCAAAATCCAAAAGTCAAGTGACAAATTAGAAAAAAATGAAAATATGTTACATGCATTGATTAAACCAAAAAAATCTTACCCAATTCACAATATGAGCCTCCATACCCGGCTATACAGCCGTTGATGCAAGTGCCCATTACGCTATTGCACAACGCGTCCCCAGTCTCAGAACATGTACGATTACATTTCTGTTTGCAATCTTTTCCATAATAGCCGGGATCACACTCTGAAAAGAAACAAAATATTAAATGAAAATATAAATTTAATGGTGTTTTCAACTTAAACCTTCAACAACCCTTATCACTACTGCATCATCCTTAAATCCAACTTAATATGGATGGTTTATAAAAAACTCCCATTGTAATAACAATTTTTGTTTAATTGAAATAGACACTGTAAATCCTTTATACTCCAGCACCAAATCTCAGCTCACAGCATTTGAGATAAAAAAGACATAAATTTGAGACAGAATTTGATTTGTTAACTTACAAGTAGTATATCTTATCTACTGCAAGTGAAAAAAACAACAACACATTATTAACTAGAGTCTATAATGCATTTATTCTAAATGATTAGAAAAAAAATTAAAATAAATCCTTTGTTAGAAACGGATGTTGAATATGGTCACACATTGTTAGCCTTTTCTGCCCGTAAATTTCACATGAATGATAAAATAATAATGTATACAAAGATGACACACATATCTTAATTAGGGAGATTTTACTGTTCTGTATATTTTTTAATTCGGTTTGCATTGTCTGTTATGTATAAATATTGTAATGAGCTAATAATTATTTAGTTGAAGTGGTTTTTGATTTATAATTAATATAAATACACAATAAATTACTAAGAACCGCAATAACGTATAAATTGATATACACATTACCGATGTCACATTGTAATGTCGACTTGTACCCAGAACTACACCCGCCGTCACAACTTCCAGTCTCATGGTAACATGGTGAGGACAAACAGCTTCCACAATCATTTGTACAGTTTATGCCCCATTTACCATCGTCACATTCTGTAACAAGTTGACTAGGATAACACAATATGACTTACGTCAAGAACTCAATTGTGGACGGACAAATAGCGATTATAAAAGTTATAAAAGCTCACATATTTACGCAAATAACGATTATAAAAGCCCGCCATCAGCACCTCTCCGACATTGAACATTTTACGTTACATTCAAAGCATATTTGTTTCCAAAGTAACCATCAAAAATCTAAAAAAAACAACATACATAATGTTTTATTTTTTTTTATTACTAGTATAATTAAGTTATTTTTTCTGTTTCATTCAATATATTTAAAGAAGAGCCGGTGGTACAAAAAAATTCGATCTGTTTATTTTCATAGTGAAGTGCCACATGCTTGCATTTTTCTCGGAACCACAAATGTCATTAATGTTAAATCGAAATATTATCACATATTCATTTGTATATCTTATATGGGAACAAATATCAACTAAGAGATGGAGCATGGTATTTGGTTTTCGTCATTTTAGTTATGTCCATTGATGTATGAATAAAACGCATGTAATACACGAATGATTTAAATGCGTCATATATATTCTTAATAGCTATTTTATGAAATTTCAATTTAATGAACATATTTATAAATCATGTTGTTAAACGACGGTGTTAGATGATTATTATTAAAGTTAAGTACTCTATCGACTTTTAAAAACGTCACAAATGAAACTGTTGCTATTTACGACTGTTTGACATAAAGAACCCACGTAATAAAAAGTAAGCATAATTTATTGATTCTCCGCGCCAATTTAAAAGTTGAATGTCCATCTTAAAAGGACAAAAGAAAATTATGTCAGCAATTACAACTATACAGACCCCCACAAGTACTCTTGTTTTTCCCTTAATGCTGAAACAATATAATTATGACCGATTTGACAGATTTATTCATCAATTGCAGACTTATGTGTGAAGTAATTTTAATAAAATAATAAGCCAGAAAATATCATTTGTCTATATTTTTGTATTACTTACCTTTTTAACCTTTTTTATTCAAAATTCAAACATCAAGTTGCAAATTAGAAATAGTATTGCAAGCAATCTATAAGTCCTGTACCGGTAAGTACCCCAGCAAAATTCTGAAGGGCCATTGGTCATTGAATTATGCCACTATATGAATGAATTACATGAATGAACTTAAATCTTTTGAGTTCTTAGTTTGTCTATATCTTAGTACATGTAATATGTTAAGTTTCCCTGCCTAGTAATAAAATTATGTTAATACAACAGGTAATCAAAAAATCCAATATTCTTTCTCAGGAGAATATGAATAACTAATGTTTCAACTTCTCTCTATTCTAAGAAAATTTGTTGGAAAAATTCTTTAAAAGTGATCTCAGGAAACAGTTTTCAGGAACGGACAGATAGACAAACTGACAGACAATCTTTGGGTGAATCTTTATGGACGTTAGATTTATACCCGTGTCATATAATTATGATGTTTGAGTTTCAAACAACTGCTATTGGAATGAAGAAGTTTGAGTAAATGATAATAGTTTCTAGAAAAAGATATCTAAGTTCAATAGGGTTGATGGAAAAAGTCAAGCTAGGGTATTGAAACTTGTACCAAATGACTTGAGTGATATTAAGACACACACACGCCTAGAAATCATCAAAACAAAGTTTCAGACAAATTTCCAGGATATTTGGATCAAAACAGTAGCCACTAGAGTGTTAACATGTTCTATTTTTAGCTCCTGTGACCTTGTTTTTCATACCAGATGACCCAAGTTCGAACTCATTTTAGAAATTACCAAGACACGCATCCTGACCAAGTTTGATGACAATTGAGTCAAAAATGTGACTACTAGAGTGTCGACAAGGTTTTTCCATATTTGGGTGGTGTGCCCTAGTTTTTGACTCCAGATGACCCATATTTAACCTTGACCTAGAAATCATCAAAACAAACTTTCAGACCAATTTCCAGAATATTTCGATCAAAACAGTAGCCACTAAAGTGTTTACAAGATTTTTTTCCTTTTTTTAGCTCCTATTCGAGATGACCCATGTTCGAATTCATTCGAGCAATTACCTAGACAAGCATCCTGACCAAGTTTGATGACAGTTGAGTAAAAAATGTGACCTCTAGAGTGTTAACGAGGTCTTTCTATTTTTAGCTCATGTGTCCTAGTTTTTCATCCGAGATGACCCATTTTCGAACTCATCCGAGCAATTACCTAGGCAAACAGCCTGAAAAAATTTGATGATGAGTTGGTTTTGTTTGTTTGTTTCATTTTACGCCTTTTTCCAACAGTAGATGATTTAGTTAAAAATATGACCATTAGAATGTTAACAAGGTTTTTCTATTTTTAGCTCCTGTTACCTAGTAGTTTTTATCCCAGATGACCAATGCTCGAACTCATCCGATTTATCACATAGAAAAGCATCCTGACATAGTTTGATGGTGATTGAAGCACAATTGTGAACGCTAGAGTGTTACCGAACAAATGTGGACGGACGACGGGCAACGGACATTCAACGATCCTAAAATCTCACTCTGAGGTAGCTCAGGTGAGCTAAAAAGACTTGCATAATCTCCAGGCTGCCATCGTTCCACATATTAAGTTTAACAAATATTTTCTGTACTTTTTGCAATATCGTGGGATCCAGTTTTGTGGACGGATGGACTGACGTCCGGACGGACGGACAGACGGACGGTGGGTAAACCTACAGTCCCCTCCGGTTTAAATCGGTAGGGGACTAAAAGTTTCATATAATGTTTAAATCAAAAATTCTTACCAAATTCACAATATGAACCTTCATACCCGGCTATACAGCCGTTGATGCAAGTGCCATTTACGTTATAGCACAAAGCGCTTCCTATCTCAGAACATGTCCGATTACATTTCTGTTTGCAATCTCTTCCATAATAGCCGGGATCACATTCTGAAAACAAATAAAATATAGACATGAGACTTCAACCTTCAGCTTAACACTACTGCATCATAAATATTTGGTTATCTGCAATTTAGGACCTGAAATATAACGTAATATTGAGATTTTATAAGCCCCCATTGTAACGACATTGTTTGTTTAATCAAAAACGACACTGCAAATTCATCACCCCCAGCACTAAATTTCGCTCACAGCATTTGAGATTAAAAGACATAAATTTGAGACAGTATTTGATATTGTAACTTACAAGTATTGTATTCTATCTACAGCAAGTGAAAAACAAACAACAAATTATTAACTGAGTCTAAAATGAATTCATTTCAAATGGTAAGAAAGAACTAAAATAAATCATGTGTTAGAAACGGATATTGAATATGGTCACAAATTGTGAGCCTTTTCTTCCCGTAAATTTAACATGAATGATAAAATAATAATGTATACAAAGATGACACATACACATGTATATCTTAATTAGAGATATATAACTGTTTTGTATATTTTTTTTATTTTGGTCGTAAGATCTATCTATTACGTATAAGGTTTGTAATGAACTAATAATTTTAGCTGAAATAAATTTTTTGATTATATCAAATATAAATATATAACATATTACCATGAACCGTCATAATGTATAATTTAATTTGATCTTAACATTACCGATGTCACATTGTAATGTCGACTTAATTAGAGATATATAACTGTTTTAATTAGAGATATATAAACTGTTTTGTATATTTTTTTTATTTTGGTCGTAAGATCTATCTATTACGTATAAGGTTTGTAATGAACTAATAATTTTAGCTGAAATAAATTTTTTGATTATATCAAATATAAATATATAACATATTACCATGAACCGTCATAATGTATAATTTAATTTGATCTTAACATTACCGATGTCACATTGTAATGTCGACTTAATTAGAGATATATAACTGTTTTAATTAGAGATATATAAACTGTTTTGTATATTTTTTTTATTTTGGTCGTAAGATCTATCTATTACGTATAAGGTTTGTAATGAACTAATAATTTTAGCTGAAATGAATTTTAAGATTTTATCAAATATAAATATATAACATATTACCAAGAACCGTCATAATGTATAATTTAATTTGATCTTAACATTACCGATGTCACATTGTAATGTCGACTTGTACCCAGAACTACACCCGCCTTCACAACGTCCATTCACATGGTTACATGGTGAGGACAAACAGCTTCCACAATCATTTGTACAGTTTATGCCCCATTTACCATCGTCACATTCTGTTACAAATGAACTATGATGACACAATATCGCTTAAGTAACATAACTCATTTATGGAAATAGATAAAGGGCAGATAAATAACGGTTATAAGGCTCGTCATTAGCACCTCCTTGATGTTACATTCCAAAGCATATTTGTTTCCAAAGAAACAATTAAAAATCTTAAAAAACATACATAATGTTTTTATTTTCATTATTATTTTTTAATCATTTTTTTCTGTTTCCTTTGAACACAGTTATAAAAAACGCATAAAATCTAGAGCCAGTGGTACATACAATATGTTTTTTTTTCAAAATGAAATGCCGCACCCTTGCATTTTTTCCAAACCGGAAATAACATTTATTTTCAATTGAGATATTATCACATTTTCATTTGTATATCTTACATGGGTACAAATATCTACAGGGCACAGAATAATATAGTGAAGAGCATGGTATTTGGAACATGCCATTTTAATTTTGTTCTTTAATTAAGTAGTGACGCATTATAACCAAATATGCAAAATTGAGAAAAACAGAATCCCTAAAGTACGCCCGAAACGAAAATAACAGAGTCAATTTTGCAGGTTCGGTTTGATTGAGCCTGTTCACGAACGGTAATGGAAATTGCAAGTTACCACCCATGCTCCCTAGCATCTATAGCATTCAACATTTAACATGAACTGGTAGAAATGTTTAAGATTTTTAAACATCCACAGATGTGTTCGTGTGTCGGTTATCATTGAACGTTCAATGTACACGCTAATGTCATTTCATCAAAAGCGGAATGTGGTTCACGAGTAAAACCATGCGTGTGCCCTAAACGAAAAAACAATGGGCGAATATAACAATGTAATTTTGGAAGGGGGTCAGGGGTTACGAAACCTGCATATTACAGATAAGACGTGATAATACTTGTAATGATTATAACTTGCTTATCATAGGAATGAGTGTTAATAAGTACAGTCAATTTTGCTTTTATGGTTGGTAATTTCTTCCCTAATTTATTGTTATCGATATTTGACTATTCATTCACTAAAAAGTCTAAATAATTTCAATACATATACTTTCGTAATTTTTCTAAGTTTCGTGAACTTCTTGGTACATATTCTATTTATGAAATGATTGTTTTCGTTAACACTACATAATTAAGCGGTTGCTCTTAAATTTTGATTTCTTGCCCGAAAAACAAGCAGGGAAGTGAGTAAAAGTATACCAGTTTCACAGCGGTAACCTGTCCAACCAGCCTTACAACCATCCAAGCAGCCCCCATCGAGTAAATTGCACGTCATTTGGCCCGTGTAATGAGTTTCACTACAGTTTTCGCTGCAATTCTCACAGCCATATCTTCCATAAAACCTATTGTTACAGTCTGCAAAAAATACACACAGTGTGTGGTCGAATCGCGACGAAGGTCTTAGCATCGGACCAGTAATCTAAAGATTAGCCGATTTGGTTCAAACCCTATTAGTGGCAAGGCGTTGTTTCATTGAACAAGAAACTTTGCACTAATTGCTCTGAATTCGAAAGTGTTTCTATCAGCTTAAAGCTCAACCAGGCACACGCACGCTCGCACACACACAAAGTTAATAATAAAAGAATAAAAACGTACTAAAAGCAAAATAAAGTTCTGTATAAATTACCTAACTTACATCTTTATTATCCCTTTTTTTCCTTCTGAATAAGATATGAAAATAATATATTTCGAATCTTTTCAGACTAGTGACCTTTATGGATTGGTGTCTGTATATTTCAAGTCGTATTTACTCATTGGAACATGATTTAACTCTTATAAACTTGAAAAGTTTTTAGTTGATAATGGTTTATTGTATTTATTACATTCAGGTTTTAGAAATTCCTATTCCACTGACACTTTTCTTATCCATCATATGGATCACATAAGAAGTAATAATTCAAAAGGTTTATATACAGGCATGGTAGTGTTAGACCTACAAAAAGCATTTGTTTCTGTTGACCATGATATTTTATATGGAAAACTGAAATTGATGGGTATCTCAAATACTGACTGGATTATGTATTATCTTAAAGGTAGAAAACAAACTGTTGGTGTTGATAATATTTTATCAGATTATATGCCTGTTACATGTGGGGTTCCCCATGGTAGCATCCTGTGTCCTCTATTTTGTGCTATGAAAATAACATGAGAATTAGTATAGATCAATAATGTAAGCTTATTCTGTATGCCGATGACAGTGCAATTCTTTTTGCTCACAAAAATACAAGTATTATTTCTTAAAAACTTGGACAAACACTAGAGTTTTATTCATCTTGGCTTGTAGATAACAAATTGTCACTTCATCTTGAATGCCTTATTTTGGTTCCAAGCGTAAACTGACACAAGTTTAAAATTGTTTGTAATGGACATATTATTGAATCCACAAAACCTGTCAAATATCTAGGTTTAAATATTGAGGATTCTTTGTCAGGTGAGACTATTGTTAAAAGCACTCTTACAAAGGTAAATTCACGTCTTAAGTTCGTGTATAGGCAAGCAAATATTTTAGATTTTAGGACTAGAAAATATTTATGTTCTGTCAGCATTAGTACAGTGTCACCTCGATTATGCATGTTCTTCTTGGTACTCGAGTCTGAACAAGTGTTTTAAAAGTAAGCTTGCTTCAAATTTGTCAAACTAAAATTGTTAGAATTATAAACGGTATGGGACCTGAAAAAAGTGTCAATAATGTTATTCTTGCTAATATGTCTTTATTAAATGTAGAAAACAGAAAAAAGCAATTACATATTAACCATGTTTTTAAAATTGTTCATAACCAGTGCCCTTCATATATGAAAAAAGTATTTGTACCTGTAAGAGACATTCATTCGGACGAATCAGTACAATATAAGGGTCCCAAGAAGTTATAGGAAAGATAATGTATTTTTTTTTCAAAACGCAATTAATGATTGGAATTCCTTGCCTACATGCATTAAATAATAAGATAGGAGATAAAAAAGCTCAGTGAAGGCCCATTTAAAAGAACAGTTAGGAAATCATAATTAAATTCACTAGTATGACTGGATATTGATCTCCATTTTTATTGTTTTCCTGTAAGTAAAGTAAAAGAAAATATTAAAGTTTAATATTTTACCTATATGACATCTTCCATTTTCCAAAGTTTTTTTTGTAAGGTTTTTTGTTTTTATATTGTATATTGTAATAAGTATACATCAAAGGACCCCATTGGAAAAAAGCCTTTGGGCTTTCATGGGCAATCCGAGGTTATTGCACAATACTCTATACATGCTTTCACTTACATCATCACATTATTATTAATTGGTAAATTGATATCTAGTCAAAAAAAAAAAAGAAAGATAAATTTTGTATTGTCTGAAATGTAATTTTTGTGCCCCCATTTTAGTGGCGGGCATTTAGATTCACCCTTGTCCGCCCGTCCGTCCTTCTGAACGTCCGTTCTCTTTCGTGTCGCACGTAACTCAAAAAGTATTTGACATAGAGTCATGAAACTTTACAGAAAAGTTGATCAGCATGTGCAGTTGTGCACCTTGGTATTTTCCTATGGATTTATTTAGTATTTTAGAGTTATTGCCCTTGACTTAGTAAAATTTTGCAATTTTCAACTTGTGTCGCGTGTAACTCAAAAAGGATTTGACATAGAGTCATGAAACTTCTCAGGAATGTTGATTAGCATGTGTAGTTGTGCACCTGGGTATGTTCGTGTAGATTTATTTAGTATTTGTAGAGTTGTTGCCCTTGACTTAGAAAATCTTTGCAATTTTCAACTTGTGTCGCATGTAACTCAAAAAGTATTAGACATAGAGCCATAAACCTAACGGGAAAGTTGCTCAATATATGTAGTTGTGCACCTGGGGTTTCGCTTGTGGATTTATCCAGTATTTGTAGACTTATTTCCCTTGACTAAGTAAAACCCTTTTCATTATGTTGTTATTTGTTCCTTGAGTGCTTGAGTTAGAGTCAACCAACTTTACAGGTATAATGATCAACATCACTAAATTACAGGAATAATGATTCACATCACTATGAAGCTAGCACTTTGGACTTTGCATGTGGATTTGTTTTTAGTTTTGTTAGAGTTATTGTCCTTGACTTACAGTAGTATAAATTTGTAATTTTCATGCAAAGCTCAAAACTTTTTCACTTGTAAGCTTGAAAGTTTACAAGAATGTTGTACTTATGCACCTGGGGGTTTGCTTGTGGGTTTATTCAGTATTTGTAAAGTTCTTGCCCTTTACTTAGTAAAAGATTTTAAGTTTTCAAAAAATATTTGACCTAGAGTCATAAGATTGACAAAACAGTGGCGCGGTGGGGGCAACCGTGTCCTATGGACACATTTCTAGTTTAGACGTTGTTCTTTATTATTATTATTTATTATTTAATGAGCCCCCTGTCATATGTATGTTTGACAAACTTCCGAAATGTTTTACCGCAATTGTGTTATAACTTTTATATAAAAATGTATAAGTGTTTGTATAATGTATATATGTGTTTTAACTGTAATAACTATCTGTCTATCTATAATTACATTATAATCATATGAAAAGTTAAACAAAATAATAAGCATGTGTTAGGATATTTTCATTATATTTTACCTTCGTATATTCTGATGTCGCAGAGTACGAGTTGAACATTTGCGGTCGCAAGTTGCAATCGTACTAAATTACCGACCGGATATCCATTGCATGTTATTAGTATGTGTTTCTCTTTTGGTATAATGTTATTGTGATTATAACAAACTACCCCTTCTGTCAGATTTTCTTTATTTTTAAAATTTACATTTGTTGTATTGAACACTGTTACTTCAAAGTACGAGAAATCGTCTGAAAATAAATAGAAACAAACAAACATCTAGGTCATAATTAATAACAAGGCAGTCTGAAGGACAGCTAAATCCCCTTCCTCAGTGAACATGATGTGTGTACTTATTGACCTTTTACCAGCCACGACTTTCATGTTATGCCATGCATATCATAAGTGAATAGTCTTATGATGATGATAATTTGTGCCATGTTATTTAAAATTTTCATCAACTAAAAGAAAGTTATGGAGAACATATAACCTTGACCTTGGGGGTAGCAACCTGGATGTTGAACTCTGCAGATTGTGTCATGGTGGTGATCATTTGTGCCAAGTAATGTTAAAACCTTTGAATTTTCAAGACGTTATAGAGCAGACATGAAAAATAGATATTTTTTACATTGGACCTTTGAGTGTGACCCTGACCTTCAAGGTTGTGACTTGATTATTGAGCTCTGCCAATAATGTCATAATGGTGATCATTTCTGGCAAGTTATCTTAAAACATTGCAGCGGTTTAAATGTTATGAACAGACACGAAATGTAGACTTTTTAACATTTGTCCTGTAAGTGTGACCTTGACCTTGGGTGTAGCAATTCAATTATTGCGCTCCGCACATCGTCTCTTAATGGTGATAACTCGTGCCAAATTATATATATAAAAAGAACTTTTCAGCGGTTTAAAAGTTATTGAGCGGATACAATTTGTATACCTTGAATTTGGGGGTGGCACACCAATTGCACTACGTCTCATTAGTGTGATCACTTGTGCAAAGTGATTTCAAAATTATTTCAGCGGTTTGAAAGTTATGGAGCGGACACAAAAGAGTTACGGACGGACGGACAGGATAGACGGACGGACCGTCAAACGGAGGCCATTCCTTTAACCCCCTTTCCGCTACGCGGAAGGGGATTAAAAATGTCATATGCTCAGGTTAGAATCGGAAAGCCTTGTTACCACACAATTGATGGACCCCCTCAGCACGGATATTCCTATGGGAACCACAGAAACATCACCCATTTTTTTGCCTATTTTAACATAGTTTAAATGGCTTACTTTTATATGTTTCTACATGATCATTTTAGTGTTTTACTTATTTAACCTTTTGTAACCATGACAACTGTTAGAATTTCACTTTGCGGGGATTCATTTTATTTACACTGTCTCGTTTATAGGAATTTGGTGGGGCTAAGAGCGAGGTTTGGTGCACCATTAACCCGTTTAAACTCCCCAGCAGTCATTATTATGCTGCTGACCGTTCCAAGGCGGCCCCCCGATGTGTTCCTCAGATGTATGTCTATGTTGTTTCATACTGTTTTGGTGACACTTTTGCGTGTGTCCCTTGTTGTTTTCTCGTCTACGGTAAGTATCTTCCCCATTGCCTCTAGTTTTTATTTCTTTGATAAACCCCCACCCCCTTCCCCCGGTCTCCTTCCCCTTTGTGGGCATATTATTATTTTCTTTGAATTCCTAATCAGTTACAAATTATTTATCATTTAATGATTAACCTGTCCGTGCTCTGTCTTTGCCCTGTCCTGTTTTTGTTTGGGGTCCGCCTGGGCTCCTTGCCATTGGTTCTTGTTGCTTGGTCATATGGGGGTTGCGTTCATTGAACGCCGCCTTTCCTTGTTGATCTTGTTTATCATATTTTACCTTAGAAAACAAATTTATTATGGAAATTCACATCATTGCACCAGTATTTTCCTATTATTGTAGCGTATGGATTTATAACTTTATTCGTAACAGCGATATTAAGCCATTCTTAGGTCGCATCTACACATATTCAAGTTTCTTACATGCCACATTTAGATAGACTAAATAAATGGCCCTTTCAACATTTAATCAGGCGCAATTTTTACTGAAATGACTATTTAAGATTGCCCAGGATTTATACTTTTGTCTTTGCAATACTATGTTTCTGTAAAATATGTGAATAAAAAGCGGGAAAATGATGCAATTAGCTAAAAACAATGGCGTAAATGAAATGTGTACATTATTTTAAAATAAATGGAAAATGAGAGGAAAAAATATTTTGAGCTTATAAATTGTCGCAAATTCTTAATTTGATGAAAGTTAATTTCACTAAATGAACAAGATCATTTAAAATGCCTATTGATTATACTTTTGCAAAACAGATTTTCTTTGCTCTTATGTGTATCGATTTGTTCCTTTGACCAAGACATTGTAAACATTTACTAAAATTAACAGGTCATGAACAATGAATCAGTAACATAAAAGTCAGAAAATAATAAAAAACCAATACTATCACACCTTTGGGGCACATGTTTTGTGTCAAACCAGTTTGATCAGTCTTGACAGCTAAAAAAATTGTAGAAAAATAGAACGTGTTCTAATTTTCTTGCAAGGAATTATCTTCATGGATGTCACATAATTTCTCTTTAAAACCCATTCAAGTAGAGGTCTACACTATGCAAGACAAGAGAATACTTGCATTCAAGACTTGAATAGGTGTAGACGGGGCCTTAGAACGAATTTCATATATAAAGAATCTGTGACCCATCTTGTCCCCTAAACCACATTGACATATGAAATTCTTAGCATGTATGACTCTAACGGAATCAACAGTGTAATATACAAAAAAGTTTTTATGTGATCAGTTCATACCATATGAACAGAACATAATATGAGATGCAATTATATTAATGTACGAGCATACTTCTTTTTAAGGGGTTAATTCCCACATCGTGATTAATTCATACCTTGTTATCGTGATTTATTATGAAGCCGCAATGACCACTGGACAGACGTCTTTTTTTCAATAAACCGTGATTTGTCTGATACAGATAAGTTATATATCTTGTGGGAATTTATTAAATAACCCCATCCCAATAATATCAATATATTTTTATGATTTAAAAATCTGAAAACAAGGTGATCCCTCGGAAACACTAATCACAACAAAATTACAAGAAAATTGCGGACTCGGTTTGATTGAATCTGTACATGAGGGATAATGAATACGTGCAACATCCCTCACGCCCCCTAGCACCTAAAGCCTTCTTAGAATTTGAATTTTATGTTCAAAAGCTTGGCAATAATGCAAATTTTATGAATTGGTATGGACACTAAATTAGACAGAGGAATATCGTATAATTAACGAAATAAATGTCTTACATGGTCTCTAATACTTACATTATATCAATGTTTAACTTCCGGTCTATAGTGTCCGACATTCATGAAACTTTATTTTTTATCAAACTGGACAAGTACCTTATTCTTACCACATTCGGAAAACTTCTTCAATCTTCATTTAATATATAGGAAATATGAGTAATAGTTCTACATCGTAACTTTTTTATGTAAGCAAAGACGCCGCCAGGAACATCACAATATGATCCGTTACGGATAGCATCACCACGTTTCTTCGAAGATTGATCAAAAAGTTCTTGGACCGAGGTACTTCAGTAGTCATACAACCCAAATTATGGTCTAACTTTTCAATATAATCGCCCTCCACATCAATGCACTTTGCCCACTAGTGCTCCAACTTGTTTAATCCTTCAAAATGGAATGGAGAGAAATAAGAATTGAAAATGTTGCAGGCTCGGTTTGATTGAGCCTGTTCATGGACGGTACTGTCAAGTGCAAACTACCGTATTCAGCTGCAGTAACAAAGTCTGTTAAGATGGTTGACTCTGCAGTACAAGTCAACTTATGCCAATGCCCGCCACTTAAGTTACCATTACCAAAAAAGCAAACAGCTTCACAAAGTAAACAGTCTACCTCTGTGCAGACTCAGTCACCAACAAAGTCTTCTCCAAAGAAGCAAACTGCAAACAATCAAATAGCATCGTCTGAGAAAGTTTATCAAAAACAATCGCCTAAAGAGCGAATTGTCATCACCGATAGGGTGAAAAAAAGCAATGCGAAACCCGATCAACACAGAAAATCGGTTCGCCCTACTTCACGACACCGAATGATGGAGGATGAGGATTTATACCTCTCCCCTCCTTGAACTCCGAATGCCAGAAGTCCAATAAAAGTTTCCTACTTAATATAAATATTTTTTAATATGGATTATAGAAGTCATTCTATCCTACAATGGAATTGCCGAGGTCTTAAGTCAAACTATAATGATCTACTTTTACTATTATCTAAATTCTCTCCAAATGTATTATGTCTTCAGGAGACTATGTTATCGCCTAAAGATAATATCTCTATAAAAGATTATTCACTTTATAATTATATATGCACTTGTAACGCCAGAATATCAGGTGGTACAAGCATTGCAATCGCAAATTGCATTCCTCAAAAAGAATTAAAACTTAACACAAGATTACAAGCTGTAGCTGTGCAGGTGACCTTACATCGACCACTAACAATTTGTTCTTTATACCTTCCTCCAAATATAACGGTAACAAGTAATGAACTTGAAAGTATTGTTCGACAATTACCATCACCTTTCCTTTTGTTAGGCGACTTTAATGCTCACAATCCTATGTGTGGGGCAGTACATCTACAAATAATAAGGGTAACATAACTGAAAAATTGATAGATAACTTTCAGCTTTGTTTATTAAACAATCGGTCACCTACATATTTACATCCAGCTACAGGTACGTTTTTGCTTGCATCGACCTCTCGATTGTCCACTCTGCTATATACTTGGACTTCGATTGGAAAGTTTTAGATGACCAGTACGGCAGTGATCATTATCCATTGTTACTAACATCAAATGACTCTATACCAGATGAAGGACGTCAAATTTTTAAAAAGCAGATTGGGAAACATTTACGAGGCTCTGTTCTATTGATCTAACAAAAAATGAATTTGATTTCACCTCTGATGATATAGCTGAAACTTTCTCTTCAGCATTACATACGATTGCCTGCAAAGTTATTCCATAAAAAAAAATAATAAAAGTAACAAAATCAAAAAACCATGGTTTAACGATGAATATAAAAAAGCCGTTCGTATACGTAAAGCTTCACTCAAAAAAATTGAACATAGCCCTACAACAGAAACTCTTGAAAATTATAGAATATTTAGAGCCAAAGCTAGAAGATCAGTGCGTCAATCTAAACGCCAATCATGGCAATCTTATGTTTCAAATATTAATTCAAATACTCCTATTAGGAAAGTATGGGATGCAGTACGAAAAATAAGTGGTAAGTATAAAAAGAGTCCAACTGTTCACTTAAAAACTGGTGATAGCCAATATGCCAAAACAAAAACGGATATTGCAGAAACTTTGGCTAAAACTTATGAAAAGAACTCTTCTTCAAGCAATTATTCAAATAAATTTCAACAACATAAAAGTAAAGCTGAGAAAGAGCATATTAATTTTGCTTCAACAAACGACGAAGACTATAATTCCCTTTTCTCTATTGATGACTTAATTTATTCAATCAAAACTGCAAAAGATAGTGCTGCAGGCCCGGACGAAATTTACTACCAGTTTCTTAAACATTTACCACCCCAATCCCTAGACTTGCTTCTTGAAATTTTTAACAAAAGTTGTGTATCTGGTGAATTTCCCAACACTTGGAAAAAATGCGTTGGTTATTCCTATCCCTAAACCTGGAAAGATTCAACTGACCCTACAAATTATCGTCCAATTTCACTTACAAGTTGCCTCTGCAAAAAATTCGAGAGAATGATAAATAATCGGTTAGTTTGGTATCTAGAAAATAATGGAATTATCACTAATTCTCAGTCAGGTTTTCGTAAACAGCGAAGTACAAACGATCATCTTGTACGACTTGAGACTTTTATTAGAGAAGCCTTTGTAAATAAACAACACCTGGTATCAATTTCTTTTGATCTTGAGAAGGCTTACGACACTACTCGGAAATATGGTATCCTAAAAGATCTAAAAGATGCTGGACTTAATGGCAGACTTCCTCTTTTCATTTCTGGATTTTTAAACGATAGGGACTTTAAAGTAAGACTTGGTTCAACTTTTTCTCAGGTCCACCAACAAGAACAAGGTGTTCCTCAAGGAAGCATACTTTCTGTTACACTTTTTGGCCTTAAAATAAACAATATTGCTAGCGCTCTTACATCAGGCATAGATTGTTCTCTATATGTAGACGATTTTCTTATCTGCTATCGATCGAAAAGTATGAGAACAATTGAACGGCAACTTCAACAAAATTTAGATAAAATTCAAAAAGAGGGCAATAGAAAATGGTTTTAAATTTTCAAAGTCAAAAACTCAATGTGTTCATTTCTGTCGATTGCGGAAACAACATAATGACCCTGAACTTTAACATATCTGGTTCTAAAATTCCAGTAGTTGATGAAGCTAAGTTTTTAGGAATTATATTTGATAAAAAACTTTCTTTTATACCACATATTAAACATTTGAAAACTAAATGCCTAAAAGCTTTAAATTTACTTAAGGTTTTATCAAGTACAAATTGGGGATCAAATTCTTCCACATTACTGAAATTATACAGAAGTCTTATCCGATCAAAACTAGAACTGCCACTATCATGGCGTAAATACCCCCGCATACCACTTTGTCAGAATCAACAGTGGCCATTAAGAGCTCAAGGACAACCTCCCTGCAAAATCTGAGGTTACTAAGCCAGTGCATTGCTAAGTTATGTATTCTACATGCTTCAAATGTGAAAATGTCAAAATCAATACATTGCGGACAGGACATTCTTTAGCAATTGAGAAGAAAAGCTTTTTGAAGTCAAGGCCCCTGTGACCTTGACCTTTGACCTGGTGACCTCAAAATCAATAGGGGTCATCTACTAATCATGACTAACCTAAATGCCAAATATGAAGACTATGGGTCAAAGGAATCTTAAGTTTTTGGGCGGACAATGTTTTGAAGTCAAGGCCCCTGTGACCTTGACCTTTGACCTGGTGACCTCAAAATCAATAGGGGTCGTCTACTAATCATGACTAACCTCAATGCCAAATATGAAGACTATGGGTCAAAGGAATCTTAAGTTATTGGGCGGACAAGCTTTTTAAAGTCAAGGCCCCTGTGACCTTTGACCTGGTGACCTCAAAATCAATAGGGGTCATCTACTAATCATGACTTACCTCCATGCCAAATATGAAAACTGTGGGTCAAAGGAATCTTAAGTTATTGGGCGGACAAGCTTTTTGAAGTCAAGGCCCCTGTGACCTTGACCTTTGACCTGGTGATCTCAAAATCAATAGTGGTCATCTACTAATCATGACTAACCTCCATGCCAAATATGACGACTGTAGGTTATTGGGCGGACAAGAAAAAAACCGACGGACAGCCGGACGGACGGACGGACAAACTGATTCCAGTATACCCCCCCCTTACAACTTTGTTGTGCGGGGGTATAAAATAGATTATGGCTCTGTAGTATATGGGTCTGCAAGAAAATCATATCTTCAAATGCTAGATACCATACATCACCGTGTTCACAAAGATTTAAGGATCAGGATCAAGATCAGGATCAAATTTAACAACTCTAATATTCTTCATTGTTTTTGATCCTCAAAGATTTAAAATATCTATAATATTAATTTGATAAAACTAGACTTGCAATAGCAAGTTTATGAAATTTTAGAATAAATTTATTGTCATTTTGCAAGATATGGGCATTTTACAGTTGATCCAAATATTGATCCTGGTCCTAAAATTGATCCTTATTTTGATCTGAAAATGTTTGCTATTTGTTTTTGTTTTTTTTTGATTTTATCCAAAATAGTTTGGTTTACTTTGCAAGTCAGCAATATTTTACATTTTGAATATATACCATTCAATTCTATGAAAAACATATTAATATTAGTAACATAAAACAATGAAAATAAAATCAGGATCACTTGATCCTTCATGATCCTGAATCTTTTTCTTAGTGAACAGGGGCCTGGGGTTTACACCGGTTTAGCTTTAGGGTTCCGGCTTTTCGCAACTTCACCTGGTAGAAATGTCTATATGCGGAAGCTGGGGAAAACCCATCGCTTCAATCTTCGTCGAAAAAAAGCCTATCACTTCAATACGCAACTAGGAATTTCGGTCTAATTTAGCAAAAATTTCCAGCCTAAAAAATATTTATTTTCAAAACCAAGTTATACTGAAAAATTTGTTAACAAACCAAAGGAAATTAAAACCATTAGGCCTTCGCTTCAAAGATGATTTAGATAAACTTAAATTAATCCAGACAGTATCCTTCAAAATGACGATGAGGATGTTCCACCTTGGACTTAATAATGTCCCGAAATAAATATTAACCTTTCAAATATAAAAAAGTCATCAAATTCAGCTGAAAACTTCAAAAGAGAAGTTTCTAGCAAATTAAGGAAGAACATGAAGATTTTAATACATATTATACGGACGGTTCAAAAGAAAGGTTGCAAAAGTAAGGTGCGGCTGGTTTTGAAAATAATTTTACATTCTAGTATGAGGTTACCAAGATAATGCAATCAAATTTCATTTTACTGCTGAAACAAAAGCTATTGATTAGCATTACCATACATAGCACAGCATTTTCAATGCTGATAGCTATTTCCTTCTTCGATTTTTTCCCGGAGGGGATTGTTATTAGCCTTTAGTGTTTACTTCCACTGCTTTGCTCTGTTTTTTTGATTCTGAAATCGGAAGTGGAAAATTGGACCAATAATTTTATTCCTTGAGTTATTCGATCAGGTGAAATAAAAAACTAGGGTTTTCATTCCTCGTAGCGAGACAAAAGCCCATCTTGAAATGTCAAGGGCCTTTGGTCCGTTTTGGTCCGTCAGTTAACTGTCTGGGGACCCATTCTTAGCGGAACCTTTGGGACATTGCCCATAGACTATCAGTCAGAATTTGTTATTAACTTGAACAAAAGCTTATACCCACTTCCCTAGCCAATGCTTTGCATTTTTTGCCTTCTGTCGCACATCTTTGAACCAAAATCTTGGGTCATCAAGCTTCAGCATTTGTTTTCATCGGTAATGGCCTCTTTTGGCCGCCAATGTCACTCATCATCTGCAATGCTCCCCCTGCCCCTCTTAAACAGCCCATTTTTCACAGTGCTATAGGAAGGGGACTCCTTCCAAAGTGTATCCATGAAGTCTTCATGGATTTCCTTGGGGATATCCTTTCTTACATAGGTACTTAATGACGGCTCTGATTGCATCTTTCACCATTTTGTCTAAATGACACACCCCTCTACTGATCAAAGTGTGTTTCAAATATGTTACTTATTTGTTACTTTAAACCGCGCGTAACTCGATCAGTAATCGTCAATAAGATATCGGTATCGTTGTTTCGTGTGTAAATGTCAGTGTAGAGGCTAGAAGTATATCGGGACTAGAACTTTTTGATCATACCTCGTAAAGCTACAATTTAATGGGACTCGGTACATTGGTACTAGTTTCATGTACGATATGTGACTGTTTGATGCAATATGGTCAGGTTGATAAATTCCAAATAGCACAATGTTTCTAGAAAATTTTGAAGTATCGGGTCCATGCATATAATTCAGTTGATTTGTTAATCACGAAACAATACAATATGTTACGATGTGAAAATTCGTTCGAAACCTTGAGAAAAGTAACTTCTTTTTACTTTCTGATGTGGTCAGGATCTCTCAGTCAAGCAATATGAAAACTCTTATATGATATCCTTACGTCATAGTCCATGAGATATAGCATCATAATAAAGAAACTTACTTGTTATGTTTGCTGTTGTGAGCAACTCAATTTTCCTAACTGTTGCATACTCCGGTATCCATATGTTCCACCAAGGTGCCACTGAGTTTTTGTCAGACGTACGGCTACATGTTGTTAGAGAGTCATCATTAGCCAAGTCAGAATACAACGGAGGGTAAATATTACTTACGTGTCGCGAGTCTTGACGGAATGCAATGTTTTCTGAAGTGAAAAAATACGACCTTTTCGTCATGCATTGCCATTATCAGTGATTTTTTTCACACGGACATTAAGGACTGCTTCGAATGAATTATCAAAAATGTCGAACGAATTAGTGGAGAATAGATACTTCTCAAAAAAAAAATTCTATGGTCAAAATAATCAGCAACGTATTCAAGAAGAGGTTTTATATATGTTCTTAATAATTGATATAATTTAAAAAATTAATAAAAACTAGTGCTCTTGCTATTTTAAGTGATTAATAGTTTTAAGCCGAATCTAAATTACATTAGCCAGTACCAGACATATTACAATTCATTGCCTTGTTATTTAAGGGAATGCACCACGATAAGAAAAAGTAAAGAAAGGGGAAATAACAATGAAATGGATTAGTCTTTGGAAAACGTATGAATTTACATATGATGGCTTCGGAATTCTGTATATTATCAATATACGGGTAAAATATGAGAAGGTATAGATACTTATACCCTGTGTTTACTATACCGACAGGTAAACTTGGCCGCCGCCCCCCCCCCCAAAAAAAAAATAATAAAAAAACACAAAAAAAAACCAAAAAACACACAACAAACAAATACAAAACAAAAACAAATTGGAAGGTCTTGCAAATATAATTATATTGCTACTCTCTTGATTTAAGGTCAGACTTACTAAATTGACATCCGGGTCCTACCCAGTTAAAGTCGCATCCACTGCTGCAGGCACCTGTTAAGACGTCACACTGCTCAGACTGGTTTACACAATGACATTCATATTGACATTTATCTCCATATCGAAGACGCCCTGATCCCGATGTTGGACACTTAAAAATCGACGACCCGTCTGTACGACCTAATTAATAAATGACATGCTAAATAATGAAATATCATTTTGAAATGTCTATTTTTTTTCTTAGGGACTAAATTTCGAGAATTGATTTTTGTTTGCGAAAAATATGATAGGTAAGTGTTCAAGTATGATTTAAATTTAATCTAACTGAAAGAAGTAATCCGCGAATATCTAACCTTGACAATAAGTCTTCGATGCTGATTTCGCGGAATGTTAACCACGCAATAATATCTGATTATACAGTAAGGTGTATTTGTCCAGTTGATACAAGGAAAAAATTTGTAGGAAAATTATTTTATAAGGACGAATAATGTCCACAAAATCATTAAAATAACATGTTGAAATAGATTCATCTCGATTTCGTAAATTGTCTTTATTTTAATATGAACTATTTCAACAACACTTAAATTGACGTCTACAGTAAAAGATATATTTCCACATTTTTATATCAATTATCTAAGTGTCCGGTCCGTGATCGTAAGGGAGAGTTCTTAAACAATCATCTTTTCCATACTTTTTTTATGGCAACCTTAGCCACAAAGCTCTATTATAAAGGCGTATTTTGTGTTTTGTTAAAAGCTATTTCATTTGATTTTCTACTTTTTACCTCAAACTTACTCGGAATTGTCTATGAAATTCTACTACATTTCTATGAAGGGCGATACTCTTTTTGAAAATACTACTTCCGGGCGATTTTTCTTAGCAACGGTCGCGTCGTTAAAAGGTCTTTAGAGGATATGTGAACGAGTGTAGATTTAATACTTAATTTATTAAAAGAGTGATGTACAATTATAGTATGCATTATTCAAAGAGTTCAATAATCTAGGTATTGAATCTACACGAACTTTTTTTCTATTTATCTCATATTATCCAAAATGGTAAAAAGAGTCATTTTTTATTGACATGCCTTTAGTATAACGCTAACATAAGCGCGCTTTACCGTTTTCCTGCGCCGTGGTTAATCTAATAAAAAATATATATACAGCAATGTTTTATGAAAACTTAGTTCAATTGTCAAGTAAAATTGATGTTAAAAATAAATTTACAAAATTATCATGCTATTTGATTAAAATTGTATTCTTATTTATTTATTTTCATGTATTTGTTTATTCGATTATTAAATCATATTATTTATCTATTAACTTTTACTGTAAGTAAAAGAAGCATGGTTATATAAATGAAAAAAAAAATAATTTCTTAAGTCTAAATATATAATATATATAAATTTTTACTTCAGTAATCAATTTAGACAATTTTCAGTTTATTCTTATAATAATGCACCATAATTATCAGTGAAAATGTTATAATCATTAAAATCAAATACGTTATTTTGCAAATAATCAGAAAAAGCTGCTTTTAAAAAGTACATAACTATTTTAATGCGTATTTAATTAACTACGAATATATATTTGAAATTAACTTCAACCTGGATCTATTAAAACACTTGCAATAATTAGGCTCAGCATAACTCCATATGTTTTCCAACTAGTATTATACGTAAATACGTTTTTAATCTTGTCCAAGTACATTTTCAATTTTGCGTAAGTACACTTGTCTCAATATAAAATCGAAACTGCAACTGCTGTCAGTTCAAGTGTCATTTGACGTTTCATAAAATCACTTAGATACATGGGATGTTAGGAAATGCCGAAATTATGTTTTAAGTGGAGGTAACGGATATTATCAATATAATAGAAGTATAGGTTAGTGTTTATTAGGGAGCATTTATACAACTAAATTGGTCTAAAGCGGCGCAACTAGCTTAGTGTTTGTTTGATTATTAAAATTATTTTTTTTATAAAACTGTCGATTTACTTGACTGATTAAATTTATTAAAGTAAATGTGTTATGATTCATTTGAAAAACTGCAATTCTACTGAACAAAAAGATTTTAAACACTAAATAAAGATCGTTTGAGGATTCAGCTTTTAGAAAGTTAAGACAAAACAAAATTAACTCTGACTACAGGAATGTAGGCCAACCTCTTTAACTGATACACAGTCAGACAATGTGTTTAATGAGTGCAAGGGAACCCGTCTGATTCAAATAGACTTGACTTAATGTTATAATTTTATAAAAATTAAAGGACTTCAAGTACTAATGGAGATTCAAAGTCAATTTTAATTTACTTTTAAGATCATAATTATAATGATAATGGACTGACTGCTCTTTTAACATCGGAACACCTCGCCGATTAATCTTAATCAGAATTTATCCCGAGACTGACAGAAATAGCCGATAACAACACTATTCTTCCTATTTATTAAAATTTAAAATTGATTTGTTAAGAATTAAACAAATCTTCGAAAACAGCAAAATAGCCCTCGCATGCTTCTTTTTAAAGACGCAAGTTTGTTTGGTTGGGCACTCTATGCAGGCCGATTTTTTTTACGATCAGCGCATAAACACGAAAGTTTCTCTTTTATGCCCAAAAGGTAATTATTTTTTGTCAATTACAATTTGGTTTTGGGTAAAAATGTTGTCTAAATGCTCTTATGAAAAAAACTGGAAACAACATAGCAATACCTGGAACAACATAGCAATACTGACAACATAGCAATACTTGTAACAACATAACAATACTTTTAACAACATAACAACACTTTGAACAACACAGCAATACTGACAACAACATAGCAATACCGTCAATAATAAAGCAATACCGAGAACAACACAACGAGATTGGTAGCATCATAGCATAGCAATACTGACAACAGCATAGCATTACCGACAGCAACATAGCAATACTTTTTACAACATAGCAATACTGGCAACAGCATAGCAATACCGTCACTAATAAAGCAATACCGGGAACAATACAACAATATTGGCAGCATCATAACAATACTGTCAACAACATAGCAATACTTAGAACAACAAAGCAATACTGGTAACAACATAGCAATACCGTCAATAATAAAGCAATACCGAGAACAACACAACAATATTGGCAAAAACATAGCAAAACCGTCAATAATAAAGCAATACCGAGAACAACACAACAATATATGTAGCATCATAGCAATACTGTCAACAACATAGAAATACTTTGAACAAGATAGCAATTCTGGTAACAACATAGAAATACTTGCAGCAACATAATAATATTGCCAACAACATAGCAATACTGGCAACAATATAGCAATACCAACAACAACATAGCAATTCCGTAAACGTTTGGAAAACAGAACAACATAAAATGAAAAATATAACCACAGAAAATACATTACGTTTCATAAAATGTGTAAAACTGTGTAAAAATATTCTTAATCACACATGACAAGGTAATTAGAAATATTTTCTATAAAGTCTAAGCCAAATATTTCAATAAGAAAGGAATGCATATATTTCAATGATTACATATAATGCGATTAAACATTTGCAATACGTATTGAACATATTCTTGGATGTTTGAAAATTGTTTTAGAAGAGTAATTATATACGAGTGCTGTTCAAAAAGTTCGTGGACTGAGGCTCTTCTATTCACAAATTTTAATTTGCGTACACGATTCTACAAGAGACAGATATTTTGGAATATGCCTTAAACAAACAGTGAACAAATCAATACAATATGTTTACAAATAACAATTCTGTGACAGTTACAAATCACGAGTGTTACACGATCCGGCGCCTGCTGGTGATAAAACAATGATGTTCGTGACGTCACGATGTAAATGAAAAATTACACCAGCGTCATTGTTTCTGAAAGTACTCTTTTGAGTGTTCAGTCTCTCCGGACCACATTCGTTTGTTTTGATGAAGCAAGAACGAAAGTGGTCGTCTTTTCGCTCAATTCTCCGTATAAGGGTCCGAGAGCAGGCCACTTTCCGCTCTATTTCGGATTTTTAAGTGATATCCATATCAAACAAACCCGGGTAAATATATGGAATACAGAGAGCAACTACATTTATTTATTGTAAACGCGCATATATCCTGATGAATAATATAAAATTTTGTTTAAATTAGATTGTTTTGTCAGAATTGAATGTGTTTAAACGATGCAGGAATTAAACATGCCGGACAATTCGCCAACCTTTCATACTGTCCATCCTCCTGTAGATCTTTTGCAATTGACGTTACGAACGGACTCACATCTCGCAACTTTCTCATTCGCCCTTTCTTATCTATGACCATGTATTAGCCTTCTTTCAATGGCTCGCCGGCTCATTGCCCTTCATTAATTTAACCACCTCATGTGAAGCTGAAGAAGTATCCCACATTTGTTGGCAAAACTTTCCGGAAGTGCGAATTTTTTGTTTATAATCGGTCTCCTTATTTCGCAATTTACGCTACTGTCTACTACTGCTCAGAACGTATTTGTTCAGCCATTCAACATACAAACGACGTCATATTTCAGATTCATGTCATTTAAGTGTAAAAAGATGTTTTTATACTAAGTCTTGTATTTCATCTCAAGAAATAACCATTCAATTCATTTTAATATTTGTTTATATTTTAATATTATATGAAAATTTCGGCGTGCGCCGATGTTGCGTTGCCATGGTTAATAAAGTGCACATAGCTCGAAAAGGAAATAAAAGTTTAAGATAAAAGTTAATTTTACTTTTAGAAATAAAGACATTCAAGTGGTGTTACATCCCTTATTATAACATGCAGGATCTTTAATAGATTTTCGTGAATTTTTGTAACGAAAGTTTGCGTCAATTTATAGTTTAAACATAAATTATTTCGAACAAATTCACAATATATATATATATATATACAGACAATAATGTACACAATACAAACATGATGTGTTGAAAAGGGAGTGGGTCCGAAAGCTGAGCTTATAAAGGCCTTCTCCTTATAGATTTACAGTGCATAAAATACGGTAAAAATTTGCGTTAATTTGAAATGGTAAACAGGAAGCTAAGTTTCACAAAAGAAGATAGCCACGCCAACTCGACGAAATTTAGTGTATGAAAGTTCAAATTAGTAAATTTGTAATTTAGTTGCATTAGATATGGATGTTTAAAATGGTTTCGGAAATTATAATTGAGTGCAGTTAAAGTATAGATGTTTAAAATGATTTCGGAAATCATAAATGAGTGAAGTTAAAGTACCTACTTCTTCAATACAATGTAAACAATCAACCTTGTTACTGACCCATTTAATTCCTCTTCCGATTGGACCATCCTCGGCCATGATTCATAATAACCTCGGTTTTATAAATATAACAATAATGTATTGTTTGCTTTTGTATCAATGAATTCACCTACTTTAGGTAGACTTTAACTTAATATATTAGAAACAAACTTGTCAACAACTCCCAGCATTAAATTTCTATTTTACATGTTTTGTTTCTTAGTGTAGGTTATATCGAAATACCGTATCCGTTCTGTGTATTCATACTATTGCGTTAGAGGTCTTTATCAGAGGATTTACGAAGGGTTATAAAACAACCAAAATCTAAGTTACAAATGAGCCGCGTCACGACAAAACAAACATTGTTGGTTTGCGACCAGCATGGATCCAGACCAGCCTGCGCATCCGCGTAGTCTGATCAGGATCCATGCTGTTCGCTTACCAACCCTATTACAAGTAGAGAAACTGACAGCGAAAAGCATTGATCCTGATCAGACTGCACGGATGCGCAGACTGGTCTGGATCAATGCTGGTCGCAAACGCATTATGTTAGTTTTGTCATGGCGCGGCTCAAATGTACAAAAAAGAACCAGGGAAATGTTAAGAATTTGAAGTAAAGGACTGATCATTGTCTTACTGTTCTAGAAATAGTGGAAATGTTGACAAGATAAATTATTCATATTAATACATGTATATATGCCGAATATCTTATTTTCATGATCGAAAGAAGGAAACATTTTGACCACCTAATCATGTACAGTAGGTACTAAAAAAAGACTTGTTGAACAGATTACTAACGTATAATTCGTTAAGATTGTGGAAAAGGGGGACGAGGACAGCTGATGAGAAAGATTAGGATGCAGGGCAAATAACGGGAAGAAACTTTGAAGTGTAGATTTCCATCATGATTACAGTTTATGATGGGGGAGGAAGTAATGAAGACATAGTTGTTTCTAAGATTTTAAAATGGTTTCTCGTATTACATTTACATCCGTACAGTTATCTCTCTGAAAAATTACATTCCCAAAATTTTTAATTGAAGTGACAATATGTCTATCCAAAAGTAAATGGTGGATGTTTAGGTAATATTAAAGTAATTTTTCCATTCTTTTCATATTCGTTTTCAATTTTATTAAACACGTCACCTGTTAATCAATATCCCTTGTGAACAATGAAAATATTAGCATAATGTTTCCTTAAAAAATATGGATTAACAAATGATGAAACTATTCTCAGACTACTTTATTGCATGTACAACAAAGGCATTAAAATGTGTTGAAACATCTAATAAAATAAACAAAAATTAGTCATCTTATACCTCATGATAGCACCAAATTGATACCCTTCAAAGTTTCCGTACGTTTGTTAATGACGTTAATGATGTCAATTAGAAAGAAAATTCATGAAGGATTAAAACACGATATGTTTGTGATTGCGTGGTTTTGAAATCGCGAATAATAGCGAAAATTAGATCATCTCAGCATATTTTTCAGTCGATGACTTTGCAACAAATCAATGTAATCTTGTTTACCTGCAAGTTTATAACACTTGATAGTTTGATAATATCATATTTAATGACAACATACTTATTGTTCATACATATATACAATGTATTTAGGAAGGGTGGGATTTTATTGTCCATATCTGCAGTTATCTGAAATTATGCTCATAATTGCAAATGTTGTATTAGATACAGGTTGTAAAACATATTTCAGTATCATTTTATTCTTAGCTAAAGTGCAATGTAAGTTTGTATAACATCATCCTAAACCAATCGCTGATTGATAGCACAAACTATCTTGTTATTTTCCATAAGCCTTCAAACAGTAAAACATCGAATCTTGCGATTTTTTAAAAATATTTACATTTCTTATCAACTCGCATATTTTCTCTCTACTTTATGAGATGAAGTCAGTTTAGTTACATATTGTACAATCTTTGAAAACTAAAATGCGTAAATAGGTTATTAAGAAGTTAAATATACAGTGTATTGGTTTCTTAGTCATAAGCTAATTATTCTGTTTTCGCATACACGTACTTCACTATGGTGGCTGATTTGGAGTTTTGTGCGTCGTGCGACAGCACGACAAAGGGTCAAAACGGCGCGTTGTCGCACTATCGTCTTGTCGTCCTGTCGCTAACGATGCACTTCAAACGAGGCATTGTCGTGCGGCGTGTTGTCGCGATGTCACATTGTCGCTTGGCTCGAATTGAAGGATTCGCTGTTTGTTTATATATAAGCCAAGCGACATCGCGACAACACGCCGCACGACAACGCGCCTGTTTGCGTGCTTCGCTTGCGACAGGACGACAAGACGACAGTGTGTCAATGCGACGTTTGGCTCATTGTCTAACGACAAGACGAAAGGAAGAGAACGGTATAGGTTGTGTTGTCGCTATTGTCAACGCAACGCGCAAGTGTACCAAATCAGCCACCATACTTCACAGATTTCAGTATTTTTATATTCTTTTCATTCCAAGGAATAAGAGATCAAATTAAAGTTACTTACAGGTAATATATATAAGCGTTATAATTCATGTTCGTTTGTAATAAATATTTGAATAAAAAACTAAGAAGACGAACTTTTGTGTTCCAATAATGTTACTGGTTTTTTGTAAATGTTGACGATTACGTAACATAAAATGACATTATGTAGCCAAATTCTTAATAGCGTGTGTACCAAGGTTATGCTGTTATATAAGATTTACACTATCGGAACCAAAGGTATAGAAGAAGTTATGGCATCAAATAATTAGAAGTGTGTTACCATTTATTTATTCTCTCAACAAAAAATGCGGTCTTTTCTAATATCAAGATTTCATAGAAACGAATTGTAACAAAATTTTCATTGAAACGAAATGCAATGATATCAGATTTTACAAAAACCAAGTGTGACAGTTTATATGAATCTTTAAAGAAATATAAACGTATCTTTTGATATTAATATAGTTAAAATAAAAGAAATATAATAACCTATGCATGTATGCTGCAGCATTTTGCACTTCTATAGATAAATTTCATTTCTTTCTAGCAGTAAAAAATAAGGAAGTGAAGACTAGATAGAGTAATACCTAGTCATTAGGGTAAAGTCTTACATTTTATGCATTGTTATTTAATTGATCAAATAAGATATCAACGTCCTGACTTCCAATTTTCAGCGCGTGTATTTGAGACAAGTTATGGAAATAATCAGACGCGAATTCACTGTAAGTGTTATTAATTGATAAATAAAATGTGATTGAAATTCAATTTTTCTATTTTAATCATATTAAAGTAGAAAGATTGGCGATATTACCATGTAGGAAAATAAGGTACCGCAAATGACCAAAAGTTCATTGAACTTGAAATATAATTTAGGTTGTTTCTAATGGCATAAGTCGTATCAAATTTATAAAGTTACATTATTTTGTACTTGAATTTTAAGAACATTTACAATTTGAAACATTAGTTGATTAAAATTATTAGAGTACTTCAAGTTTTTCCATTTATGCTAAATTACTGTTGCTTTTGAAGCAACAAACTGCAACGTTGTATTCGTAGAATGACCTTAACAGATGATTCTTTGATTGTAATATAGTTCAGCAAAGTGAGAAAAATAGCTTTAGAATTCCATCGCAAAAATACAAAATGTCCGAAACATGACAAAAACAGATAATTTTTGTATGCCAAAGTAAATTAACTATCAAGTGTTGACATATATATTGACTTCATCAAATTTGAAACATATATAGTATAAAAGGAACAAGGAAAAAAAATAATTGTAAAGTTAAAGAGATAAGTTTATTAATGCCACAACAAATAAAACATTAATTTTGCTTTTCCTGTTCGTATTTCACCAATGACAGTTCAAGTACTTGATTTTTTTATAAGCCAGTCTTTTCTCTTTTGATGCCTTTAAAAGCTTCCTTCTAGTCACAAAGTTTATACAAATTGAGCTAGAACAATGTTATTTAAAATGCAGTTACTAGGATTTTTCATTACAATATTAAGTATTATTCTAATCTTTGGTAAGAATGGATTTTTGTTTTAAGAATTTAGTTTGTTAAAAGACTGTTGCTTGTAATAATAAGATTGTTTCATAATTGATAGCTTTGGCTACTGCAATTTCACGTGTAAGAAAGTCAACTTCTTTGCATGGATTTAAAGTATTATTTAAATTCAGTTTGCTGTTTACTATAAGATGTCTGGTAAATTGTGTTTTCGTTGCGTTCAGGCTATTTGCACACATCTGTTTTTTATTTTTATTTATTTACAACTTTCTACAGTATAAACTGTGAACTGTGTTTAACTGTATAGATTGACCGTTTTGTCCTACGCAGATGACGCGTGCACGAGAAAATACTGTTTGTGGTCGATTTTGAATAGCAACGGACCGCGTCGTAAAAGGTCTATACTTTGAATATCTGAATATAATTTATTGTGAATGACGTGAACGTCGTACTCTCCATTTATATTTTAATAGGTAGTGCAGGAAGTCTTGCTGCTGGTGTGTGCCCAAAATCAAGAACAGGACGCCTTCGGTATGGAAACTATTGTCGGTATGAATGTCATTGCGTAAACAAGTTGGAACAGTGTGACTTTTTAACTGGAGATTGCAGCAGTGGATGCGACTTTCAATGGGTAGGGCCTGGATGTCAATTTTGTAAGTTTAACAACTTTTCTAGATAATATTTCTTATATGATTTAATGGTTTTGATTTATTGAACGTTTAATTTTGGCTGTCTTGACAGTTGCCTTATTTTTTCTTTCTTTCTTTATTTTAGATTTATTATACCTTTATGACAGACATAAATTTCACATACATTCATTTCACATCAATACATTATAATGTCAAATCATATCATTATTGCTTACATTGAATGTTTTATCTACTTATGTCATATTCATATGTGACTTTAGTATGTAATAATTTTTTAACTTTTCATGAATTAAAAATTGCCGAAAAGTGAAAATAGATAAAAAGGGGATTGGTGTGTGAAAAGAGAGATCATACCCCCGTGTGTCGTTAATGCATATTTAAGAGGTTATTAAATCTTAATAAATGTTAATAGTTTAATGTTTGTGGAGTACATACTATAATTTTAAAAGGGGCCATTTCTTAAGATGGTACTCAACCTTGTTTTGAATAATTGCAATTTCTTTTTCAAAAGTAACTCTGAGTTTTAGATATGACACAAAATGATCGGAAAAGATAACTAATGTCTATTTTATGTGAAAAATACAAGATTTCATTAGATAAATAATGAAATATTTTACATCACTCTTTCAACTGTTTTGCAAAATACCAAAACTTGTGGTTTTTAAACTGAAAAGAATAGGTAACCCGTTTAAATTTAAAAAGTTTCCTTGTCTAATCCACATTATTTGAACATAATGACAATCTCAGAATAGATGTTCCATACTTTCAGGCTGCATGGTACAAAAATCACACAAATTTGTTCTCCATAATTTCATTTTGAATAGCTACTTATTTATTTGAATTATTCGCATTCAATATTTATACTGATACTTTTTATTTTGGTGTCAATAGTACCTTTAAAAACATGGTTATATACTAAGTTCCATTTGATATCATTTTTTTCAACACATTTTCCCATTTATGTTCAGATTTAATTTTTGCTTTTGGTTTAACCCTCATTTGCTTCTTACAAAGAAATTTATTCGGTGTTTGACTTTCTTTCATCTCATTAACTAGAGTTTTTACTGGGGTATACAAGATATTTTCATCTTTAAGTGTTTGTTTTATGTTGGAAATTATGTTTGTGATGATTAACGACAGTTGCCTTATTATAAATGCTTTATCCTGTTTGCTTTGATACACTCAGATTGATAAAAATTTCACTATGATTTATTTTTTATGCCCCCACAGAGTGGGAGCATACAGCGTTGCACTTGTCTGTCCGAGTGTCCGTCCGTCCGTACGTCTGTCCGCACTACCGAATAGGGATAGGGGGCCATCTAACTGTAAACAGAACAAAAGAGAACAATAGAGTTCATTCCGTAACAATAGAGTAAGGGGCCATTGGCCCTCTATTAAACAAAAGAAAATAACAATAGAAATGGCCCCTTATTCCTTTTCGGCCGGACGTCCGTCCGTCCGTCTGTCCGTACGTCCCAAAATCTTGTGAACGCAACTCCTCTTAAACCGGATGTTAGATTTTGCTTAAACTTCCAGGGTTGAACAACCTTAAAGTGTAGATGGTAGTAAAGGAAGGATTTTTGCTGCTACCAAATTTAACAGAGTTATGGCCCTTTGTTGATTTTTTCACTATATACTATGTACAAATTTTGTGAACACATCTCCTCTTAAACCGGATGGCAGATTTTGCTTTAACTTCCAGGGATGAACAACCTTAATGTGTAGATGGTAGTAAAGGAAGGAATTTTTGCTGCAACCAAATTTAACAGAATTATGGCCCTTTGTTGATTTTTTCACTATATACTATGTAGAAATTTTGTGAACGCAACTCCTCTTAAACCGGATGGCAGATTTTGCTTAAACTTCCAGGGATGAACAACCTTAATGTGTAGATTGTAGTAAAGGAAGGAATTTTTGCTGCGACTAAATTTAACAGAATTATGGCCCTTTGTTGATTTTTAGTTTTCAACTTGTGGCACATGTAGTCCAAAAAATATTTGACCTAGAGTCATAAGATTGACAGAACAGTGGCGTGTGGGGGTATCCGTGTCCTATGGACACATTTCTAGTTTTTATTAACTAAGAGGTTTCTTGGTGTTGGGGTTGTTTTCAAAATGAAACTTTGGATGAGGAGAATAAGTACAGAAGATAACTGACTTTTAAGAGATGGTTTAATGTGTGATTTTCATATATACAAGTAGGAAATCGCGGCTGCGGCCCCTGTAAAAAGTTTAAAAAGCGGGTTTTTTTAAAGTTTTATATACACGAAGAAAACTTACTATTTTCTCTAAAAAATGATGTTTGCTGTTTTATAAATCCGTTAAAAAGATTGTTGACAGGTTATATGGCCGTATATAAACGGTTGTTTGCAAAAAAACCCTCGCATAGCGGCTCGGGTTATTATTTAGAAACATCCGTTTATATAGGGCCATACAATCTGTCAACAATCTTTAAAATTCAAATGTGGGTATTTGTAGATTTGTTTTTGGTTATTATGCATGTCATTCTCAGATTAAGTAAATAGTTAGGATATTAATTCTTTAGAATTTATATATTTTATGCTTTTGTATCTATAATTTTGAATATTTGGATGTTCGGTATATAAAAACATAAATGACTGTATTAAAGTTATAAATGTTTCAGAACAAGTCATTTGTACTTTGAGCAGTTCAGCTTTACATGATAAATATAATACCAACGAAAATGCATTATCACTTTGAACTATGGCTAAAACATTTTTGTGTAAACATTCTTGTTATATGCTTTCAAATAGCTGGTCATTCATTTTCTTTCAGGGAACATTGCATACCGAAGGAAAGTGCGACAAAATGTTAATAATCCCCCTTTTAATTCAAAGTTGGCTAATGATAACAATCTAACAACTTGTAGTAGTACATTTTTCAAAAACTCAATGCTACCATGGTGGAATCTTTGGATACCGGAGTACACAACATTAAGGAAACTTGAATTTCTCACAACCAAGAGTCATTTAAGTAAGTCTTTGTTTATTGATGCCGTATTTTCGTTGTTTAATAATGTGAGTGTTTTTAATTGGTTACAACTCTGAAATGTGTATTTGTCAATTATACCAGTAATATCGTTTAACGTCTCTCGCACATTCGATATCCGAATTTTCGTTTTCTTGCAATTTCAAGATCAACGGAGTGAGCCTTTGATCTGAAATTTTGTACACAAAGTATTGGTCTATATTAACATAAAGTGGTATATAAATATCTAAAGAATAAACAGTCCCTTATGTCATTCACAAGAAACTTCGTTGGAGACAATTTAACGGACAGAAAAAGACATAGAATAAATGGAAGAAAAACCCAACATATAAAGTCTTTTGTCTTTTTTGTCTATACATATATAACTAATATGTGACAGTTTTTAAGTTATGACTGTCGTATGTTCCATTTCCCTTTTCTTTGTTCAATTATTATGTATAATATTCCTCACGAAAAGCGTTTCTTTGAATATCAAATTTAACTATGAAATATTGAAATATGAATAATTAATTTTGTTAAACCGTCATTACAGCTTAAACAGACATATGAACAAATCCGAAACATGTATAAATGTTGAAAACTGCCAGTGCCGGGGCCACTTTACCACTACTATTCATGAATAGCTCAATCAAATCAGTGTCTGCACAATATTTTGATTTTTTTTCTTTTTATGTCGTGGTTTGACATGCTTTTATGATATAAAGTTTATCTGATTTTACCGTAAATAGACAAATTCGTATCACATGACGACCATTGGATTCTAGATAATATGACTATTACGTATTTTTGTTTATCATGTGATATATGACATTGTCTTGACGTCATTTTCGCCTATATGGAGGCTTGCTTTATAACTAATTATTGAATTCTTTTTGAAAAAAAATTTTAAAAACTCAAAAATGAGATAAATGAAAAATGAAAAGGGATTTTCCCCAGAAATATAGCAAAAAAGGCCACTAATTAGGGTTTTAAAAATTTCATATAAAGGCTTGACATATTTTTCTGTACCGGGAAAACAAAAACCTTAAAAATTAGGCAAGGCAAATATATGAAAACACAAAAAATGCCCGAAATGGAAACAAAATTTCTTTTCGTTGTGTGAACTTTATGGGTTTGGGAAAACCAACAATGACTTATAAATTATTTTTCGTTAAATTTTAAACCCAACTGTACTAAAAAGAAAAGGTGAAAATTTTTTTTGGTTTTTTTTTTAAAAGGCCAAAATCAATTTTAAGGGCATTAATTTTTTAAGATTTTTTGTAGCTTTTAAAATTAAAATTAAAAATGTGCAAGAAAACGTGTAGATTCTAACAGGAAATTCTTTTTTTAGGCGTAGCCATCTGTTCCTAAAGCTAGATTTGTGAAATAAAATGTTCTTCTACTTTATTTACGATTTCGGAAAAACTACACACTGTTTACCATTTTTCTATTTGAAGCGCTTCGGCGACAGAAAATGATGACGTGATACTCATTCATCATCCCGTCAAACGAAATGTTCTCTCTAAAAGATTGGCCCTATTGTCTTCTATGCAACTGAAAATAAAAATAAAAATTAATTGATTGACTTACTTGGTAATTGAATGTTGTATTTTTATGATTCTAAATGATTCTGAAGAAAACTTTTCGACATCTGTTTACGACAGCGCTGATATCTGGACGTTTCATTGCAACAAAAAGGTTTGAAACTTTGTTTTCAGAGATCAGATTACGTTAAATAAAGTACCACTTTCTGACGAGTTCTCTTCACGTTCCGGCAAATATTTTGCCGTTATAGTGTTATAAAATCCAACATACTTTGCGTTCTGTGAGCTGTGCGGCTGTGTAATTACCTGCGTTATTGAAGGCGTACAGCAACTTAATTAGATGGTTAATATACATAGTTCATCGATTAAATAATTAACACAGGTATACTTTCCCGAAAGACACTATTATAATCATCCGACCCGTGATCATCCCTTGTGTATTGTATTGATTTTAATATACTAAATTAAATTAAATAATATATACACATAACAACTAGATAAGTTTATTCTCATTAAAAAAAAAGGTTACGATATATCCGTATTGTTTTCTTTTTTCAGACGATTTCAAGAATTTTGAAGTTACAGTGTTCAATACAACTGAAGAAAATTTCAAAGATAAAGGAAATGTCACAGGAGGAGCAGTTTGTTATCGAAATAATAACTCTGTACCACTGAAGAAGACTCGTATAGAAGTCACGTGTCATGGATTTCCAGTCGGCAATCTAATACGACTTCATACTGGCACAAGAAAACTTGTAATCTGTGACTTTAGAGTTTACGACGGTAACGTCAGCTTTACTTTCGTTCAGTTGTTTATTCCGTTTACATTTACAACAAATATTTTCATCGTCATGTTTCAATGACAATGAAAAAAAGCAAATGGTTGACGATTGTAGACTCGGGTTCATGTAGTCTTTTCATGAGATGTATTTTACTGTGTAACATTCATGTACCGCCTCCGTGGTCGAGGGGTTAGAGTCAATGACTTCTAATCCAGTTACCTCTCTGGCGTGGGTTCGATCCCCGGGAGAGATGTTTTGGCAGTTTAGCGCGGAGGAAGGTAGTCAAGTACTGGTGTAACTCTCCAGGAACAATGGTTACGAAACTACCCGCCTATATGACTGAAACCTTGTATGGAAAAGGCGAAAAATCAAACAAACAAACAAACAAAATGTTCCTTAGCACAGGCCTAGGGGGCATGAAAAGTTTTGAAACCAATGACCCGAGTGACAAGAGAAAACAATAAAAATGACATCAAATGCTGGGCAATTTTTTACAGTTGTTGAGAGTATAAAATACCGAAGAAGGGTAAATTAATGAGAGCAATGAAGACATTACAAATGGCATAGTTGCAATAGCAGAAAATACTTGAAGGATGACATTACAATAGATAAATTGTAAACCATAATATGCACAATTAATATTGCAGACTCAGGTTTAAAACGCATGTTAAATAACTGTAGTTATAAATGCAAGCTACTTTCAAATACAAGTTTTATAACATTGAGAAAAAATATTTTCAGCTTCTATAAAATAGTATTCTCTTACATTTGTAGGTTGCAAGAACGGATTTTTTGGAAACGGGTGTGAGCGTTGCAGTGCAAACTGTAATGATAATTTCTCCCCTGGACAACGCACATGCAATATACAAAATGGACGTTGCTTAAATGGTTGTAAGTCTGGTTTGATAGGTGACCGCTGTGAAACAGGTAATGTTTTATTACTTTAATCACCTTAGAATAATGAAACCACAAACTATCAAAAAAAAAAATAAATAAAAAAAAAAAAAAACCAAACACTCCACGTGTATGTGTTGGGTAACTTAAGGCATTCGTATGATACAAACAACGCTTATGTTACAATGAAATAGAAATTTACGAATACCTGAATCATTCTAAAACCGGTAAACTTTAAAATGTTGCAAGTTAGGTAAATATAACATCAGTTTGACTTTTTGCAGAATGCGACGAAGGATATTATGGAAAAGATTGCAAAGAATTATGCAATCGCACGTGTAAGAGAACAGAAAGAACAATGTGCCATAACGTAAATGGTATTTGTATTGGTGGCTGCATAGAGGGGTATATTGGAAATTTCTGTGAAATTGGTAATGTCATTATTGATATTTGTGTTTGAGAGGTTTTATTGCACTAGATCTAAATTTATTTCAATCATGTTCGTACAAGAATTTCTTGAGTTCGTGACGTATTAGTAATAGCAAAATATAAACTTCGCGAACATTTCACAATTTACAATATTACTCATAATTACATGTAAAACCTTTAATGGAAACAAACAATTAGATACAATTTATAACATTTACTGTTTGTTTCAGAGAAGTCATCTAGCGATACAGATCTGAGTACAACAGATAACGAAATAACAAAGTTGAAACTAGTTTTGATAATTGTAGGAATCTTTAGTGGGATACTTATTTTATATGTAACAGTTATAATAATTTTGTTTAAACGTACGATGGGACATAACAGTAAGTATTCAGATATTCAAACATTATGTTAGGGGAGATATTGAATTCTGGACAATTCCCCTCCGCCCAATTCTCACACAATTATTACAGAGTCCGCTCCCATAAAATATGTACGAGAGGGAAATTGTCCGCTGTGATACAACAACTGGAGGGGAATTGCCCGGGTTTTCAAAAGTAATCGTACGGGAGTTGTCCAGACAGGAAACTGTTCTAGTATATTTGACATAATATTAAAGTACGTTTTAACTGGTTTGTTTGTTTGATTAAATTTGAGTCAACCGGCACTATAAATGTTATGTGGCGACTTTCAAGCTCGCTCACTAACCATTCGCCTATATTTCAAGCTAAATGCATTGATTTATACAAGACAACTTAATGAATTTTTCGCAAGAAATTATAAAGCTACCTGAAATTTTATTAACTTTAAGGCTTTTAAATAGCATTTTCTATAACTTTGTTAACGTCTAAATAGATTTAACCCTGTCTATGATGTATTAATTTTCTAATTACTCAGCTCAAATTAAAGGAAAAGAGGAGACTGTTGGCCTGTCAAGTCAGAGGTAAATTTTATTTCATCTTAACTCGTTTATATTTAAGTGTGACTTTTTCTCAGATTATAAAGCTTAATTTTGATACCAAAACAGATTTTTTACTTTCACTAAAATGACCCTAATTTATATCAAAAATATTACAATTTAATGAGGGTAAAGTCAAACCGGGTCATTTCTTTTTAAAGCAATGTATAGACCGTTATAGAAATGTAGTTGTAGTCGGATTACGCTCTTGTATCTGTCCTACTTGCCGTTCCAATAAAAAATAAGCATTTTGTTCTTTAAAAGTTTATTATCTTTTACATTTGTAGGTCTTATCTTAATGTAGATGAACCCAATCGATTACGCTCAGTTCGTAATAAAGCGACAATTAAATCAACATTGGGAGAACCGAGGTTAAACACAATTGTTGTCGGCGATGAATCTCATTACACAAACATTGGTCTCCAAACAAAAACAGTCGAAACAACATACGAAGATATTTAACTGACTTTATTGTTAGAGAATATTTGATAAAGGGTGTTTCAAAGGCGATTAGTGCATCTATCAATTCATATTTTGTGATTTGATGTGGAGGTCTATCCGTCATGATATCTTGAATATTTTTCTAAATATTCATGTCATCTCTTGAAATATGGAAACTTTGTTTCATACTTATACTAAGCAAAAAGCCGATTGGCTACTTGTCTAAAAAACGTTAATCAGAATTAAAATAATTTATCATGTTTTGCTTTATTAATTTTTACAAATAATAAAGTGCTAGGCTCTGTACAAGCTTATCGCTAGGATCATTTCATTTGTTACATGTAGCTTGTGTCAGTTTATTCGCATGCTTACAGATACTGCCAGATTGTGCCAAAGGATTGTGAGTTCAATTACTTATATGCGCGTTTTGTGAGCAAGATGAGTTTGGAGTATTTCCAATGTTTTTAAGCGCTTGATAAACCCCAACATCTAGCTGACATTCATGGTGCAGATAAATTAATAAAACTGTCGCACCTTTTTAGAAATTAACCCAATATTGCATTTCATTGCAGCAAATCACAATTGAAATGTGTTCATTCATTTGTCTTAAGCTTATACATAATGTCAATTATTGAATCTCAATTCATTTCATGATGTGATATGTTCTTTTAAATTCCATATGTCGTTATATCATATCGAATTGGTATTCGTATGTAACATAATTTCATCTATAAAATCCTTAATGTATTCAACTGCTTTATTCTTTAGACGACATGCTCACGAATGTTTCCTAGTCTGTGTAATGGATATGTTTGTAGCATGCTATGTTTTCATGTCAATATGATACGAAAGAATATACGAAAAACAAGAACAAATGAACTAACACAATACCGAACGGGTAATGAATGAATGAGTGAATGAAAGAATACATGAACATTTTGTATTTATTTTACAATAAAAGATGGAACACTGTTACATTTTGAATTAATAGTTCTAGTTCAAGATATATTTATCATATATTTATCCTAATGCTAGTCATATTCTTAGAAAACTGTATTAAGAGTTCCAAATATCATGTTGTGTTATTTATATTTACAATTAAATACATACAAACATGATTCACATTGAATACAAACCTTACATTGGATGCAAGTAACGTTATAGATATGCTATGAAAAGTAATAGAATCCATTATGATTGATTAAATGATATCTTCTTTATTTTTATTTCTGCGAATGTTTTGCCTCTGCGTCAATTCCACTGTATAAAGAGTGTGTAATATGTAAAGGTATATTCACTTAATAAATATCTTGTAAATAAATTTGTTTTGACGTTTGTTATTTTGTTATTCACTTTTCATATACTCGTATAATTAATTGTACATGCTAAAATTTAGTTTTTTTTTTATGAAGTATTTGGGTTCGTAAAAAAAGCATAAAATAATATTTATACCAAAAACAAAAAATTTTTCATAGGGCCAATGGAAATTTTAAAGCAAAACGTCAGTAACATACAAAAAAGAAATGTAAATTTAGATAGCAAAAACAGACATATTCATAATATTTATAAAAAAGCATACTTTACCCAGGAGCCCACTTCAAAAGCTAGCAGAAATATCATTTCACTTTATTTTGCAGAAATTTAAAACCGCAAAAACGGAACAGGGGGTCAATCAATATGTAGGCAGTATGCTAGTCACGTATGTCGGTCATTATACGTATCAGTATGTCAGTTACATACCTAACAATACAGTCGAATGCTTAGAAGAGTTGTTTGTCATTCCTATTCGTAATAATAGGTTAGTCATATACATATACGTAGCAATATGTCACTCACATACGTAGCTGTATTTCAGTTACATACGTAAACGTATGTCAATCATATGCGTAGCAGAGTAGTTAAATATGTAGGAGTATGTGGCAAGATACATTAATTGTAGCCGCACAGTCAAATACGTAGCTGTATGTCAATAAATACATAGCCGTTCAGTCGAATACGTAGCTGTTTGTCAGTAAAAACATACAGCAGGCAGTACAGTCAAATACGTAGCTGTATGTCAATTAATACATAGCCGTACAGTAAAATACGTAGCTGTATGTCAATTAATACATAGCCGTGCAGTAAACTACGTAGGTGTATGTCAAAAAATGCATAGCAGTACAGTCAAATACGTAGCTGTATGTCAATAAATACGAGTACATAGCCGTACAGTCGAATACGTAGCAGCATACAAGCCAATTTTATAGCAGTTTGCCAGTGTCATACGTAGTAGTACAGTCACATACATAGCAGCATGCACACATTCAGAAGGTCAGATATTAACTTGAAAACTGTTGGCTAAAAATATGACTGAACAAAAATCGACCTCCTATTATTTGTACGAGGAGCTTAATTGACAAGAAATAATTCACAACACAGATCTTAACTGAGCTTGTATTTCTATAAATTGTACTGATAATCATTTACATGTTGATCGAGCTTCTTACATTAACTTTGACTATCATCTACTGCAGAATGTTCGCCAACATGAATTTTAAAATTCGTGTTTATGTAAAAGTTATTTATGTGAAATCATCTATCTTTTCAATCTAATCCAAATGCTCACAACTTTGATTTATCTGAGATGTGGCAGTTATCTGAAGTAACTTGCAGTTATTTTATTTAAATAGACAGTCGGACAACTGACAAGGCTGTACACGCGAAGATTATATGGTTAGTTTGTTTGTTTTATTGGGTTTTACGTCATACCGACACAGTAAATGTCATTTGGTGACGTTCCAGCTTTATCGGTGGAGAAAGATCTTAGGTGCCATTTCGATAGTGATAAACGGGCATCTGAGTAGAACCACCGACGGAACGAACCACCGACGTTCCGTAGATGGTAAGTTGAAATGGATAAATATGTCCAAGTGCACTTTTTCGCATTCATATGACTACCGTCTTATTATTGTTCATCGCCGTTTCGAAGAGAAATAGGCTCCGTCCGCCATCTGTCGCATTTTATGTGCGGGCGAAAACTGATAGATGAAAATATTATGTCGCCTACCTCCAAGGACAGGTTCACAGTTAGAGATTAAAGGTTAACATAGTCTGTTACAATGTATAGGATGTACTTTGTTGCCAGTTCATAACTTTCTCATCCATCAAGGAATTTTGAAAATATATGGCACACATGTTCACTGTAAGAATAGAAGGTAATGTGTACCAAAACGCCTAACTTTAAGATCAAGGTCACATTTGGAGATAAAAGGTCAACATCATCTGTTCGAGGGTTTTCCTGGTGTCCGGTCCATAATATTTTCATCTATCAAGGAATTTTAAAATTGCTTGGCATAATTTTAACAATAATGGGGCCATGTCTTTAATGTCAAGGTCACACTTGAGTGTTTAAGCTCAACATGATCTGTTCTTGGGTATATTTTATGTGCGGTATAAAACGTTTTCATCAATCAAGGGATTTCAAAATAACTTGGCCGAAATATTAATAATAAGACGACATGTCATGCGCAACACCTCGACCCCTACCTCAAAGGTCAATGTCTCACTTAGAGGTCAAAGCCTATAATAGTCTGGTTGATGACTGGACACGAATAATAACCTGCAACAGACATATCCTACATTGATTTTGTAATTGTCGCATTAAGTGATAACAAGGTAAGTATACAAATGTATTTCTGTTGACACATACACATGAGTTATTTCATTATATTTCTTTAATGAATTTATTGTTACTTGCATTTACAGATCTAGCATTGATCAAATTTTTGCACTGAAAGTCCAGATCCATACATCATTTTTTTGAAATAACACAATTTTGTGCTCTGTTACAAATTCTTGTTCAGAATAGTTTTGATCTAATATTTAAAAATAAATCCTATAAATATGCCCTATGTTCATAGAAATTAGATACAATGTATGTTTGTTTGATTGGGTTTTACGCCACATTGGTACAGTATCGGTCAGCAACGTTCCGGCTTTACTGGTGGAGGAAGATCTCAGGTGCCCTTCCGTTAATTATTTCAGAAACGAACGAGCACCTGAGTAGAAGCACCGACGTTCCGGAATTAAATTAAGTATTAATTTGGATAAAATTTTCTTACTCATACGGCCCACTCTGAGAAACAATCGAAAAACGCTAAACCAATGAAGGAATACTATTACTGTATTTCAATAGTTTTGCAACATTTAAAATTTGAAATACACAAATTGAGCATTACATTCTAAGGAGTGAATTGACAAGCCAAGAAAATGCTCAGTCAGTCACTTTTAATTTCAATATATTTTTTTAAACTCATTCATAATAAGAACTAAGATAAGGACAAACTCAGTGGATGTATTCGTAAACCTCATTTTATCTAGAAGAATCAAAATCTGTTTTCAACCTCACCAGTTAGAATTTGATGTTTGATAAACTAGTAAAAAGTACGACTGAAAGGGAATATCTTCTAACCATGAATTAATTAGCCCATGGATAATTCAATAAACAAAATGATCCTATGAGTTCTGTCTTGTATTCGATGCACAGAAGACACTTTTCTTATAACTAATAATTGTTGAAAACATCATGTCACGATTTTAAAGAGAAAGTATGCGATGATGTTATGATTTAAAAGTACTACTGCTCACTATATTTCCAAATAATTTGACGGCATTAACAGCACTCAATGCAAAACAAATAATCAACATATTTGATATTACACTCAATATGTTGGTGAAATAAAAGTACAAAAAACAACGATCATACTACATTATTTACTAACACAAAGTATGCAAATGTCTTTAAAAATCATTTTGATTCTTTAGGACAATTTATAGTTATTTTTCTAATCGATGTACAGTTACTTGTACTGATACATTGTAAATTCAGACAACTTCTCTAAAATAGACAAAGATGACTGTCATATTGCACTCCCTTTCTTTTTATACAGTTTTGTTCATGTAAAACATTGAGTAGAAAAAAATGCCTGTTTTTTAATATTTATACAATGTGTTGTCAATCGATTTGTTTTAGTGTAAATGGCTGTGCAAATGAATCAGTTGAATGTATTTCTGTTGGGTCAATTCATACAAATGAATAATAATAAAAAATATATATCGAAAACTTGGAGGTCAAGCAGTTTTATAAACATGAATAATCAAGCTTTGCAATATATTAATGCTTTATTTTCTATGAAATGTATTTAAATAATCGAATCGTCGAATTGAGAATTTAAGATATATTTCTAAACAAAACACTTTCCAATTCGTAATCAACAAATGACGGTTTGAGTGTTTAAGTTTTGAAAGTACTTTGATATGGTATTTAAACAAGTAACCGGCCTTTAAAAAAGCTTTTAAAACTTCCTTCTTGTCATTAACATTATACAAATGGAGCTGAAACAATGCTTTTCAAATATGAAGTTGCTTGGAGTTTTCTTTGCAGTAATAGGTGCGATTTTCAACTTTGGTAAGAATAAACTTTTATTTTAGAAATTGTTTTGTAATATTGTTTCTTGTTAAAATATAACTCGTTTATTCAAATGTTATGACGATATTAATGTAGCATCAAATTATCCTAATCATATAAACTTTTTTTTTGTTGAAATATAATCGATAGTTATAGTGACCGAAATTTCAAGTGTGATAAAGACAATTCTTCAAATTTAATTCTCAATTAAAATGAGTTAGATGAAGTTGGATGTCATAATTCTTTTTTGCATTTGCGTTCAAGCCATTTGCCGCCCTTTTCTAACTTTTATATGTCTTTTTAACTTGATAAGGTTGTTTGCAGCCTAATAATGATATGCGTTCTATAATCGCAATGTAGCAATTGTAAGATGTTCTTTAAGCAAATGAGCCGATGGACATTTATTCAACTAATTTAATGTTTATAATTTAATAAAACTGTGCAATATATGTTGAAATTATTTCATTGAGAGGAGCAAACACAGATTTAAAGAATCTTTTCCAAAAATGCGGTGTTGTGTTCCATGTCATGTATCCTTATCACTACATATACATTAAGATAGTACTTTAGTAGTGGGTAAAAATAATTGTTACGCTACCTGACGTAGCCCTTTTATTTTCATTTTTTTGTTATAATGTATTTGATACATTTTACACAAATTTTACACTGACTATTTTCTCATTTATTACGGTAGCTTATATTAAGTACAACCGTTCATGAACGGGCTTAATCAAACAGAGCCTGCAGCATTTTCATTTTTGCCACTTTAACTTCTTTTTATCTAAAATATAAAAACACAAGTAAATCAAAGGAAGGAGAGAATACACATCAAACATCAGGATGGTTTATAACTGGTTTATTCTAGGATCTACCGGTTTCGGTCTTTCAAGACCTTCATCAGGATACATTTCAAAGAAATATAAAAAGAAAATAATAGAAAAGCTAATCCTGAGCTGTTAATTAAGTAATACGATTACAAAACATCCTTATATTCTGCCGTATCCACATATGCCACATATATGTTCTTGAAGTACACTCTTTTTAGTCGTGTTTAGATAAGTTATATAACAATTTAGAGTTTAAAAGTGAGAATAAGGTTCGATTTTCATGGAATGCACACTCCACAATATTATAAGAAAGCGACATATGAAGATACGGGTAGAGGTATGAGCAAAGGCGGGAACAGGGGCAACACTTTTGCAATCAAGTTTTACAGATGGATTGGGTTTGATATATGATAGAAAATGGGGATATTTATTAAATGTATATTTTATTTTAATGTATTTGCATGATACCATTAATTACTGTAATACTAAAATATTACAATAATATTGTAACGTGTTATTTTTAAATGTATAAGTGTTATGTTGAATTTAAAAATTAGTACAGTATGTTTGTCTTATCATTGGATAAATAGTGTGCCCATTAACTAAATTGCCAGGAGTAAAGTGTGTGGATTATCTAAATGGTTAAAGTTTGCTCACACATTGTAGAAATTATGCAATTTCTCCCTAGGCATTTAGCGGAAAATTAACCACATGACCACCATGGAATGATAAGCCATTATCTAGGAATAAGGATAAAAAATTATGTAGGCCTCGGAAAAAAGAAAAGTGTGTTAAGGACTAAGATGACAAGTGTACATTAAAATGATTCAAAACCACTTAGACCGATGAGGAAAACTAGAAAAGATTTCAATAATTGCTGTTGTGTAACTGGTGACATTTACCTCATTTTTTATCTAGCTTCCTTATTTCAGGGACAAAATAAACAGTATGCGAAAGTCGACCTTTAATGCATTTATGATTATATTAACTTGAGTTATATCAACACAATTAAGTTAATTGTAATACCATTTGTTATGATTTCTAATTTGAAGGCTTGGAAGGCATTTTGTTCCACCTTTTAATCTACACGTGCTGGCTGAAAGTTTAAGTAACGTTTTACTTACATTTGCGTTTATGTATTAAGCCCTTCTGATACTTGTATAATAGTTTTGAAGACCTTTCTAATGAAAATGTGACAAGAATTAAATCGTATACACATATATGCACATTATGTTTACCGTTGAACATGCATTAGTTATCATCATTCACGTTATTGCACTGCCTGTCAGGGATTAAAATAAAGCATGCTTTTAATTGCCTATATTTTATCTAGGGTTTTAGAAAATTATGTTAGGTGCCCGATCATTGGTTCCCCTTTTCTTGGGTTTCATACTGTGACAACAGGAAAGGTGTCTATATTTTTGCCTATTATACATAAAAAAATAACATCGAAACATAATATGCCCCTAACCCCTTTTCAGAAAGCCTCGTGTTTCGATGCTCTTTCTGTTACATAACTTTGAAGGTACTCCGTGTCGTAAAATAATGACAGGTTATAGGCTGCAAAGACTTATTATCAAAAGGGAAAACTTACTTGATTGCAGCTTGTTTTTATGTATATTTTTACACGAAAGGTACAAGTTGGTCATTAAATTTAAAGTCGTACAACGAGTAATGGATGTCGTTTTTTTGTAGACGGGTAACTAGGTGAATGTTATTTGCTTTTAATTGAATGTTTGAAATCATGACATCATTTCAGGGAGCTGTGACACAGTGTGTGACTTTGATCGTGTAGGACCAGAATGTCAGTTTAGTGAGTATAACATGTCAGATTTCTTTCGCAAAATAATGTATACTGTATTCAAAAATATGATTCCACCATTTGAATACAAAGCCCTTAGGCCAACACACTCACCTTTATGACACTTTATAGATTTAATGGCATGGTTTTTGTATGGTTCTATATACATTTATATTTTCATTTTATCAATAAATTATTTTATCGTCATACATACTATAACGATTAACTTAATTAAATAAAAGAACTTCCATTATTTATCGAAAAGAACGTAGGTACTTATGAAAAAAAGTCTTTGAACTATCTTGACTGCTTTATACATATTTAGTATGTTGTTATTGATTTTCAAATTCCTTTGCTTGGTGAAATTTTTCAAATGAGAAAAGAATGCAATTATGCATGTATATAAGAAGGACCAACGCTAAAGCAATTTTCAGTCTGGCCTGGCCGCACAAGAGTGATGAAATATTGCTTTTATACACTATTTTATTTCAATCAAAAAATGTTAATGCAATCAAATTCTAAAAGTTATAAGCATTTTAGAAACCCTTTCCTAGCTATGAAACAACTGTTATTTATAATAAATCAAAAGGCCCATTATGTCACAGAAATGCTTTTATTTATCTTTCTAGAAGGCTTTTATTTTTTGATTTTCAGTTAAGTATTCTAAACGCTACTAATTGGTCAATTATTTGAACCATGTTTCGCTTCTATTGCATTTTGGAAATTAAAAGGGGTTATAGTAATTGAGTATTTCGTATGGAAGTCAAACTACTTCTTTGTTTACCTTTCGAAACTTTAACGACAAATAATTTTCTATTCAGTGCTACTTTCATCAGGTGAAAATCATCTAACCTGTTCATAAACCACAATAAAATTCATTGTGTCCCTTCCGAAGGTTAGGAAAATTTTTGTTTTTAAGGCAAAGTTCGCCTTTCAGATTCATACAAGTAAGGTTGTATATTTCTAATTCATTTGAAATCAATATTTCAGAGTACTTAAATGTCTATGATCTAGACGACAAAAAGCGATAGTAAAAATATATCGCTATTATACAACATTATAGTAAACATAGTCCTACAAATCAATTTATCTTTTATTCTTTTATTCTTACCAACACTTAAACCGAGAAGTATCTTTAAAAAATACTTGTCCCAAGTAAAAGCGGTTAACATGCATACGAGGTTTTTAAGTTTTGGATACATGTACAATATATAAAAATGTTATAAATGTTTGCATAATAATGACAATAATTTATTGTCATTCTAATTTCTTGTAGCTAAGAAAAACATACAAAACGATTTTGTAAACATAGAAATTAAATTTTAAGCATAATGATGTCCCTCCAAAGTAGGCAAACTTTTATTCTACTGTTATTTATTTAGATGTCCCTATCACTTGTTTTTACTTTTTACTTTATACATTTTGAATTTATATGCAATATTGAAAGTATCATTCAAAGAATCACATATGACATATTTTAGAACGCTTTAAAATTTTACTTGAGAATGACTATAACTACCCTTACATTTTATTTTAGAATGGCCAATAAGATAATCAGATTTCAATTTTAAAATGACCAATGAAAATGTTTCCCTGTAAATTCAAATGGATTTTAGACGTCCTTCGGTCGGAAATTTAACATTAGAATGATTATAACATGATATCTATATTTAGTGTTTCCCCATACTGTTTAGTTACATAGTATCCTACATATATTTTCCGACTTTCTCGCAGATAACATTGCATACGGAAAAGATTCACGTTTCGACAGTAATACCGATCCACCTCGCTATTCATACTTAGCTAATGATGATGACTTATCCACGTGCAGCTATACGTCTCTTAGAAATATTGTTGCACCTTGGTGGAACATTTGGTTACCGGAGACCGCAACATTAAAAAAACTTGAGTTTGTCACTGAGGAAAGCCATCTGAGTAAGTTAGCTTTTCTGTGTTTTCTGTGATAGAAGTATGAAATATATTTTGTTTTAATGTAATATGAAATTATAAATTTCACCAAATGTGACGGTAAAACGAGCCTCATTGTAGTCATAATTATTCAATAATGTAAAGAAATAAATTTTGTTTATTTTGCTTTTTTAATTAAATACTTTTAAGCATGATTTTGGATACTTTAGAAAAAAAAATGTTGTTTCATGTTATTATTTTAAGTATGTTTATTTAAAATAAATAATATATTTGACATATATACAGGTTAATGTTGAAATTATGCTAGCATATTGAATGGGTAGTTTGCTACTGTTATCATTATACACGACATTTGAATATGGAAGGATATAAACTTTGAACTGCAATAAGCAAAAACAATCACCTTATAAGAAACCTTTATTTATTGAATGACATTTTGTTTTGGTATATAAGCATCGTGAACGAAAAACTTAGTTTTGATGAAAGAAAAACACAACAAAAAAAACAACAACAACAAAACATTTATAAATAGGTCAAGGACATAAAGCCAGACGAGTATAGATTTTGTTTCATATTCCCCTTTTTTATACATTCACGATAGAATGACGCCATGATGTGGGTAATTAGAACACTGAGATATATGTAAATGGTAAAAAACAACAGCAAGTCTTTGTATGTTCTCGTTAACATTCAATTAGAAATGTTATGTTTCTCATCCTTTTATTTGTTCGCAAGACATAATTGTTGTAATTGTAGTCAATTTCTCTATTCCTTTTTTCTTGTTTGGTGGCTCCATCATTCCTAGCGGAATAACGTGTATTTAGCCTTGTTTCCCCAATTTGCCTTTAAACAACAAATTCCCTTTTAAACTTAGTTTGTTTTCTCCCATTGTTTTCCCATTAAGTCTATATGAATTTGTACTTGGCCATGCGCAGCTTTTCATGGAAAAGCACAAAATGTTGTTATATTGAACGTTCCATGATCATCCCCGTATGAAGATATCTGCGGAATCTAAATGCAAAATATTCCCATTTTATGTAGATGTTGAATACTGTTAAAGACAGTCTGAGGGTGCGTAGACGGTACTTTGCATTCACCGCTACTGCACACTAACTACATACTGGTTTGTCGATAAAGGTTTTATATAGGGATTACGTTTTGCCTTCTTATAATATGTTTTACTCCATACCTTACTGTGTTACATATATCTTATAAATTTAAACGTCTATATCTCGTTGAATCTAAGGTCAAAATCTTGTTTTATGTTAATGCTGAGGTTATTTGAATAAAGACATAGAGTATAAGAATGTTTTATTTCAACTTAAACATACAAGGCAAAATATATTTTATCTAAGATATTTTGTGCATGTTGGCTTCTATCCTGAATTAGGATTTTCACTCAGTTATGAGTTAATAGTGTTGAGAGTTGCAATAAATTAATTACTTTATTCCTTTTTCAATTGTAATAAGTCAATAAATTACAAACAGCTAAAAATTCATTTAAATCAGATAGGCGAATGGTTGGGTGGGAGTAAGAACGTTCAGACATTTGGGCGGACGTCAAACAGGTAGTTTCCGGTAGATAATTAACGTTTAGAATGGAATGTTGCTTTTAACTTAATATATAGCAAGTTAGTTTAGAGAAGTCGCTTAGGATTGCTTTTTGGCCCTTTAGGGTCACTGAATTAAAAATGGTTATCAATCAATTATTACACTTAGAAATAAAATGATTGTTATAAAAAAATTGTATTTAATTGGGGACACATGCAAAAATAAATTTCATTTCTTAGTTTTGAATTTTTCATTCATTTTTCAAGAAATGTCTTCAAAAAAAATACATTAGACAGTCAAAGGAACAAAACTGTCTTAACTTGACCCGTGTTGGTCAGGCTAGGGCGCTAAGATTTTACAAAAGTTATCACAGTGAACTCTGGAAACGTTAAAGAACATGCCAAATAAATGACGTAGACTTTTTGCAGTCATACAATGTCCATAATATCTGTTATAGTAACTTCCCGGGTTTATTTAAGTCACATGACTTGTTTTAAAACTATTTGGTGATTCTGTTGGCGTCTACATTTCGTTTAACATACATTGTATATAGATATATGTACGCTTCAAGCCTAAATATATATAGAATTTATACTGGGACTTTAAAAAATGTCACTTTAGCGTGATTTGAGTACATAAAGATCATTTTAATTCTTTTGTCATTATTTTGAGTGTCCCTTGAAGTATAAAAATTTTGCTCTGATCCTAAGAAATAATGTCAAGATTACTATTTCTAAAAACAGAAATATGGTTTCCGGTCAGTAACTGCATTTAGGGATGACAAATTGTATATTTACACCTTGCTTGTAATCCTTTCTGGCCCCTAGGGCAAGGTCAATAACTAGAATTACGAATAAGATGTAGTTAAACTTAGTATAAAGCAACCTTTATTTTTACTTTGGATTGCGTTTTGATTCTATAGTGTAAAACTCAGTTAGATATAATGTGACTTTAAAGTTTATTAAGAATCGAAAATGAACGATTATCAGCGTTTTTGACATTTTCTAGGTACATTTGATTGACAGCCTGTACTGTACACCTTTACAAATATCTTTCATGTAATTATTTCCCCTTGTTTGGTTGACAAACTAGAACTGAAATTGCTCAGATAATCTTTTATGTTTCCTATTGTTATTATATCACATCAAAAATTAATGGCATACCTATAATGCTAAAATATATATGTGTTTTGTGTTTTATTATTAATTAAGATATACCATTACATAAGGATTTTCTCTGTAACTTTTGTAATAATTACTTATTCTTTCAACACATTTAAGGTTTGGGAACTGAACATGTGACATTTTGATATTGTTTTCTTATTGGTGAATTTGGTTCATACCTCGACCAACCAAAACATCATAAAGGGTATTTTTAATCACTCATGCTTTGCAACTACAGGTATTTGGTATCATTGTCAACGTTTACCCTTCTATTGCACTGTTAGACATGAATTGGCATTGGACTCTAGAGCCTTAGGCCTTTGTATTTGTTAATGGCTCTGTATCTTATTTTACTATAGGTCATTTTTCTGGCTTTGAGGTAACAGTGTACAATACAACTGAATTGAATTTCAAAAGTAAAGGACCAGTATCAGGAGGACAAGTTTGTTTTAATCATAATAACTCTATACCACAAAGAACAAAGATACACGTCACATGTAATGGATCACCTGTTGGTAAACTTATAAGAGTTCAACTTCAAAGCAAAGGATTTCAACTTGTACTTTGTGATTTTCGTATATACGGAGGTGAAAGTTTAATTATTTTATAAGTAGTTTTATCTTTTTACTTTGGCGATTTTGTTAGTTTTATTCGAAACTTTGTAAACCGATAATTATACCAGAAAGTTATATTTTTGTCAAAAGCATGATAATTGAAGTGAAATAATTTTCAAACTTTAAAGCTCTATTGATAATATCTTAAAATTGTTCTTACCACTGACAGACTGTTTTAATGGTTTTTATGGAAATGATTGTCAAAAATGCAGCGATAACTGCGAATCTTCGATACATCAGTACTGCGATTCAAAAAATGGGCATTGCTTACAAGGTTGTAAACCTGGTTGGAAAGGTTATCGCTGTGAAACAAGTAAGTTATTTTCAACATATCTACTCTTTTTTCTTATTATTAAAAGCACTTTGCGTTTTTATCTATAATAATAGTTACAATATAAGTATGAAATATTTTTGAGACATCAAATGAATCTAAAATTTATTATTTCATACCGACCATATTCTAGTTAAAACTATAATAAGATTAACAATCAGGTATTTTTTCAAGGCTAATTTGTTAACAATTTGTCTCAACACCAGAAGTTATGTTTTCCAACAAGCATCTGTGTATTGCAGACTTAAATTCTAACTCCCAAGTACTGCATGCCAAAGTAGTTTTAATTTAATATGCGACTGTCATGGCAACTGACCGATAAAACTGATCAAGTGAGTAGTTTGACGTAAGAAGTAAACCATGCCAATTATCACATATGTGCAATTTAATTATTGACAATATCAGGGACGGAAGGCTGAATGTTTTAAAAATGATATTTTTATTTATCACAAATGCTTCTTTTGTCTAATCAAAAATATTTTGACTGTATTAAAGTGTGATTAAGATGATATTTAATAGAATAGCCTTGCACATGGCAGTGCTTTTCGGACATTCAGCTCATTTTTCTTGTTGATAATGATAAATTAATCGTAGACTTACCTCCTGTTATTATCAAGAACAAAACAACTATCCTTTATATAATCAAAGGGTGATAATGATGAAAATATAGAATATTAAGAAAGCAAAATTATTTGGAGTATACTTTTATTACGTATGATTTCAACGTAAAAGTATTTTGTTAAAGGTTATAGCTTTGATATTTTATTAGAAATAAAATATCGAAACTTAATTTGTTTGAATCAAAATATGTAAGCATTAACTTATAAACGTTTTTTTTTATCAGTCACAAATTTCGCGGAAATGTCCATCAGAGAAATAAGCAATTTCGAAAAGCTCGAATTTATCTAAAAAACAGCAACACTAAGGACATTTTTAAGAGTGAAAAATTAAGATGGGTATGATGTCGCGTTTCTTTGACAATACGTGTATTTTTTTTCTTGTTGTAACTATACAGACGTCTTAAACAGATAACGGTTTGTAATACCAATACCAAGTTATTACTTTTACAATTTACAACTCCCCAAATATCTTGATTAATTCTAGTATAAATTACATTCCTCTTCGAGTTTACTTGAACATAGTCTGATATGGCTAACACCACAAGCCAAAGTGAGTTTAAAGAACAAAAAACAGAAAAATAACCTCGGGTTGATATTGAAGTATTTATTGACACATTAATAGGCATCAGTCACGTGAGCTATAACAATAATATTATGTGTGTATTCAACTTAAAACTATTTTGTTTTAGAGATTATCACTTTGGTATATAACTGTGGATAACATATCAAATTAATTAATTTGTATAGAAAAACAAAAATTAATTACGATTGAACAAAAAAAAAAATATGATAAATGCTTTGCCCTGTTTTCGATTTTACAGAATGTGAAAATGGCATTTGGGGTGAAGATTGTAGACGTACATGTGGTAAATGTGATCGTTCAGCGTGTGATCATATTACCGGGGAATGTCCACGAGGGTGTTCTGCTGGGTATAAACTACCTTACTGTGATACAGGTAACGCAGTTATTACAAGCTGTTCTTCAAAACACAAAAAAGAAAAGAATGTTACTGGTTCAGAATCAAGGTCAACCGATATCAAAGTTCAAATCTGCATCCAAATCTATGTAAACTGTATGTAATCAGTCAGAATTGCAAGGCTGATTATTTTCAAAACTTTTTAAAGAACGTTGAGGATGTTTGCTTTATGGATATTTAATATATAAGGAAACTCAATGTCACCATTGTGATAATGTGAACAATCTTGTTATCGCTCTATGCTCTATGCTCAAGGACTATTCTTTTTGGCTTCAGGGAAGAAAATTTATAAATTGTTTATATAAATATTTTAAGAAAAACTATAAATTGACACTAATGACAAACATCGTTTGAAATATGATTGTAATTTGTCATTGATATTTGATTTTAACAGAAAAAACTACATTTACATTGTATTTTAATTTACAATGTAAGTTAAGGCTATTCGTTGTTAACTATATTTAATTTTCTTTATGTTTCAACGTTTGCTTATTTTCAAACAATCTGAAAGACATTTTTTTTATTAAAGGGTGGTTTGAAATACATTGTTTGTGCATGAACTGGAGAGTGTGGTTGTTTCATACATATACATTTCACCGAATTTTCTAAGCTCAATTACTGAAATCATGGATGTTTCTTTAATCGCGATGGTGTGGGGTGGTGTTAAGATTCAAGTTTATATCGTTTGATGCGGTGAATTACGAGCCAAAAGTAAATACCCGTCACCATAGTTTAGTTACTATAAATAGCGTATCATATATGAAGCATGATATATGAGATGAAGATTGGATGGACAAGGAAGAATATATAAATTGGACATGTACTATACAATATAGGATACAATAATGATCATATATAAATATATGATGATAAATGACCCCGAGACATCATTCTCCGCTCAGTTACAAGTCGTCCCGACATTTCCATACCTTACAGTCACTAAACGATTTACAGCTACATACCTAGGGTCTGAAGTCTATATACATCTACTTTTTACAAAGCAGTTACAAAAAATTTCACTTCCAATTTCAGGTTATGGTTAAAATTAAGTTTATATTTACGTTCAAAGGAATTATTAACAAAAAAGACAATTTCATATATTCCTATGTAATGCTTCACAAAGTATTTAAGTAATAATTACAATAAATACTATAATTTCTTGTGTAGTTAAACACATAGAAAATAAATAAAAACTGTATCAGATATTTGTTAAAATAATCTGACATGATCAAATTTTATTAATTACTTAAAAAACATACAGATTTGAATAAAACCACCACAAGGGTGTTCTACTGGGTTTGAAACCGCCTTACTGTACTACAGGTATCACATTTAAATGTTTTAAGTAATTCTTACACGAATTTGTTAAAATTAATTAAAATGTCTAATTGATATCTCTATGTTTGTGTCAGTGTTGTTATATTTTTTCTGGACTTTCAGGAGGAATGTTGCACTTACTAGTATTCAATATCCCTCATGTGCAAACTCAATTAAACAGTCTGCAGTTTTCATGTAATTTTGTTGTGATTAGGCATGTCAAGTGATGTATGGCAGCTGTAGAAAGTTGCCCCGAACTTCACTTCAGTGTTGTTATATTTGTCTGGTCCTTTGGGATCATTGATGCTAGCACTATTGAGTGTTGAGAATTGAGTACCAAGCCGTGAGGGGGCGTGAGGGATGTTGCACTTATTCATTATCCCTCATGTACAGACTCAATCAAACCGAGTCTGCAATTCTCTTGTTATTTTGTTGCGATTAATGCTTCCGAGGGATCACTTTGTTTCCAGATTTTTATAACCGTGATTGCCGTTGCCGTCCGCAAACATTAACTATGATCATAACTTTTTAAGTTTTTATGCCCCCACAATGTTGGAGCATATAGCGTTGCACTTGTCCGCCGTCCGTCTGTCCGTCCGTCGTACGTCATGAAATCTTGTGAACGCAACTCCTCTTAGACCGGATGGCTGATTTTGCTTAAACTTACAGGGATGAACAAGCTTAATGTGTAGATGGTAGTAAAGGAAAGAATTTTCGCTGCGACCAAATTTAACAGAATTATGGCCCTTTGTTGATTTTGTCACTATATACTTTGTAGAAAATTTGTGAATGCAACTCCTCTTAAACCGGATGGCAGAATTTGCTTAAACTAACAGGGATGAACAACTTTAATGTGTAGAAGGTAGTAAAGGAAGGAATTTGTGCTGCGACCAAATTTAACAGAATTATGGCCCTTTGTTGATTTTTTCACTATATACTATGTAGAAATTTTGTGAACGCAACTCCTCTTTAACCAGATGGCAGATTTTGCTTAAACTAACAGGGATGAACAACCTTATTTTGTAGATGGTAGTATAAGAAGGAATTTTGACTGCGACCAAATTTAGCAGAATTATGGCCCTTTGTTAATTTTTTCATTAAATAATATGTAGAAATTTTGTGAACGCAACTCCTCTTAAACCGGTTGGCAGATTTTGCTTAAACTTCCAGGGATAAACAACGTTAATGTGTAGATGGTAATAAAGGAAAGAATATTTGCTGCGACCAAATTTAACAGAATTATGGCCCTTTGTTGATTTTTAGTTTTTTACTTGCGGTACATGTAGTCCAAATAATATTTGACCTAGAGTCGTAAGATTGACAGAACAGTGGCGTGTGGGGACATCCGTGTCCTATGGACACATTTTTAGTTTTTATATATATTGTCATCCCGACTACTTGGCAACAACAAGTAGACTAAACTAAATGTCAATTATTAATACTAGTAACCATGACCTTCAATGTCAAATATCTCAATTTTGCTAGATTTTTGCTAGCTTTTATTTTTTGTAGCTTCTTTGTTATTTTGGTATGGATTGTCTTCAAACTAGAACACAATAATATTTTAGGAAGCTTTTCAAGTTAATAAGACATACCGTGACCTGCACTCATAAATGACAATGACATTAATGGTCAAAGTATTGAAATTGTCTTCCTTATTTCCTCCTGGAGCTAGCTATAACCCTGATATTAAACAAAGGATTGATTTTATATTAGGATACAACATTTTTCAAGATGGGACCTTCATGAGTATTAAACCCAATTGGCATTGGCTTATTAATGACCTTAACTTTTAAGGTAAAATTATTGAATTTCACTGATTTTTGCTAAACAAACATATTGAATAATGTAACTTTGACCTTTAATTGACATTGACCGCCAAGGTAAAATTAACGAAATACTTTTATTTATTTCCTGTAAATGGCTGTAACTTTGTTATTTATAAATGGATTAACTTTATATTTAGACACATCATATTTTAGGTCAGGACCTTTATGTATAACAAAATCAAATTGATCTTGCCATATGTCTGACTTTGACTTAAGAGGTTCAAATTATTGAATCGTCACTGATCATTGCTATAATTGGCTGTTACTTGGTAATTAATCAATGAATTATCTTCATTATTGGACAAAAAACCTTTGGAATAAAACCTTCTTAAAGGCTGAACTGACATTGACATTGAGTTTTAAATCACATTGACCGTTGAGGTCAATTTAATCAATTTTGGATGAATTCTCATTATTTTATAAGTATGTATTGATTTGAGTTATACATAGCAAAAATCTGGCATGTTGAAAAATTCAGATATACGCTTAACCTTTAAATAACATTGACCAAACATGTCTGATGATTGAATTGTGCTCAAAATTTATTATCTTTGTCATTTATTTATGGAAATGATTCATACTTTCGAAAATAACAAGTGTGACAAGCCAGACCTATTACAATAAAAAAGGAAAAAACTTCCTATTTCTTAAATTTCGTTTCAAATATTTGTTAAATTTGACACTTTGTTTGCTTTAAGAAAAAAATAGTCGAGCGTTGCCCAATCCCGGGGGCGGCGCTCGCCATAGTTACATATACCTGTATTTTCATTATGTGAAAGTGGATTTTATGGTACAAACTGTAGCCGTCCATGCAGTAGTAGATGCGAAAGGTCAAGTAGCTCACCTATATGCAATAACGTAAATGGCACGTGCTTAAGGGGTTGTAAAGCCGGATATGAAGGCCCTTTTTGTGAGAAAGGTACGCCGTTTATGAAATTAAGGAACCTTTTATATGTCATATCAAGAATTAACTGTTAAAAACGAGTACCCGTAAGTTGATCTTTCATGCCTATGTAAATCAATTATTTTGTATTAAAGCATATATCATGCTTATTATTATTTAGCTTTTTACATTATATATACATATATCTCTTGAGATTTGTTTGTGCTTTATACAGAATGTGACGATGGTAAATGGGGTTCAAACTGTTCATATGAGTGTGGTAAATGTGATAAATCTGTGTGTAATCGGGCCAATGGTGTGTGTGAACAAGGGTGTGATCCAGGGTTTAAACGGCGAAGATGCACTAAAAGTAATTAGGTTTATTAATTAACATATTATATACTAGATATTATGTTTACTAATGTGAGTAAGAAACAAAGAAAACCTTTATTCGTTAAAATAGCATTCAAACAAAACACAATTATCAACATATTTATCATGTCTTATGCTGAAAGGGATTGGTAATACCATTTACAAACGATCTTTATAAAGACTTGAATAATAGTAATTATTTTAAACACAATGTTCAGATGAATCAAATGTCGGAATATAAAGGTAATGGCGATATGAAGGTAACAGCTTATGTTAAATGTGTATTCAGACCAAATTTCAAGGCTATTTTTTCAGAACTTATAGAAGAACGTTGAAGATCTTACGGACATTAAACATATAAGGAAATCCTTTTTCATTATTTTGATAATTTGGACATTCATGGTAGAGGTCCGTTAAAAAATGCGCCATGTTATTGCTTCACGCTCAGGGTCTATTCTTTAAGGCTTCATGGGACTTCAGGGGTATTTAAGGAAGAATAATTATATAAATATTATAATAAAACAACAAAAAAAGACAATGGCCCTGAGCCAGGACCAAATCTGTGTCTAGGGCACTAATGACGAACATCGTTAGAAATATGTTAGAATATGATAAACAAGATCAATGAACGCAGCCCCCACAAATTGTTTTTTTATTTTTTTTTATTTTAATGAAATATTTCAATGTGGCATGTCACCTTAAAGTTACTGCAAAAAATATCGGTTATCATATTTGATTACCGAGTTTTAAATTTTCTTTTTGTTTTAACATTTCCTTACATTAGTAAATAATCGCTTTTATTACAGCAGAGTGTCTGAATTTATTGAATAATTGTTTAAAATAAATCGTTTAACCAATGTATTCAGTGTAAATACAGGCGAGTGTGGTTGTTTAATACATATATTCCAGTTACCTAACTACCTGTAGAGAATTTTAATGTAAAACATTTAAATTAAAAATATCAACTTTGAAAATTTAAACATAAATATTCACCGAAATTTTTAAGCTCATTTACTTAAACATGGATGTTTTTTTTAATCGGGATGTGGTTGGGTGGTCCTCTGCACCGACATACAATAGAGTGAAATAAGAATCCCATACAGAACTCCCAACGCGGCAAAATTGAAAATGTTGCAGGCTCGGTTTGATTGAGCCTGTTCATGGACAGTACTGTCAAGTGCAAACTACCGTCCGCGCCCCTAGCACCGGCTACATTTAAGATGAACTGGTAAAATTTCGAATTTTGAAACCAGATGACATGTAGTTCTTCTGTCAGTAATTGATTGAATTTCTAAAGAAGTGTAACATGAAATATTGGAATAGTTTAGTTCTTGAAAAATATAATTTGCTGAATAATAAAGATTCTGTTCAACTGAATCTTCAATTAAATGAATACAAAATATGTATCAGCACTGTAAGGTTTTTGAAAGACAACATTACGTAATATTTAATAGCAAGCTAGATATATTAATTATTTAATTTCAATGACGATATCTTTAATAAAAGTTCCGTTAACTCTCTTTAGCAAAACGCTAGCCTGTAATTTGTAAACACTGTCAATAACTATTTGTTATAAATATTACTTTTTACAAGGAGTATATTTCTATTATGTTGCTTTCATGAAAGTGACGATTATTATAACTGTACTAAGTACTGCAAATTTCAATATCATATCTTTGATTGTTTTAAATCACCCTACTAATAGTAATCAAATTTTACAAAAAAAAATTAGTTAAAAGGGTGCATAGCACAAAAGTGGCTCTTGTCATGATAAATAAACATTCCAAATTTTATATTGATACTTTTAATTGTTTTAGTAATGAGCTGCACTTAAATGTTTAGACGACGACAATGACGACGACGAAATAATCATGATATCTCAATGTTTTCTTCGGAACTAACCTTTACAAAAACTTTTACATTTAATCATGAATTTCATGTACAGACTCAATCAAACTGGGTCTGCAATTTTCATATAATTTTCTTGTGATTAATACTTCCGAAGAACCACACTTTATCCAGATTCGTATACTTCAAAGTATCAGGAATCAAGTGCTGTATGGCAGCAGCTCTTCAGTGTTGTTGTATTTTTCTTGTCCTATGGGATAATTGATTCCAGTACTTTAAGTGTTGACAATTGAGTACCGCTCAAATCGGTGCTAGGGGGCATTAGGGATGTTGCACTTTTACATTATCCGTCATGTACAGACTCAATCAAACCGTGTCTGCATTTGTTCTGCAATTTTGTAATTTTGTCGTGATTAATTTTTCCGAATGACCATACTTTATCCAGATTCATTTAAATATGTCTTAGGCCGTGTCTACACCTATTCAAGTTTCTTACATGTCACATTTAGATAAGCTAAATAAATGGCCCTTTCAACATTTTTTCAGGCACAATTTTAACTGAAATGTCTCATTAAGATAGACCAGGATTTATACCTTTGTCTTTGCAAGACTATCATGTTTCTGTAAAATATGTGAAAAAAGCGGGAAAATGATGCAATTTGCTAAAACAGAATGGAGTAAATGAAATGCGTTCATTCTTTTTTAAAATTGAAAAAAATGTGACAAAAATTTATTTCGATGCAAATTCTTTATTCGATGAAAGTTATTTAATAAATGAACAAGATCATTTAAAATCCATTTTGACTCTACTTGAAAAAGAGCTCTTTTTATTATTGTTTTTTGCTCTTCTGTGTATCAGCGTATTGATTTGTTCCTTTAACCAAGACATTGTAATCATTAACTGAAATTCAAAGGACATGTACACTGAATCAACAACAAAAAGTCAGAAAATAATAAAAATAACAGCACTATGAAACCTTCGGGCACATGTTTTGTGTCAAACCGGTGTTATCAGTGTCCTGACAGCCAAAACTTGTAGAAAAATAGAACGTGTTCTAACTTTCTTGCAAGGAATTATCTTGTTGGATGTCACATATTTTCTCTTTAAAACTCATTCAAGTAGGGTGTCTACACTATCCAATACAAGAGAATATGATACTTGCATTCAAGACTTGGATAGATGTAGACGGGCCCTAAAATTAGACTAAGATTGTTTTTTATATATAATGTTACTTTTGCGTTCACTTATGTCCGTGATAAATTTTAATAGTTAAATTCAGGTTGACAAAGAATTATATTAATTTTAAAGTTAAAGGAAACATAATGTTCAATATTTTTTCCAGAGTGTGATAATGGATATTATGGCAAAGACTGTCAGAATAGATGCAACAGCAACTGTTTGAGGCCAGGAGTGAATGCAATATGCGATTACGTGGACGGTACGTGCGTAAATGGTTGCAAAGCTGGATATCGAGGATCCCATTGTGACATAAGTATGCCGTTTTAATCTTATTTCTTACTTTCTTAAGTTAAATTTACATGTCTTACCATGTTGGTTGTAAAGTAATATCTTATATCAATAGTTATTGTAAGTTATTATTATATTAAAACCAAGCTGGATGTTTTTATTGATCCATTTATCGACACGATTAATGTCTTAAAGTGACTCTTGAGCAAATGCGCACAAAAGAAATGACGGAATTCTTAAAGAACACCTTAAACGACACAATTAAACGCGATGAAGGCTCGGTTTGGTAGCGCCTTATTATGAAATGAGGTGGTACGTGTGAGCTTCTGTCCGTATCGCTATCACTGGCGCAAGCAAATAAATGTTAAGATAAAATTCAAATTAACAAGCTAGGCGGAGCATTATATGCCTGAAAGTGTTGTGTTTTTTTTAATTAGGATGAAGCATTTGCTAGACATGTGAATCAAATAAAGTATTACCTCCTTCAAATTGCAATCCTCATATGAAGTTTGAATATTTTGGGCCAGATGGAATTAAGTTATGCTCCGGAAACTGTTTTTAGTTTTTAGGTAATACATGTAGTGACCTTAAACTTTGATTTTGTGACCCAAAAATCAATAGGGGTCTTCTACCCAAATATGGACGATCTTCCTATGAAGCTTGAATATTGTGGGCCAAATGGAACCTAAGTTATGCTCCGGAAACTGTTTTTTTTATTTTCTAGGTAATAGTGACCTTGACCTTTGACCTTTGATACCAAAATCAATAGGGGTCTTCTACCCAATACGGACAATCATCCTATAAAGTTTGAACGCGGTGGGCCAAATAGAACTTAAGCTATGCTCCGGAAACTGTTTACAGTTTTAGATATTAGTGACCTTGACTTTTAACCTATGACCCCAAAATCAATAGGGGTATTTTATTAATATGGACAATCATCCTATGAAGTTTGAATACTGTGGGCCAAATGGAACTTAAGTTATGGTCCGGAAACTGTTTTCGGTTTTAAGGTAATAGTGACCTTGACCTATGAACTTGTGACCCCAAAATTAAATGTGGTCTTCTACCTAATATGAACAATCTTCCGATGAAGTTTGAATATTGTAGGCAAAATTGAACTTAAGCTTAGCTCCGGAAACCAAATTGCTAACGGACAGACGGACGGGCAGACTGACGGTTGGACGCCAGGGGGTATAACATAATATGCCCGAATTTATGACATTATAATCTGAAAGACCTCCCCTTAAATTTTGTGTATTGGATGAATTTAGAAGAAAGTAGTCCAGCAAGACACTAGTGAAAATACAGAAAATATGTTTCACTGCAGTGAAAAATAAAGTTTTAGTATGTAAATAAACATCTTATATCATCAATACATCTAATTATTTCATTTACTAGTATATAAGAAATGGAGGATATTCAAGTTTTCTCTACAAATATAGGATATATTTCCATAGAGTGGTATGAACAATAAATATTTCATGAGTGGTGGTAGCCACGAGTGAAATATGATAATTTTCAAACCGACTGGATGAAAATAAATCCTGTATTTATAGAAAAACTTTAATATTCTGTTTATTATTTACTTTTTTGATCTTACAATTCAAAAGTCTTTCTCTTAATCCGTTATTTTTTGTGTATTCGGGCATATAAAAATGAGTTGATAACATTGAAGACGATGATTTTTATGTTGCCTATTCCATTAGCTACAAAATGAGGTTTGTTATTTTCTTTACCTTTATATTAAGAAATTTCACATATTTTGCTGTTGGTTGTTATGAAATGCCCCAGTATCATGAATTTTTACAAGTCTTATTTAGAATATAGATACGATATTATATTTTCTGAAAGTTTACGTTTCCTCTTACTTCGTCTCGTATAGTTACTACTGACTCACATAGGAGTATTTTATATTTTAAAAATGACTCCAAAATAGGTAACTTTTACTATAAGAATAAAGAAAGTATTTGTCTAGTATCTAGCTGTACATTTTGAAAATTCTTGACATTTGTTGATAATTCACTTTGGGTCAAAACACCCAGTGCATATCAAGGCGATGAAACACTAAAAAATTGTCTTGTTTAAATTTCAACTGATCATGTACAATATTTCATATTATTAGGAAATATGTGATCATAAATATTTCAAATGTCTATTTAAATATTGTTGTTTTTCTTTGAAACTGAACCTAATAGGAGATTGAACATTATTGAATTTTCGAAGCTATTTTTTCTCAGTGCATTCATTTTAGCCCGAAATATGAAAAAAAAACATTAAAAAAGTCGTTAACTCAGTGAAACTTAATGTTGACTCTTTTTGGACGGCAGTTATAAATGCAACACTTTTTAATTATGTGCCTTATTTTATAATTGTGTTATATCTAAAGTCGTAGGAAGCAAATGTTAATGTAGTGATTAAAATAAAAATAAAATTAATAAAAGCGCTTGTTATGCATATTATTTTTAAATTAATATCGATAGATTAATAAGATTAATTTAGATATTCGATATTTAGAGGATATTAAATGTGTGTAAGTTCAATACTGAATTCATTGCACGCGTTGAATAAAAATATATAATGCGAGCCTCTGGCGAGCATAATATTATTTTATTCAACGAATTTAATATTCTATCTATCACGTACTTAAATTAAAAACCGTTGAAAGTGAAATAAGAGTAATTTTTAAATGACGGTCTATTACGTATTACGCTAACATTTAGCGCGTCTGTACGCTATATAACGATAATGACGTCACGTCAAAATATATGCACGGCCGTGCAATGCCATATTTACGGAGTCGCAAAATCGGCACGGGTGTATGATAAAACAATATTATGCTCGCCAGAGGTTCGCATAAAACGATTTCATTCAACTCGTTCAATAAATTTAATATTAAATCTACACTCATTTAATATCCACTATATATGTATAATAATTCCTCTTTTTAGCTCACCAGAGCAGAAGGCTCAGGGTGAGCTATTAGTATCAAAGGGGGATACTCCGGCGTCCGTCGTCCGTCGTCATGCGTCAACAATCGTCTTCTGCTCTGAAGCTGCTGGGCAGATTTACTTCAAATTTGGTCTGAAGCATCCTTGTGACAGTCACACTTGAAATTGCTCAAGTCATTACAATTGGCCCCTTTTAGGGGTCACCAGAGCTAAAAAGAGAAAAACCTTTAAACATCTTCTTCTACAGAACTAATGGATGGATGATCACCAAACTTTGTCTGTAGCATTCTTAAGTAGTCTTTTATCAAATTTGCTCATATTAATTTGATTGGCCCCTTTTAGGGGTCTCTAGGGCTAAAAATAGAAAAACCTTTAAACATCTTCTTCTATAGAACCAATGGATGGATGATCACCAAACTTTGTCTGTAGCATTCTTGGGTAGCTTTTATCAAGTTTGCTCATATTAATTTGATTGGCCCCTTTTAGGGGCTGCTTAAGCTAAAAATAGAAAAACTTTTAAACGTCTCTTTCTACAGAACTAATGGATAGATGATCACCAAACTTTGTCTGCAGCATTCTTGGGTAGTCTTTTATCAAGTTTGCTCATATGAATATGATTGGCCCCTTTTAGGGGCTACTAAAGATAAAAATAGAAAAACGTTTAAACATCTTCTTCTACTAAAGTAAATGATGGATCATCACCAAACTTTGTCTGTAGCATTCATAGGTAGCCTTTTAATAACTTTGCTAATATTAATTTGACTGGCCGCTTTTAGGGGCCGCTATAGCTAAAATTAGAAAAAAAAACTTTAAAGGTCCATTTCTACAAAACTAATAGATGGATGATCACCAAAGTTTGTCTTAAGCATTCTTAGGTAGTCTTTTATTAAATTTGCCCATATTAATTTGATTGGACCCTAATAATAGCTAAAGCTAATGATAGAAAAAACTTTAATAGTCATCTCCTACAGAACTAATGGATGAATGCTCACCAAACTATGTACCGGTAGCAATAATAGGTAGCCTTGTATCAAGTTAACTAATATTAATTTGATTTGCCACTTTTAGGGGCTCCTAGAGCTAAAAATAAAAACAATACCTTTAAATATCTCCTCCTACAGACCTGATAGATGGATGATCATCATATTAATTTGGTTTGCCCCTTTTAAGGGCTTCTAGAGCTAAAAATAGATAAGTCTTTAAACATTATCGTGTACGGAAGTAAAAGATTGATGATCGGCAAACAGTGTCTGTACCGAGTTTATGTTGTCTTCTATCAAATTTTCTCATATTAATTTGATTAGCTAAAATGCCCCAGGCCATGGCATTTCTTCAAATTATAGATTAAATATATACTATGCTCATCTTTGGGTAAAATATTTTTATCATATAACTTTATTGAAATGTATTTCCAATTTGAACAAAAGAATGTATAATTATCTATTGGAAGCTGTGTGCCCTATTACGGGTCTAGTAAAATTGGTCTTTTCTTAAAAAATAAGTGCCAGTTTTTTTAATGACACTATATATCTATATTGTAACCTCCTATAGTTTGTAGAATTTAAAACACAGCTTTGTGTGAAGTTGAAACATGTTTATTTTATATTTACAAAGATACTGTGTAGCAATTATAAGTATGATCAAATATGAAATTTGATGAAAGGGAAACAACTTATGTTGGAATGTCTTTCATAAATGTGATCTGCTAAGCTGGGAGTAATGACCTGTTACTGATGAAATTATTTGAGGTCAGGACCAATGGGAAGAGAAAAATTAATTTTTACAAAATCACTTGAACATAATGATTAACAACAAAGTTTATAGTGATGATTTATCATAAATGTTTTCAGAAATAGGTAATATACAGCTAAATGCTTTTTTTCAAGTTTGAATACTTTCACATTGAATCAATAATTATGCTTTGTATCTGAACTGTAAACATATCTGCACATAGTTTTTCATTTTACCTGCTAAAATAAAACCCTGATCCCAAAACTTACTAGACATGCACTATGGCAAAGTTCAATGGTATAGAAAAAATAAAGTTGCATCAGAAACTGTCTATAGGGTCATTGGTAGGTCAGTGAACAGAATTTTCCCCCAGAAAATATAATTAGGCCAAAAGAAAGATTTTGTTTTCTGCACTTTAATAACAAAGATGAGTTTGTATGCTCATTTTTTTATATTAAATGCTGTTAAAAAACGTTTTAATTTTTTCAATCTTTATTGAATTGGATTCAAACTTGGAGAAAGCACATTTCAATTAATTTTTGGAGACATTGTTGAACCTGATGTTTCATATGCATAGGTGAGAGTTGAGATATCAGATATCACTTATGTGATTTTTTTATGTATATACTTGATATTTGGACAAGGGGTGTAATTTCTGATGCTGAATTGAATTTTCATATCAGCTAACCTGCTTTGATTTCTTTGATATCATTTGACCTACTTTCTTGTTTATTGACATACAGACTTGTAATTTGGACAAGGGGTGTAATTTGTGATGCTGAATTGAGTTTTGATATCAGCTGACCTTTTGATTTTTTTTACATTGTTTTACCTATTGTCATTTTGGGGTACAGTTATATTAACATATAGAATGTGTAAAAACATTGTTACTTCAAACATCTTCACCTTACATATTTTTCATGTGACATTTTGTGTATTCATTCACAAAAGTTATGAAAAAAAAGGCTTTCAAAATTACCCCTGCTCTATTGGTCAATTATTCTGCATTTATTCTACATAGGAATACACTTGCAACATAAATATTTTTAATAAAGCTTTTCCAAAATATTAAAAAATATTTCAGTTTATAAAGTGGACAATGAATGGTGGGCCATATGAGTTATTTATGGTCATCTTGGCCATATGGTTTATTATGAAGGAAAAAAAACAATCAATGTTGTGAAAGTATATAGCTACATGGGCAAGTTAAAGTTGAGCTTTCTAACACTAAAAAACAGTTGTTTCTGGTGAGCAACTAAGGGCCATCATGGCCCTCTTGTTTGTTTACATTTTGTTTAAAATTGTTAACATATTTACAGAGTGTGACGATGGTAAATGGGGCATAAACTGTACAAATGACTGTGGGAAATGTTTAACTTCACCATGTAATCATGTGAATGGATATTGTCAAGATGGATGTGCTGCAGGTTATAAGAAGACATGGGATTGCCACACTGGTATTCTTTATTAAAAGGATGTTTCAGAGTGTAAAGTTATAACTGTAATACTGAAATCATTCATGTTTAAAAAAAAAGTGGTAACATTCATATCGAGTTACTAAACTAAAAAAATAAGATTTTATACTTTTAAATGCTGTTCAAGATAGTCCTAATGTGATAACTTACACTATCAACCAATGTTAATGGCTTTTAAGCTTGTTTAAATAATTTTGAGAAACGAACAAAATGTTATATGTAACATAGATTAGTTATTCCGTTTGAGACATTTAAGTTTTTCAACTTGATATAACTTTACACATGTTTTCATACATATTTCAGAGAAACTATATTTCTTTAAATTTGATTATGCAGGTGCCATTTACAACTTAATTTTAGTCACAGGATTAAACAAATAAAATTTCAAATGTGTTAGGCATATGCCACATGAAATCTCATAAGACTTTACTCACGTAAACTGATAAATATTCATAGCTTTGCTGATGAAGCTGTTATAAATATTGCTTTTACTTTCTAAAGTTGTTGTAACTATTTTTAGAATGTGACAATGGGACTTTTGGCAAAGAATGTAAAAGCCGTTGCAGTGATAATTGTGTCCATGTTTGTGAAAAGAAAACAGGAATCTGTTTCAATTGCAAAGCTGGCTGGAAAGGAGACAGTTGCTTGGAAGGTGCGTTTAATTTTGTAACGTTTAATTACTATTACTTTTTATAAAGGTTATTCATTTTGTAATTGTGTTAAATGAGAATAATGCAATTATAGAACTGTGTCATGTTTTTTTCCTTGATTAATTACTTTTTAGCGCTAAGAAATAAGTAAGGTCAATATGGCAAGTGCGATAATACATTTAATGTTAAATCTATACTATCTACTTTACACTGATCAATACAAATCACATGGTATAATCAAATTGCATTGGTTATTGTAGCACTTTTTGCATTTGATCATGCACAAAGCAAAACGGACAGAATACGTTAGGATTTTACTGAGAAACAACCTAAAACTCCGAATCCATCCAAAGATTAACTCGAACCTCGGCTTCCAGCTTTCTACAAAATTTATGCCAGGGCTGGAATCCAAAATTATTAAGCCAATCAAATTTAATCTTATATAGCGTCAAAAAACCTTCAATGTTCACACCATTTTTAAAAAGCAGCAAGTATTGCTTTGATCGCAAAGATATAATGATGATTAAAATTTTTGTTTTCATGAATTCTTTTCAATAAATCATATTTACACCGACTATTGATTTAGCGATTTCACCTGTTTTCTCTGTAGTTAGTTTTCGTTTGGATAATTAACACAAGTGTACATCTGGTTCTGTGAATTTTTTCTTTCTTTCCGGTCATTTTATCCTTTCCGGTGGGGAAAAATCCCGGGATTCGGGATCCGGGACGCCCGGGATCTGGGATAGTATAAGATATATAGGGAAAAGGAATAAACTTTATTTGTGTTGATAATTATCGTTGAATCTTTGTACAGGAGATTATCATTATACCAAGCCCTCTTACAATATATTTCCCTTTTATGCTTACTATGAGCGAATTGTGCTCTGGTGAGCATAAACAGGAATTGGGGTCCCTATTCATCTTTTGTCCCTTATGTTTAATTTAGTTTCTCTTTAAATGATATCTATGAAACACAAGACTGCACATTAACCACATTACAGGAGTCCTCTTTCATAGTTGTTTTTATTGTTCTACACATAGATCAAGGACATGTCTTATATAGAAACACATACGCACACCTTTATACCTTATTAATGGCTGAAATTGTTGACCACTTTAAAATTTTGTTCATGTATCTACTTCATATCCATTTGTTTAAAATGTTTCACATACCAAGATGAAGTGGACATAATTTTTATAAAAATGCTTAGGGAAAATATGTTTATGTCTTATAGATATGAACTTCAATGCCTCCAGCTTTAATATTGAATATGTATCAATACCTTGAACTTGTACAAATCAAATGTAAATCATGCCCCGTGAATCGTGAATTCACCCACGCCCAAGAGAGTTCTTCAGTAATATATTCCTGTATAGGACTTGTGTCTGTCACTCATTCCAATACTAAATAACATATTACAACTTAACTTCTTATAAAGATACATCTTTATGAATTCTATCTAATCTAACATGTTTTTGGTCAAGGTCAACAGGCCATATAGTAAATGTGCATAGACATAGGGACTTCATTCGATCTGTTTACATGCATCTTCATATATACTCATATTCCTCTTTATTTAACTGAGAGAACTGGCTTCCATAACTTTATATGTCACTTTTTATTATGATGTTCGCTGAAGTTTCTTCAGCTAACAGAACTGTCATTTTTTACATTTAAACACACCCCTGGAAAAAAATTACGAAGCGAGTCGCTGCTAGCTTTTTTAAAAGCTAACCTTGTATTAATTCAAGGCTGGTGATAAATGACACCCTGTTAACGTTCTTAACATTAAAGTGATGACAAACACTCAACTGTTTTAATTTTAACCCGTTTGTTAAGACACTTGAAACTGATTGCCAACCAAAAGTACCTCATGCAAGTTTGTTATCATACATGTCGATATCATTTTAAATCAATGTTAAAGTAAGTATAATCCTGAAAAATGGGGAAAACAATGTCAGGAAGTATGTGATAAGTGTGTGGGAAGAGCCATGTGACAGATTCAACGGAACATGCGTTAAGGGTGTCTTCCACGCTTAAAACCGTCCGTGTCCCTAGCACTTGCTTAAGTAGGATTCCACATTTCAAACATTACAAACTCGAATTAAGAACAGTGTAGATATTGATTTTTGATGTTCATTATTGAATAAGCTACACAAATAGGTTTGTTATTTTTCTTTATTCTCATTTTATTTATCAAGATAATGCACAAATGTCTGTGCAGTTTGATTATCGTGCAGTCTTTGCGAGCCATAATTAGATATCTGCTGTAGCATTTTATTTGACGTTTCCTCTGACTGCATGTCGTAAAGTAGCTACCGACTTAACAAAAGAGTAATTATCACTCCAAAATTAGGTATCATTTACTTGTAGCATATCGAAAAGATGTGTATCTATCTCTACATTTTGAAAACTTTTGACGTTTGTTAATGATTAGCACTGGGTCAAAACACACTTTCAGTGTACACCAAGGCTAAGTGACACTACAATTTTGTTTTGTTTATACTATAACCGATCATGTATCATTTTATAAGGTAATATGTGTACATGGAAAATTTCAAACGTCTCTTTGGCCATTGCTTTTTCTTTGAAACTAAACATAATGTAGTTTGAATTTATACGCAAATTTTGAAGATATTATTTCTCGTTGCAATGATTTTAACCCACAATGTGAAAAATGAACTGAGAAACTTCGAAAGGTTTGTCAAACAAAGTGAAATGCATAAGTTTTAATGAACTGGATAACTGTTCTTAGACGGCAGTTATAAATACCACACTTTTGAGTTATGTGCCACATTGTAGGATCCTATTATATCTTAAATCGTACGAAGTTCGTTATATAACTATACACTTTCAAAATAATCAAATTATCAAAATATAATTTCACACTTTTCAATGACGAAACTCAATTTTTAAGTTATTTCCCATGTGGTACCTCAATTTTATTTTTCTCTGACAATTCTGACATTGTCAGGGCAGTTTAGAGAAACACAAAGCTAAACTTGATAAATAACTTGAATTTCAAAAGTAATAAAAAGAAGAAAACTCACTTCATTCATTCAAATTACCAATCATTAAATATCGTCTCTGAATCTTTTGTTTCATTTTTACAGTCTGAAAAATACAATTCCTTCCACATGCAAAACAGCTCTTGATGACATTTGGGCATATTAAAGTATCCCACGAGCAATAACTGCCTAATGCAATATGCAAACTTGAAACGCAATGGCGGCCGTCAGCCCAAAAAATAACTAAACAACCCGGTGCTCCTATGGCAGCCTTTCAACTATACCATGTTTTCCAATTTCCTAGCCGCTTTTTAAATGTTACAGATTTGCCAACACTTATTTATTGTCTCTAACAATCCTTCAGTTATTAAAACAAACGATGATTAATATTTTTTAATAAAATGAATATTACCACCGCCATTTAACGTTGATTGTCGAACTTATTTTTCAGCCCAAGGCTTCTTGTATTTCATGAGAAATTCGACTCATAGCGGCTAAACGTGTAGAAAACTGATTTTGATATTATAGTTTATATTAAGGCAATTTCGTTTAAACTTGTTTTGAAGCATGAAATAAAAAGAAAATTTGTTTGTTCGTTGTGTAAGATGTAATTTTATTTCATCTCGTGAACTTTAAAAGCAATATTCTCACTCGCTGCTACGCCACTCGTGAGAATACTGTTTTAAAAGCCCACTCGATGAATTTAAATTTCATCTAACACGCACACAAACAAATGTCCTCTATTTCTTGAAATTTGATGTAGCAGGTTCCATTTACAATTTAATCTTAAAAACCTTGTATGTTGTTATTAAGGATGTAACATTATTTAAGTGAAATTGTATATTTGATTATAATTATTCTTTTAAAACAATTTCCAAAAATCCAAGAATATGCTTAATATGTACTGAAAATATTGATACGCATTATGAGTAATCATAAAATACATGCTTTCATTTATTATAAAAAATTGGTTTAGACTTTATCAAAAATAAATTTCTAATTACCTGTCTATATTTGCATGAAATGTAAATTTGGTAATGTCTTTACAAATAATGCTTTTTGGAACTTACAATTTTGATAAATCTTCATTGGGCATCATATTTGTTAAAATCATAAAAAATTGAGTTACTTGATCTTTAAGAATATTTTTTTCACCAGACACAATACGAAACAAATTTCAATGATGATTTTTTTCAAAACTTTTAGATGAACGTTGAATAGTTTTGATATATGGACAACAAACATAATGCAACCTTATTTCACTATTGTGATAATTCGGTAAATCTTGGTAGGGGTCCGTAAGAAAATGTTCCATACTAAATATTTAAGGTCTATTCGTTAAAGCTTTAGGGAAGATCATTTATATAGTGTTTATTTAAATATTATATTAAGAAAACCAATGGCCCCGATTTGGAACGAACTTTGTTTCTAGGGCTATAATTTGACAAGATGCAATATAATATTGACGAACTTCGTTAGAAATATTTCGATTATTGATTAAACAGAAAATATATGTATTTTGAGTTACCATGTTATCTGTAAAATTAGGTTTAAACTTAAAGACATTGGTTATCATATATAATTATATATATTTTTTCTCTATGTTACAACATTCGCCTATCGTTTAACAATTGCTTTTATCAAACTAAAGCAGGGTGTCTGCAAGACCTTAGTTAATAAAAATTTGTTTGAAATAAATCGTATGCCCAATGCATTCAGTGCAGAAAAAAACTGGAGAGCGTGGTCGCTTTATACATATATCCCATGAACCGCATTTTTTGTAGAACAATTTAATGTAAAACAGTTGAATTGGAAATAAACTTAACAGTCTCGCTTTTAGATTTTACACATTCATTTTCACGTTCATTTTCTAAAAAGCATGGATGTTTCTTTTATCTGGATGGGGTTGGGTTTTCGTCTGCACCCTGATACAAGCCAGATTACATTTTGTTCGTCTGTCGATAACTTATTGAATTTCCAACGAAGTTCATGATCCTGTATGTTGTAATTAAAATTGTTACGACACTAAAGTGAAATATTGTATATGTACATTGTTATGCTTCTATAACAATTTTCAAACACCAAAGGATATGTAAAATATGTACTGCAAATATTTGTCCACACTACATGTAATCATTAAAATAAATGCATTCATTTCTTATTGAAAAATTGACTTAGACTTTATAGGAAATAAATTTTCAATTACCTCCTTTTATTAACATGAACTGTTAACATTGTTTTATATCTTTAAGTGATAGGAAGTTCATGCGTATGTCAATGTACAAAAGTGTATTACATTATCAATAAAAGACAACTAATAAATAGTATTTAATATCATTTAGATATTCGATAAAAAACAATACATTTTCCAAATAAAGTGAGATATTTATAACTTTGTTTTCATTAATGTCACTCTCACTATATTTAATCTAGTTAAAGTATAATTATATACATTTCCTCTTATTTTTTATTTACCTTTTGTGTAAGATAGTTTACAAATTTACCGAATGTGACGATGGTAAATGGGGCATAAACTGTACAAATGATTGTGGGAAATGTTTAACCTCACCATGTAATCATGTGAATGGACATTGCCAAGATGGTTGTGCTGCTGGTTATAAGAAGACATCGGATTGCACCGCTGGTATTCTTTATAAGAGATGTCTAAAAATAAAAAGCGATAAATGTATATCAAAAAGCAGTCATATATTTCATAAAAACAAAAATGAAGGCATGTCCAAAAAAGATGCTCGTTGTCATGTCGTTAAAAGTACTAGTTCAATAATACCTTTTACTGTATGTTTTAATACATCTCTGCCTAATATTGGTGAAATCGTTAATAAATATTGGGATCTATTACTTTTGTCTGATAAGGAAAAGAATATACATACCAAGTTCAAACCTACTTCAGCATATAGACGTCCTAAAAACATTCGAGATTATCTTATGAGAAGTACTTTACTTGATCGCACATTTTTATCTAGCCAATGTTTACGAAGTAGATGTTCACATTGTAACAATATAATTGTTGGTTCACAATTTAATAGCAGCATAACAGGTCGTTCTTTTGATTTACACAATGATGTTAACTGTACTACGCGTAATGTAATTTACCTCATTACATAAAGCAATACGTAGGTCAAACTAATCAAAATGTATCATGCAGAATGAATAAACATAGATTTGATATAAGAAATTGTGACGTAAATCCAGTTTCACATGTTGCGATCCATTTCGGATCAAACGATTATAAGTGTTCCTAGTCAGATTTTTCATTTTGCCTATAGAAATTATAAATAACAACATGGACCGGTTATGTAAAGAATCTTTTTGGATCCATAAATTAAATACTATGATTCAATATGGACTAAAGAATAAAGTATTGTTTGGTTTATAAGGTGTTACATGAATATTAATATGTTTTTTTATTATTATATTGTTATTAACACTGTCTAATAGACATCTGTATCACAATTGATCCAATATTTTAATTCATGTACCAGCTTTATTTATAACATAAATATTTGTTTCTACATGTTATCATATTTTTGCCGCTTAACGCCATAACGTTTTTCGCGCGTTTAACAGGTCTTCCGTTATGACGTCTTTATTTATTTATAAACTAAGCATAGAATGCTTATTTGCAAAGAAATAATCTTATTGTGGGATAAGTTGACATATTGCAAAAAAAAAAAAATAATCGAATTAAAATAAGGATCAATGTTTGGATCAAGATCATTACTTGATTACAAAAATTAATAATGAATGTATTCTAACATATCATAAACATGCTGTTTCAAGTTCAGTTTTATCATTTGTTTTATAAAACATTTTATCTCTGAGAATGAACAACTACGGATACATGTATTTTAAGTTTTTTTAATTTGATCCTTATCTTCATCCTGATCCCTAAGTCGTTGTTAACGCGTGCCCAGTTAAGATCCATACATAATGACTAAATTTGACCTTGCACTAAGGAAGATCAGACCTGTGTATCGCTCATTGACAATATATTTAAAAAAAATTCTATCAAGTAGTTTCTATTTCCTTTCACGGGTGCAGACACGAAAATTCTAACAGATGGACGGAATAACAATTTATGCCGCATTTCTTTTCGGACGTATAAACATGACTTAAACAGTGTTTATATTGCAAAACTTATCTGTCTATTTACATTGGATATCCACAATTATCATTACCTTCATGTATGTTGTGTCATAATACCCAGGTCTTTTAAGGCAACAAAACACTTCTATGTGTTCTTGTTCTTGTACGATATCAAGTCGAAATGTTCCAAGCTTGGTTTGGTTTATTTCTGTTTAAGATGGTTCTTGGGCGGCAGTATATACAATGCAACATTTGAAAGTTATATACTTAACACATCTTAAAGTCATAGGAAGTACTTATATATGCTAATGTATAAAGTTCAACACCTTTAAAAATTAGACAAAAATCTAGAAAAATGGGTGGTCCTTGGAAAACAAACAATATGGAAAACTACAGACTCGGTTTCTTGAGTTTGTTCATAAAGGTTGATGAAAAAGTGCAATTGTGTTTTTTTGTATCATATTCAGTCTTCAACATAAGCGGTAATTCATCTTTAACACTAATCCGTTGAAATAAATCATTCCGAAGGCAAACATATCAACAATGAAGTAACGCCTGTACTGTATTTAGATTCTTTTTAATACGTCACCTCGTACCCGCTTAGGCGTCTTTCAGGCATTCTAAAAAGCGGTATTTTATCTTCATTACTAACCTCATGGAAGCAATAATTCCAAACTCTCAGACTCATGAAACAACACTGAAGTTACGCCTTTTCTGCATTTTATTCAGAGATTCTTTAATACACCTGCGGAAACAAAGTGTGATGTTCATATCTTGACACTTTGTTTACACAAATGCAGTTCTCACTAGTCTGAGAGCAAAAATTACATCATATGTTTTGTTATTTCTTCTGTAACAAATAAATTTAGTCTTTTATTTATAAAGTATTTTACATATGTACAGAATGTGAAGATGGTAAATGGGGCATTAACTGTACAAATGATTGTGGGAAATGCCTATCCTCGACATGCAACCATGAGAATGGTAATTGCCTAGATGGATGCGCTGCTGGATATAAAAGTTCCCCGAAATGCATTACTGGTATGCTTTACAAATATGGCCGAATGCTTGTACACATCAAGTAATTGTTACTGAAATGCAATGTTGTGCATTGCTGTTGAAATTTGTAACCTTACAACTTTGATCATATCTGTTTATATCAATCGTCTTTGCGAAACGAGTACAATTTTTTACACAGTAAATAATTTTGTTTTTGGAAAGTTATATAAGTTTCTTTTGATACAGCTTAGACACGTTTATATCCACTTTCCACTTTCACTGTTAACATTCAAAATGTGTTATACCTTTGTTCATATCATTCATTTTACAAAAACAAGCATTTCATTTGTTATAGTGAGAATCATAAACATCTTTGGTTATTATTTTTACCATTCATTAGAAAAGACGAAGTCAAATTAGAATGTGAAGCTCAATGCTATCATTTAAAATACTATTTCTGTTTTTTATGTTTTTTTTTTTTTTTTTTAGAATGCGACGATGGTTCATTTGGTCCAAGATGTGCAAGTTTTTGCAGCCAAAATTGTGCCCATATTTGTGACAAAACAACAGGAATGTGTTCCGATTGCAAAACTGGCTGGAAAGGAGAAAGTTGTAATGAAAGTTGGTTTGATTAAAAACTTTTTAGAGTATGAAGAGTATGATTATGCTTACTTTGAATATGGAATATTTTTTATGTCAGACTCTTCACATTACTAAATACATCCCATGATATTATCAAATTACCAAATTATCTCCCCAACTTGCAAAGGTCTCATAACTTTTAAATTAATCGTTTTTGAATTAATATTCCTTAATTTTGACCCAGATATTTCCCTATTGCCTTTACAAGGTCAGACACTAGTGTTTAGATATGATGGACAATATAACTGCCACAGCACGTCGTTTTTGAATTTTGTAGGATACGCGTATACAATACTTTACATAATTTTAAGTGAGACATATGACACCGATATGCACACCAATGAAGTTATTCATCAAGCATAGAAAGAAACCGTCATTTAATTAGAGCATGATTCTTCAGTCAGTGAACGCCAAGGAAACTGCAAGGTTTAGTCTAAAATTCAAATACAATAATACTAGGAATAGTTTTGACAAATAGATTATGACCGTCTAAAAGCTTTGCGGGAAAAGTGTCCAGGCGTTATTTAATTCTGTGAAAATCGAGCAATGATATATCATTTGTCCTTCACCGTTGATTTAACAAGAATTCACCCAAAGCATGTACGTTTATCACCGTATTAAATGCATATCAGCTGATACAGTAAAGGCTTAAAGAACGAAGATGTAAAAATCTATTTTTGCACCAGTGACCTGAACCTAAGTAATCCTTTACTCCACAGAGGGTAACCTTTGGTTTCTATATCTACATACCAATTATAAAATAAAACATCTGTCAATAAATAAAGGTTGCATGAGCAACAGTGTAACCATTTTTATCAGTCTGGTAACCTTGACCTCTATCCAAGTGACCACTTCTACGCCACAAATCCGGACAAGCATATTTAGCCTGCGCGAGATTAAAGAACTCAAGGTACAATAATGGTTCTTGAACTCAACAGTCAGTATCATTGTGTGAAGTTTAAATAAAATTTCTTATTAGAACGGATGGACGGACGAAAGGACTGACAAAGCAAAGATTACATTCTATCTCTTCGTGGATCATAGAAATCTTGTGAATTTGTATCAGTAAATGGCGTAGAAATTGGTAATAACTTGTTAGTTATCCAGGATAGACCGCTAGATTTACCGCGAGAGTAACATAAGTTGTGTTAAAACACCGTGATCAAACAGGCTAATAAAGTAAAGTTATAACATGACTAGCAATTACAGTATATCAAACTGAATAAAACTTAATAATAAACTGACTTAGGTTTAGGTGCTAGGGGGCGTGGACGGTAACTTGCATATTCCAGTACCGTCAATGAACAGGCTCAATCTAACCGCGCCTGCAACATTTTCAATTTTGCCGTGTTGGGCTTTCTTTAGGGATTCTGTTTTTTTCTTCTTTTTTATACATTGATACTTATTTTCAGTACTTTTTTTTTAAAGATATATTATATCTCAAATTTGATATTTGAATAAAAATGATAATTACTATTTAAGCTCATTTAAAATGTAAAATAAACATCTTATAAATACATGCACACACAAAGAAATTTGTTACGTTTTAAACCGTACACACTACAGGTAATCACAGTGCGGTTACATAATGTCATGAAAAAATCGCAGTTTTTATAAAAGTAGACCGAATTATTTTGACAAGTAATAGGGAATGCAGCTTCCAAAACATAGTTTATAAATTCACTTATTTAAATTATATATATTTAAGAAGAATTTTCCAGATTTCAATGTCTTCAATTGATATATTTAACCCAAAAGAAGAGCATATAATATCTTTAACAATAAAGAAAAAGAAAAAAAAAAAAGAATAACAATTATAAAAAAATCTTTCCGGGAAGTTCATAACTTCCTTCGACGATTAATTAAAGTATTTAATAATCAAAATAATTGTGTTCGATCCTCTGCAAGTACGCATTTGCATGCCGATTTCTATACTTGATATCATTATTTTTATCAATGATTCATTATTTGTATAGTTTCAGCTGACGAAGAGACAACACAAAATGTGTCAACACGTGATATGAGCGAAGTAATCATGAAGGCAGCCAAGCTGATAGCGAAGGCACTAGACTTATACACAAGGGCTGCACGCGAAAACGAAAAAGCGTTAACCAAGGTTGCCGAGGAGCTAGCAAGGATAGTTAGAACTGTTAATGGTCTGAAAAAAATAGTAACCTAAGGACCAAATAATATAAATTAATCTGGGAAAATTAAGAAAATCGTCACAAAATCAAGTGTTTAAAAGAAATTGTAATGCCATTACATTGAAGTACTTATACAATTATGCTTAGATGATTATAGTGGATGCATTATAATGATCTGACTATTCTACAATTTGTAATGTAAGAAATAAATATGAGATACTGATGAACTGTTATATAGTTTTATAATCAACTGAAAGTGTAGTTAAAAGGTATTATCTCTAAAATGAAATCAACAGAAAATACTTAAGTTTAGCCAAAAACAAACATGTTACAATTCTAAAAAGATAATTATATAGGTCAGTCACATACTTAGCTGTTTTTAGTCACCTACCATGTAATTTATCAGTCATATACGTCGCAATATGTTAGTAGCATACGTATAAGTAAGACAGCCATGTACGAAGCAGCGTCTCAGTCACATACTTAAAGCAAACGTATCATCTTGTCTGTAACATATATGGCAGTATATAAATTACATGCGTAACAGTGTGTCGGTTGCAAAAAATTTGCATTTTAAAAGCGTTATCTTTACAAAACTATTTACGAAGCTCTTTTCAAATAAGCAAATGCAATGTTACAAATCTATGGATAAGTCATGCAATTACTTCGTTTGAGGTCACGTGCAGCCAGTTCTGTTCTGCAGAATACACATATCTTATGGCTTTTTGCTGAAGTGTTGGCAAGCCAGTGGTAAGGTACAAATTACACACTGTACAAGACTTACTTACATGGAAGTGTCAAATCCATACAACCTTAAAGCTTATTATATTGCGTGATCTTTAAATTGTATGTCCCATTTGGAAGAAACTGCCAATTAAATAATTACAATTAAAAAAAAACCAAAAAGATTTAAATCAGGCTGCACAAACTGCAACCACCAGAGATTTAAGTACATATATTTGTGTAACATTAATCAGAGTTCTGCTCAATCTCTTGGTTCTTAAAATGCATGGTATATTCATTTATAATAAAGGTATTCTGCATGTGGTGGTTGCGTTCATTGAACGTCGCCTTTCCTTGTTGATCTTTTTTATAATATCTTCTGCAGAACACCTCTAGGAAATAAACGAAAACCTTCATTTTTCTTTAAACATATTGATTTTGGATGGTGCAGTACCGGACTTACGATAAGTCCGGTTGCGTTGGGGGTTGCGTTCATTGAACGCCGCCTTTCCTTGTTGATCTTGTTTTTCATATTTTACGAGATATGATCAAAAAGTTCTCGGCCCGATGTAATTTGATCAGTAAAGTGGTGTGTCATTTAGACCAAATGGAGAAAGTTGAAATCAGAACTGTCAGAACTGTCATTAAGTACATCTGTAAGAAAGGGATGTCCAAAAGGAAATCCATGAATACTTCATCGATGCACTTGGTAAGTTGTCCTCTTCCTATAGCACTGTGAAAAATGGGCTGCTGAATTCAAGAGGGACAGGGAGAGCATTGGAGATGATGAGCGACCTTGGCGGTCAAAAGAAGTCTTAAAATTCTTCCCCATCCCCCATATTCTCCGGTCTTGTCCCTCACTGACTTCTACCTGTTTCAGAAACTGTAAACCAATCTTCGTGGTAGACGTTTTGGAAGCTATGAAGGTGTCATGGAGGCGGTCATTGAGTTTCTGTTGGAGCTAAGAGCTTCATAGTATATAGCATCAAGTTGAACCCATTTAGTCGCCTCTGAAAATAAAGTTTATCAAGGATAAACCTATCTGCAATTCTGATGTCTCAACCATCAGGAGATAGGTGAAACAGTTTTACAATTATCACTCAAATAGTACATAATTATAAAACATGATTTATAATGTCCATCGCATGTTAGTTCTTTTAAGCTAATATGGCCTGTTGTCAGGGTTAGCTTTTGTGCAATTAAACCACATTGAAATTGAAATTGTATTAACACAATAGCAGTGTTTTTCTTTTCTTTCCGGCCGAAGCCCTTTTTTTTTTAGTTTGACTTCCTGTAACATGTACAGGCAAGAATTGAATACATTATAAGAAGAGTTTCATTGATCATTTTAAAATTACAAAATGTAATCTGGGAACCTCATTGGTCATTATAAAATAAAATGTAATGGATAGTTCTTGCAATTATGAAATAAAATGTAAAAGATAGTTGTACAATAAAATGTACAGAATAGTTCTTAACTTTTCTAGTTTAATTAATCAGATATATAAGTTCTGTTTTTAATACTTCTTGCATCCAAATCTCTGAACAGTTTATTTTACGTAAGCACTTAAGCCTACTGAGTTTTTAACACAATATTTGAGTTTTAAAATTTGTCCAAAATAACGAGAATAATATCAGACCTGATCATGTACCCTTAGTTTATGATGTCCAGTAAGTGTCGGATATATTATATGACTATTGATGTGTTCAGTTGATATAGTGTTTATAATATTTATATATTTTTGCACATTCATCAATTATTCATAAATTAAAATGATTGCCAGACCGACTGCGTGGATGTTAGTGTAAATTCATTTACTGAAAAAAAAACAGGTTTGTTAAGAAACACATTGAGTTTTTTAGTGTCCCATTTTTCAATATTAACAACTCCACACGAAATTATTATCTCATTGTTATATGCAGACAATGCTAACATTTCTATATGACTTTGCATGGAAAGCTTAGAACTAACATATGCAAATTGACCAGTTTAACTTTGGCCAAGTATCTTTTTTAAAGATACTTTCTGTTTAATATTTAATTTGATGCACACATTATATCACAAATAGAGCAATGGGTCTTTCTCTCATGTAAATCGATCTCGATGTATGAAAGCAGTTTCGTTGTTGATTTAGTTTGAACCCCGTATGAGTCATTATCATAACATAATTGCCAAATGACTTCTCAATAGAACATGAAACGCATGACAAAGCCGGAGAAAGGAAATGTGGAACGTATATTTGTTGCAAAAAAAAGCGCTTATGCACATTTTCTTTCATGTATTAACATCTGCAGTAGCCCTCGGATTTATAATAGTCCTCGACCTGCGGGCTTGAGCTCTTAATTTGTCATCGTGCTTCTCAGATGTAAATCCTCGAATTATGTGCATTACTCTCTTATATCGCACTTCCAAGTTAAAATGAATTTCCTTAACTATAGTAAAAAGACGTGTAACATATTGAATTTTAAAATATATCAAGTTTTTTCATTGCCAAGCGAAGTTTCTTTTGTGGCAAAAGAGTTGCCTTTACGGGTTGATGCATCAGAATTGTAGCCACCGTATAACCCTGTGTGGTTGAAAGAGGCGATTAAATGAGTTCGTATTATTGGAGTTCATCTCTAAACTCAAGCAGGTGAGTTGGTTTTGACCTCAAGTTTTTGTAAAACCCGAGGTTTTCAAAAATCATCTTTCCTGTTTATGACCTAAACCATGTTGGAGCGCCGTAAAACCAAATCAAACCAACAAACCAGAAGTAGTAAAATATTTATTGTTCCTGGTTGAATTTCACCAATGGCAATTAAAGTATTTTAGTACTTGAACTTTGATATTACATTTAAAAGTGACCAGTTTTTAAATCATTATTAAATTTACCTTCTTGCCGACAAAACATGAAGATGAAGCATTGGTGTTAACTATGCATCTATTTGGATTTTTAATCACAGTCTCAGCTGTAATTCTGAACTTTGGTTAGTATGGATTTTCATTTTAAATATTGCATGATTTAACAAATAGTTTTTCACTTGGAAGAATTAATGTATTGCTTCAAAATGAGAGGCGATATTATGTGTCCATGTAAACTGCGATAACATAAGTTTGTGTTTGTTGTTCTTATACCTTTTAATAACCGGTGTAAATGAGTTGTAGCTGTAAAATGCTTAAGTTTTTTTATAATTTGTCTGGTCTTGTTTAGTCATTATTACCGTAATTCAATATAAGGATTTAACTGTTAGTTAACCATTAAAGATAAGCTCATGCCAATTAAGACAAAAATATTAAAATGATTTTATGTACTCAAATCGACATTCTGTAAAGCCCAGCGTGAGTTTCTGTATAAATTCTATATATTTTGAGTTTGAAGCGTAAATATATCTAAATATATTGAACGAAATTTAGACGCCGACAGAATCACTGAGTAGTTTTAAAACACGTCATGTGACTTGAACAAACTGTGGAAGTTACAATAACAGTGTGGATATTGTATTATTGAAACAAGTCTAAAATAGAGAAAAACCGAATCCCTGAAGAAAGTCGAATTCAACAAAATTGAAAATGTTGCAGGCTCGGTTTGATTGAGCCTGTTCATTGACGGTACTGGAAAGTGCAAGTTACCGTCCACACCACCTAGCACCGGCTAAAGCAAAATTCAACATTTTACACGAAAAAGGTGAAATTTTGAATTTAGAAAGTCATTCATGTGACATGCTCTTTAACGTTTCAAGAGTTCACAGTGACAATACTCTCTAACCTGGCTCACGTGGGTCAAGTTAGGAAACCACCATTGCATTCTTTATGAGGAGAAAACATATGTTCCTGTGACTGCCTAGTGTATTTATTTTGAGGACATTTACAGAATAATGAATGAAAAATTCAAAACAAAGACATGAAAATTTTGCCTGTATCTCCCTTTCAAATGCTACGCGCTAAAAATTAATAGAGGAATAAAACAGGCAAAATTTAGTTTGAAATTATGTACGGCAGTATTTATGTGTTTTAAGTCGTGTTAGAATAAATATAATATATCCCAATCAATGATTTTAGGATGGAATGCATCATTATATCACTCGGACGACGCTCTCGTGATATTATTATTCCTCGCATCCACACTCAAAACATTGATTCTGTCGCTTAGTGATTTTATTAAGTGATACAATCACTTTTGAGGGTACACTATTTCTTAAAACAATTAAATTCTGTGCTCGCCTTTGGGGTAAGTCTGTTCTAGAGTTACAATTGACAAGTTCATAAATAGTTTATTATAGAAACATGCACGCAGGCCAATAAGGAGGAAAATTGTTCTTCATTTCAATGACTGTTTAAGGAAAATTGTGTGATTTCCTTAACTTTATAAACTTTAAACTTATAACTTCCTCAACTGAGAGACGACTGAACATTAAAAGTATGCAAAAGTCTATTTTCAATGATTTTGTGTTAGAAATATTTCAATAGTATGTATGCCAAACAATTGACAATATCAATTCTAGACTTAATTTATTTCTTTTTAAGATCAAAAGAATAGGTTTCACACCTGTGCATATTGTTGATAGACCTATTTCTTCTTTGTATATCTTTCCTTTTTTCATATTTTGTTGTTTTAATTTATGCAATTTGTATCTTATTTGATATAGCAGGTAGAATCAAAATAACAATGTCGTAAAAACGCCAAATACTCACAATTGGCATTGGACGTCGTTACTTCAATTTGAAATTTGTGGCAGAGGGGATTTTTTTAAAAATCAATTTGAAATATATGATCTCGTTTCAGGAAACTGTGACACCGTTTGTGACTTGGATCGGGTTGGACCAGAATGTCAATTCAGTATGTATGACTCGTTATATCTAATGCGTCTTTCCCTCTAGCATTAAATAAAAGGTTACATTGTTAAACTCAAAATATTGACATAACGGACTCAAATATATTAAATAATTTTCTGGTCTGGAATAACTTTAATTATTAGTCTATAAGCTAAGAAAGATTACAATAAAATCAATGAAAAGCTAATTATGTTATATTATTAAATAATACTTTTTATGTTATGTATATAAGCTTTTGCACAATGGTAACATACTTGCTTTTGCCAATAACTTGATCTTTTATCGAATGATATACTGGGTTTTCTCACTCACTGAAAAAGTCATACTTATCATCATTCATGTTAGTTTGCATTACAATTGTTTGCACAGCCAGTGCACATCATTAATGCCATTGTCTATAATTGCGTTAGAAAAAAAGGGTTATTTTGTGAACATACTGCAATAAATGCACTTGTACGTTGGAGAAATGTATCATACTACTCAATACAATCACCATAAAAAAATCATCATAAAACATAAAAACGCACTAATTATAATCAATTATGGGTTACAGCGGGTTATCTCTAAAACAGTAGATATTTTCCTCTGAGTATTTTAGTTTATTTTACATGTATTACATACTGCTTTTTCCTTTCAGAAAATATTGCATACAAGAAACAGTCATATCACGACAGTAATACCTATCCACCTCGCTATTCACAATTAGCTAATGATGACAACTTATCAACGTGCAGCTATACGTCTGATAGAAATAATGCTGCACCTTGGTGGAACCTTTGGTTATCGGAGTACACAACAGTCAAGAAACTTGAGTTTGTAACCGTAGACAGTCATTTGAGTAAGTTACCTTCAAAATTATTTTTTGTGACACAAATGTTAAATATATCGCAGTATGTATTATATAAAACCATAAATTGTTCAAATGTGACTGTAAAATTAGCCATATTATAGTCATAATTAATCAAAAATGTAAAGAAAATTTTTTTTTATTTTGCTTTTTTGAATTTAATACTATTATGATACATTATTTTGGATACTTTACAAGAATAATTAATTGTTGTTACATGCAATGATTTTAAGTATGTTTATTTAAAACACATAACATATATGATATATATACAGATTATGTTGAATTATATGCTCGCATATTGAATGGGTAGTTATTAAAATACATCAGACTGTGCTATCATTATACATAACATGCTATAAACCTTGGGACTAAATGAATCTAAAATTTCACTTTATCAGAAACCTTCACTTATTGACCGACATTTTGTTTTAAAATGTGAGCATCGTGAATGATTTGTTTTATATAAAAAACACTTTAGATAAGGTCAAGGACAAAAAACAGAATGGATTTTGTTTTATATTCCCTCAACAATTTTTATTTTTTTTATGCATGTACAATGGGATGACATCATGTTGTGAGACCACGTGTTAAGGAGAAGATTTTTGATATCCAACCATTGTTTAATATTCATGACGGAATATCTTTGTTATGGGACGTCATCCAGCGAAACATTGGTTTAAAGTTTAACGTTTCAAGAATTTAACTAGAAAGTCAAACTGGATCGTATCGAACGCCTTTTTAAAATCTAAATCTATAACATTGAGTAATAAATATGTCTTGTTGATCGGAACACCCGAATGTCGTGATTACTATGAAAATATCTAGATTATTTTGAATGTTTTTCGTGTTTTCAATATTATCTTTGCGCGTACTACATTTTGACTTACATAGTAAGGAGTCAGTTGTTATAAGTATGTTATTTACAAAATTCAAAAAAAACGTTAAAATTTTTAAAAACCCTGTAAAATTTTTTTTGTTGGCCCCAGCAATAAAAAGGGTCATTTTTTAATAATTTATTCTTTATTAAATGTGTAATTTTTTCACATTTTTACTAGTTTGCTTTTCATATATTTCAAATATGGACTTTTACTTTGTTTTTAACATATCTAATAAAGTATTTTGGAAAAAAAGGGAAAAAATCAATGTGGCCCCCCTTGCAGAAATATTGTTGAAGGGGGGTTTTATGATTTTTCATTTCTTTTTTAAAAATTAAAACGATTTATAGTGTTCTCTTTAGTCGTAAGTTCACTAATGAAAATAAAAAATGAGCATAACAAAAACTTTTGTTTCTAAAAGTCACCCCCAATATTGAAATACCCCTTTTTTAATTCATTATCAAAAACAACCTTTTAGTTGCTTTAGACCTTGACTGGCAAAAGACTCTAGAGTCCTAGGTATTTTTATTTGTTAATGACTCTCTATTTCATTGTTTACTATAGGCCATTTCCCTTACTTTGAGGTACTAGTGTACAATACAACTGAATTTAATTCCGAAAAGAAAGGATCAGTGTCAGGAGGACAAGTTTGTTATACTCATAACAGCTCTATACCACAAAGCACAAAGATACACATCACATGTAAAGGATATCCTGTTGGTATCCTCATAAGACTTCAACTTCATAGCAAAAGATATCAACTTGTACTTTGTGATTTTCGATTATACGGAGGTGAAATTTTTATTATTTTTTGAGTATTTCTATCTTTTAACTGTATTAATTTTGTGTTCAATGTAAAAACAGTTATTTATGTTTTACTCGAGTTTGTAAACCTAAAATTATACAAGAAAGATTGTCAGTTATACATTTTTCAAAAGCATGATAATTGAAGTGAATTAATTTTCAAACTTTAAAGCTCTATTTATAATAACTAAAAATAGTTTTTACCACTGACAGACTGTTATAATGGTTTTTATGGAAATGACTGTCAAAAATGCAGCAATAGCTGCAAATCCTGGAGACATCAAAACTGCAATTCAAAAAATGGGCATTGCTTAAAAGGTTGTAAACCTGGTTGGACAGGTGATCTCTGTGAAACAAGTAAGTTCTTTTCAACATATCTACACTTTTTTCCTTATTATTAAAAGGCACTATGCTTTTGTATCTATAATTTCAGTTATAAGTATGAAATCTCTTTTAGACATGAAATGAATCTAAGATTTATTATCTCATAGCAAACATATTTTAGTTATAACTACAAGTATAATAAGATTACCAATGGGGTATAAATTACAATTTAAATTTGTTAACAATTTATCTCAATACCAGAAGTAATGATTTCCAACAAGCATCTGTGTAATGCAGACTTAATTTCCCACTCCCAAAGTACTGCATGCCAAAGTAGTTTATTTTAATATGCAACTGCTGCGCCAACTGACCTATAAAACTGATCAAGTGAGTAATTTTACATCAAAAGAAAGACATGCCAATTAAAACATAAGGCCGTTATGTGCAGGTTAATTTTTATACATTTCAGGGGCGGTGGGCTGAATGTTTTCAAAAATGATATTTTCTATCAAAAAAGATTATTTTATCTAACTATATAGACGTATAATTACTATATACAATTAAGGATAAATATGATATTAAAGCTGCACGCCTTCTGATGAGCCAAACCATTTCACGAAATTGAAAATTGAGAAAAATTGTACTCAAATTTTAAGAAAGATAATTAAAATCAAGATCCAAGTTAAAGTGTTATGTGCGGTTTAAGACTGATTTTGCAGAATTTTATTACCATATTTCTACTGCATTACTTACGAAGTAATGGCTGGTTTTTGCATATGTTGACGACTTTTTGGTAATTTTCTCTCATTGTTAGTGCCGATTGCAATATGTTAAATGCGTTATTTCTTCACCTCATAATATTTTACTATTAAATTCATTTCCAAAATTTTCATGAACATCAACATGAATCTAGAGGCGTGCTGCTTTATTTAGAAACAATCCTCGCACCTTGCAGTACTTTAACAGACATTCAGCTCATTTGTCTTGTTAATAATGATAAATAGTCCCGTTAATATCAAGAACAAGAAAAGTATCCAAAATGAGTTTACTTTATATAATCAAAGCAAAGGGTGATAATGATGCAAATACGGAAAATTAAGAAGGTAAATTCATTTAGAGATTACTATTATTACGCATGTTTTCAACATGATAGTATATTGTTTTAAAGGTTATAACTTCAATATTTTATTTGAGATAAAAAATCAAAATCATTAACTTGTATCAATCAAAACATGTAAGCTTTTACTTATAAACGACTTCGCGGAAATATGCCAACTGAGAAATGAGCAATTTTAAAAAGAGCACGAAATATATCTAAACATAAAGTAACACAGGACAATGCGCAGTAATACTAAATAATGCTTTCATCTCAGGATGATAATGCCGTTTTTATGGAAATTTAAATAGGCATCAGTCACAAGAGCTATTATAACAATATCATATGCGTTCAACATGAACTTATGATGTTTTAAAGATTATCACTTTGGTATATAACTTTGGATAACATATCAAATTAATTAATTTGTATAGAGGAACAAAAACTTATTACGATTCAAGAAATGATGACTGCCCTGTGTTATTTTTACAACCTGATAATTAATTAAGTTTGCGATTTTTACAGAATGTGAAAATGACATGTGGGGTCAAGATTGTCTAGGAAAGTGTGGTAAATGTGATAATTTAACGTGTGATCATATTACAGCGAAGTGTCCACGAGGGTGTTTTGCTGGTTTCAAACCACCTTACTGTACTAGAGGTATCACATTTAAATGTTTTAATTTATTCTAACTCGAGTTTGTATCTATTATTTGAATTGTCAATATGACCACAATCTGAATGTTTGTTTTATTATATGCTTTAGAACAATAGTTTCACTTCCAGCTACTTATTCTGATCGTTACATATTTTGTGTGCAAATAATGATATTTCATAAAATTTGTACCTACGTGTACTACAGGTGTTATATTTTAAGAATGGTTTGATCAACTATTATTGCATTTCAAACCTTTTCATTCACAATTAGACCGATGAATCAGTTCAAATACATGTGTTTAACTTTCCAAAACTTTTGATATGCTTTATGTATGTAAATTCAAATATTTTAAAAGCAATATCCAGCTAATTATTAGTATTGCTAATCATTTTTAGCCCGTCTGGTTTCCGCAGAAAAAATGTAGAGGCATGATTACAGTGAATGCGGCATTCCCGTTGCCGTCCGCAAACTTTAACCATGATCATATTTTTTTAAGTTGTTGATAATTTGTCAGCTTCCTTGGCAACAAATATCCTTGGGACAAGACCTTTAAGTATACCAAACTAATCTTCATTGATAATGATAAATAACCATGTCTTACAAGGTCAAATGTCGAAATTTTGCTTGATCTTTGCTTACTATTTATATTAGTGGCTACTTTATTATTTTGAATAGATTGTCTTCAAACTTGAAAACAACAATCTTTTAGGAAGACTTTCAAATTAATAAGACAGACATTTACACGTATTCTTCCATTTTATCTGCTGTAACTGGTTATACTTTGATATTAAAGGATTGACTTTATATAATGATTTTTTTTTCAGGATAGGACCTTCATGTGTACTCAAACCAAATTGACCTTTGACACTGACCTCTAAGGTTAAATTATTGAATTTTCACTGATTTATGCTTTACAAATATATTGAATAATTTAAATTTCACTTTGACCTTAAATTGACCTATACCGTCAATGTCAAATAAACTAAATTATCTTGCTTTTGCCCCTGTAAATGGCTATAACTTTGTCGTATATAAGTGGCTTAACTTTTTTTTTTGACACAGCAACATTTTGGTATATAAAATTCAAATAACCTTGCTTATTGTCTGACTTTCATCTAGATGGTCATATTGAATCATCGCCGATTATTGCTATAATTGACTATAATTTGGTTATTTTTCAAGGGTTATCTTCAAACCCGGATAAGTCAATCTTTTTTACAAGACTTTCTTGAGAATTGAACTGGCATTTACTTTGAGCTTTAAATAACATAATAGATTTGATATATACTTGTAAAAACTAGACTATCACCAAACAAACACAATGGATAATCTAAATGTCACTTTGACCTTTAATTGACCTTGACAATCAAGGTCAAATTAACAAAATTCTCTTGTTTTTTCTGTAAATGACTATAACTTTGTTGTTTATAAATGAATTAACTTTATATTTATTCGCCATAAGCATTGTAAAATGCTTGATGCAATAAAGATATTAAATTGAATTGAATCTTTATATTTAGAAACAGCAGAGGTCAGATCCTTCATGTATATTTAAATTGACCTTACCTCAGGCTGACTTTGATCTAGAAGGTCAAAGTATTGAATCTTCTCTGATTATTGCTATAATTGGCGGTTACTTGGTAATTAATCACTGGATTATCTTCATAATTGGACAAAACAAACTTTTGGATAAAACTCTTCAAAAGGTTGAACTGACATCGACCTAGGCTTTAAATGCCCTTGACCGTTGAGGTCAAATAATTCAATAGATAACACAATTATTCACATATTTATCATATCTTATGTTGAATCAGATTGGTAATTCCATTTATAAACGATCTATATAAAGACTTGAAAACAATGTTCAGATAAATTAAATGACGGAATATAAAGGTAATAGCTATATGAAGGTAACAGCTTGATTACCTAACAGTTTCAAGTAATAAATATTTAAAACTTTGAACCAAATGAGGAGTAAATTTGTACCTGAGGAGTTATGTTTTGGATTGTCACAAGACTATTCTTAATAGTTTTTTACCATAAACATATCAGGAAAATCAATGACCCCCATGGGGCTGAGTCAATTTGACGCTAGGGATTTTATTTGAACAAACTTGATAGACATCTATTAGAAGATGTTTCATGCCAAACATCTAAGCTCTACCTCTTTTGGATTTTCACAAGAAGGTTTTTTTAAGTTTGAACTATGTACTTATAACGAAAATCAATGACCACTGGGCGGGGCCAATTTTGACCCTATGGCTTTTATTTGAACAAACTTGGTAGCTATCTACTAGAAGATATTTCATGCCAAATATCTAAGCTCTAGCTTTTATCTTTTTTAAATTAAGATTTTTGTTAAAAAATCTTTTGGTTGCCATGGCACTGGAGTTCTTCATGAAATTCAATTCTTTAAACAACTGTGGTAGAGATTCATGAAAGAAACATCCCTGGAAAGTTTCAACAAATTTTGCCATGTAGTTTAAGAGGAGAAGTTGTTTAAAGAAATGTTTGATACACGTACGGTCCCAGGGACGATGGCCAACGACCGACGGACTATGGGCCATCACAAAAACTCACCTTGAGGACCTTGTCCTCAGGTGAGCTAAAAAGTGCATGACACAAAATTAGCTTCTGATATCTGCCTCTTGTCACGATAAACAAGTATTCTAGGTATCATATTTTATATACCTTTAGAAAAGAATCAGTAATGGGCTACACTATAATTTCGAATCTTTATTCGGAATAATCGATTTAAAAATCTGTTTTAAAGACGAAAACGTCAAACATTTGCATTTAACATGAATTCAAATATGTGTTAATTAACATGTAGAATTGATTTGTTTTATTATATGATACTTCTACGTTCTCAAAAGTCTGTGATAATTTTATATTGTTAAATGCAGATTGACAAATAATTGTTTTCTCTCAGAATGTGACGACGGATTCTTTGGCAAAAACTGTCAGGATAGATGCAACAACAACTGTTTAACGCAAAAGGCGAGTGCATTGTGCGATAAAATGAACGGCACATGCTTAAATGGTTGCAAAGCTGGATATCAAGGATCACAATGTTCCATTAGTATGCTGTTTCAATTTAATTTTGAAATTTATCAAGCTGTATAATGTATAGTAATATACTAATAATCATGGTTAGATCATTTATTTTAAAACCAAGCTAGATGGTCTGTTGATGTCTGTTTATGATTGGTACGAGAAACTTTTTGATGTGAGTCTTTAGTAAAATAGAAAATACAGAATATCTAAAGAACACCTAAGACAGAATTGAAGATCATGGCCTGAGGTGGTACGTGTGAGCAATCGTTCGTTCCCCTAGCACTTGCTTAAGCAGAATTCCACATTTCAAACACAATACACTTTCAAAATAATGTGCGATATTCATAATGCGTGACTTTGTTTACATAAATGCTGCTTTAAAAATATTCAATCTAGTTAAAGTACAGTCCAATATAATACCTTTCCTCTTTTTTATACCTTTTGTGTAAAAGAGTTAACATATTTACAGAATGTGACGATGGTAAATGGGGCATAAACTGTACAAATGATTGTGGGAAATGTTTAACCTCACCATGTAACCAAGTGAATGGATATTGCCCATATGGATGTGCTGTTGGTTATAAGAAGACATGGGATTGCCTCACTAGTATTTTTATTAAAGATGTATTAGAGTGTAAAGCAATAAATGTGTATATGAAATCATTCGAATATATCATAAAATTGTGGTAATATTCCAACCGAGTAACGAATCTGAAATTAGATTTTGAACATTTCAATGCTGTTTAGGATCGATTTTATGCTTCCCGGAGCGAGAGCATATAGTCGCCACTTCGTCCGTCTGTCCGTCCGATGTGCTTGTCCGGAACATGATTTGAAAACCCTTGGACATAATTTGTTTACGGCTTACATTGGCAGAGGGCATAAAGACGGAGTGCAATGCCAAAGAACCATAACTCTATTTCTCCCGGTTTTGAATTATCTTCTTTGTTAGAAAACCTTGTCTGGAACATAACCTGAAAACCCTTGGACAAAATTTGTTTAAACTTCACACAGTGGAAGAGGACATTTAGACAGAGTACAGTGCAACAGATCTATAACTCTATTTTTCCCAGTTTTTGAATTATCTCCCTTTTATAAAAACCTATTTGGACCATAACCTGAAAACCCTTTCACATAAATTGTTTTAACTGCACACAGTGGTAAAGGGCATTAGGCCAAAGAACTTTATCTCTGTTTTTGCCCCGTTTTAGAATTATCTCCCCTTAAAAAAACTCTTGTCCGCTGCATAAACTGAAAACCCTTAGAAGTAATTTGTTTAAACTGCACACAGTGATAAATGTCATTCAGGCAGAATACAGTGCCAAAGAACCAACACTCTATTTTGCCCCGTTTTAGAATTATCTCCCCTTTAAAAAAAACTTGTTCGGGGCATAACCTGAAACCATTGGCCATAACTGGATTAAACTGTACACGGTGGTAGAGGACATTCAGGCGGATTGCAGTGCCAAAGAAAAGTCTTATCTGAAACAAAACGTGAAAACCCTTTACTGCACAAAGTGGTATAGGGTATAAAGACTTAAAATGCTTCGTTTCACGGTTAAAAACGTTTTGTTTATATTTAGATAAATATTTATATATTATACTTGTGGTATTAAAACAATGTTTAAATTGGCATTTCCTTTTTTCAAGAATGCGAAGATGGAACATACGGTAATTCCTGTCTATTCAACTGCAGTGACAACTGCAAAGGAATTTGTAATAGAATTAACGGGACGTGTGATCAGTGCCGTCAATTTTGGACGGGGCATTTCTGTGAAAAGGGTAACTTAAGTTCACTTTTGCTGTTGTTTCTTTTTACAATGAGAATTAAGAAATTATAGTCTAGACATATCTAATGTATTTACAGCATGATAGGCTAACAATTTTCATTGGATATTTTAAAATCGTTCTGTTATGCAGACAAGAAGTGATGTCGTTGAAGTCAACAATTAAAAATACGCAAAACATGATGATAACCTGTTCCTTCAAAATTGTTCAAATGCATAACGTTGTGCCCCTTTCTCACTGTCATGTACTTATACAAAGCAAGCAACGTGAAACATATTTTATTGAGAATACATTAATAATAATAATAATAATAATAATAATAATAATGATAATAATAATAATAATGATTATAAAATAATCCTAAAATATTTGAATAATAATAATAATAATACTGCTGCTGCTGCTGCTGCTAGCTTTTGCTGCTGCTGCTGATGATGATGATATAAATAAAGTTATTTAGTCGTTATTTATGGAATATACACTGCCGAGGAGTAAATACTACTTTAACCCATGGACTATAAGAAAGCATACAAAAACTTGCTTTTCTGTAGGTATTAAGACTGTAGATGCTCCTCTCGCTTGATTGCATATAAATGTTATTTTATATATTTTTCTTCGAAGATTTATTTTTTTATTTACACATATGATAAGAAGCATAAAATTCTGTCATTTGCTGATGAAGATATCACATAACATACTTAATCAAAATATCAAAACTTTTTGATAAATTCAGTATTTGTGATTGTGTTTAAAATATACAGTTTCAGACAAGATTTTAAGTGACACAGAAGTGTTAGCAAGATATCAAGAAATACTAAATCTGAAAATAGTATTGATATGTGTCGGAATCCTTTGTGCCATTCTTGTTGTGTACGCTACTGTAATAACTGTCTTGTTTAAACGTAAGACGAAACAAAAAGGTGAGTTTGTATTCTTTAAGTCACTACATATAACATTTAATCTGTAAGAAGAAGAATAATATTATTTGAAAAATAGAAATTAAATGAAAATTATCTTCGTGTTTGAATTATATAAAAACTTATACATGTATATACATTATTTGTAATTAATTGAAATTTCATCATGAAAGTGAAACTCAAATTTCGTTAAATGTTTTAAAGAATATCATATGAATGCATTGAAATTATTTCATCAAATAAAAAGCGACACATATGATTATATGAGCATTGTTTTCAATATTTTCAAAACATTAATTTCCTTATTTATTGAATTCATTTTAAAGAAAAAGAAGAGACTGGTAGTAGTTTCAGCGGAAGGTAAATCTAGTGTCATAATACTATTATATTAATGAGTGATTTAATTATAGATTGTCCAGCTATAACCTGATATTACATAAAATTTGTCTTTGATATTGAATTTTTTACATGGTGTTAAATGAAAATAAGGTATTGGATAACATATGAATATTAAAATATTTCCACCTTTAAAATTGTAACATATCTAATATGATCGAATATGTAAGATGCATTGAATATGCAAAAGGTTGATTCCGTTTTTTAACAAAAAGGACAATAATTTGTTGCTGTTGCCATTTTCCCTTTTTATTATATGCCCGAAAGAATTTCTGGCATATTATGTTATACCCCCGGGCGTCTGTCCGTCCGTTCGTCTGTCTATCCGTCCGTCCGTCTGTCCGTCCGTCCGTTAGCAATTTGGTTTCCGGAGCATAACTTAAGTTCCATTTGGCCCACAACATTCAAACTTCATAGGATGATTGTCCATATTGAGTAGAAGACCCCTATTGATTTTGGGGTCACAAGGTCAAAGGTCAAGGTCATTATGACCCTAAAACTGAAAACAGTTTCCGGAGCATAACTTAAGTTCCATTTGGCCCACAGTGTTCAAACTTCATAGGATGATTGTCCATATTGGGTAGAAGACCGCTATTGATTTTGGGGTCACAAGGTCAAAGGTCAAGGTCACTATGACCTTAAAACTGAAAACAGTTTCCGGAGCATAACTTAAGGTCCATTTGGCCGACAGTGTTCAAACTTCATAGGATGATTGTCCATTTTGGGTAGAAGGCCCCTATTGATTTTTGGGTCACAAGGTCAAAGGTCAAGGTCACTATGACCTTAAAACTGAAAACAGTTTCCGGAGCATAACTTAAGTTCCATTTTGCCGACAGTATTAAAACTTCATAGGATGATTGTCCATATTGGGTAGAAGACCCCTATTTATTTTGGGGTCACAAGGTCAAAGGTCAAGGTCACTATGACCTTAAAACTGAAAACAGTTTCCGGAACATAACTTAAGTTCCATTTGGCTGACAGTGTTCAAACTTCATAGGATGATTGTCCATATTGGGTAGGAGACCCCTATTGATTTTGGGGTCACAAGGTCAAAAGTCAAGGTCACTATGACCTTAACTCTGAAAACAGTTTCCGGAACATAACTTAAGTTCCATTTGGCTGACAGTGTTCAAACTTCATAGGATGATTGTCCATATTGGGTAGGAGACCCCTATTGATTTTGGGGTCACAAGGTCAAAGGTCATGGTCACTATTACTTTAAAACCGAAAACAGTTTCCGGAGCATAACTTAAGGTCTATTTGTCCCACAATATTCAAACTTCAGAGGATGATTGTCTATATTGGGTAGAACACCCCTATTGATTTTGGGTCACAATGTCAAAGGTCAAGGTCACTATTACTGTAAAACTGAAAAAAGTTTCCAGAACATAACTTACTTTCTATTTGGCCCATAGTGTTGAAACTTCATAGGATGATTGTCCATATTGGGTAGAAGACCCCTATTGATTTTGGGGTCGCACGGTCAAAGTTCAAGGTAGCTATTACCTCAAAACTAAAAACAGTTTCCAGAGCATAACTGAAGTTCCATTTGGCCCACAATATTCAAACTTTATAGGAGGATTGCTTTTTGAAGGAGGTAATACTTTATTTAATTTATGTAATGTCTTACAAATGCTTCATCCTTAGTAAAGAAAAAAAACACTTTCGGGCATATAATGCTCCGCCTAGCGGTGCTCTTGTTTTAATATTGGTTTGCTTTAACTCATAACAAAGTTCAAAGACTTGTATTAACAACTTATTATCAATATTGAATTAACTATAATAGTAGTATTGACTTGTTCAATGTTTATAGGACCCATGGTGATTCTAATGAAAATAAAACGAATAAAACAGAAACTGTTACAAATGAAGCAGCAACAGAAGTAGTCACTGAACTAGCGAGAGTAAATATAAATGCCATTGACGATGAATTGCATCAATATACTGAACCCACTCCTGATACAGAAGATGTTGAAGCAACATATGAAACTATTCAACTTGAATGACAATTACTTAATTAAAAGTGGTGAATACGTGTCTTTCAAAATTGTATTCTAATTTTCTATCAAAAACTATCATGATAATATAATATTCAATTTTGTTGTTAAAACTACTATGTGTTTTGCATTAGATATGAAAAACAAGATCAACAAGGAAAAGTTTTGTTTATAGGTGTGAAATTCTGAAAATGTATCGTGTAACAACTTTTGCTGTGTTAACATTCTAGGACGGAACTTTTATTTCAAACATCGAGTCAGATAATAGTAATGGTATATTTTAATTTGTTATGTATATAATAAGTGTGTGTCAGTATGTACAATCTCAAGTTAACGAAAAGTATTCTGCTATTATTCGTATTTGATTAATACGGAATTGCTTTTGAAACTGTTTTATATGTGAAGAAGACGTCATTACATGCTGTCTATCCATTAAAATATGATATTTATCGATTCTCTTAACTGATTGATATCCTATGCTTGGATTTGATTACATCTTCATTATATCTTATATACTTTGAAAATTATATTTTCTATTTTTAAGTGTATGTTACATAGAAACCTTGTTTCCTACATAAAAGTATATGTATATAGTACCTGATCTACAAATACTTTAGTTCAATGTTATTTTTTAATTCATATAAGGATAGCATCATACTTATTTTTATGTAACATCTCCCACAACTGCATTGGCTTTAGGTGTCTATTCATATAGACGTTCAAAATTTTGCAGTCGCTGCCAGATAAAATAAAACATCTTTTGAAAAAAATATGATTTTAGTTTACAATGAAGTATTCAATATACGCTTTGTATGTCCTTTGCAATTATCAACTATTTCGGGGATAGATCTCACCTTTTCTGGATAGCCATTTCAAGAGTCATGTCAAATTTCATTTATTAGAAAAGATTATTTCAATTTTAAAGCTTTAATGTATTATGCTTAACAATATATTTGAGTGTAATAATATAAATCTAGTGTAAATGTATTTACCAAAGTTCTTTTGAAAAGGCATACTTTTTCATTTTACTAGACATTTTTTTACCACATTTCTATAAAGAAGTTGTGTTTTTAAGAAATTGATTTAATATTGATTATAATAATCTAACATGATATGCATTTGAAAGTAGGAATGACATTTTTCTTTTAATTTTTGAATGTATTACACTTTGTATCAGCAACCCATCCTTAATTCACTAGTAAAACCCGTTTACCATTAGGTCTTGTCACCACTTTAAAACAGTATTCATATGTAAATATAATTTGTTATCTTCACAAACCCCTTATGATATTTAATAAATATATACATTCTACTGTTTTTTTTTCTGTGAACGAATATGAATGTTACCTTGCTTACATTCATCCATGTTATTTTCAGGATATTCTGAAAGTATTGAATGAATCAATAAATGAATGAAAAATAAATATATATAAATGAATAAATACAGGAAGGAAGTAAGAAAGAAATGAATGAATCAATACAGTTTGCTGCTTATGTGTCCAGTCGTATGATAAATTGTTTGGATTACTGCAGCAACTTGGTCTATGTAAATGTTTCGAGATTAATGCACTCTTAGTCTGTCGTAGTCAGCCATTCCTTGTTAAATGATTGATTTTGTTTCTCATTAACAAAATACATGTTGACATTAACCATACTTTAGATGTAAGTAACGTTATAAATGTTATTTAAAAACGTGACTTATTAAATGATATTGTGATTTGTCCTATTATTATATCTTATCAGCCGAATACGCAGCAGTATATCCGTCGAATACGCAGCTTATCAGTTACATATGTAGCAGTTTGTCGGTCACAAATGTACCAGCTTATCAACCACATACAAAGCATATCCGAAGCATTTTTGTTAGTTACAAAGCAGTGTATATTCACATATAAAGTAGCTAGAAAAATATATACATGTAGCAGTATTAGAGTTACGTAAGTAGCAGAAGCAGTATGCATGTTATGTATCTTCTACTGATACGGTAAGTCATACACTTGCAATATCAGCCATATATGTAGAAGTTTGTCAGACAAATATGTGCATTTTTAGCCATATCTGCAAAAAATTTTCAGCCGCATTTGTTCGTATATCAGTCGCATAGCAGTATGACAGTTATGACAGCAACATATGTAGCAGTGTCTCAGACACAAATGGTAGCAGTATGCTTGCACACGTGTAGCAGTTATACATATGACCTTCCATCTTTTATAAGAAGCTTAGATTAAATAAAAACACTGTCATTGTTGATATACGAGTATATGTTATAACACGTTTAACACTGTTGTCTTAAACATGTTGATTCAGCTCTTCTCATATCCGAGTTGTCCTTTACTTTTGCGAGAATCTATGCATATTAACCGCAGTGTTATGACAAACATGGATATATAAGATCATTGAAAAAAAGACATATACAAGTGTCATGAACAGTCATATGGTGACACAAATGATTAAAGTAAATGCATGGTACAAATTATGATGAAAAATTGACTATCATAATGATTGAATCATATTTAACCCATTACTTCATGAGCATTTTGTGAAAAATGGCTTTTTTCATTGAAAAGTCTCCCGTTACAAGTTCAATTTGCTATAATACTATAAAAACTGCTTCAACACTAATCAAACTTGGCACAAATGTTAACTGGACCATTGCCCTTGCAACAACATGCTCAGGCTTAAATTTTCTGTTACCATGGCAACGAGGGGACATCTCAAAATTGCCAAAAATCACTATTTTGCATTGATTTTTTCCATCAAAATTGATTTCAAAGTGCTGCAACTTCTCAATGGATTGAGATAGAGTCAAATGCTTTTCAGCGTTGGTTACACATTACCTTATGATCAATCTGGGGTCATTTATAGCCTCTCACAAGTCCAAAATTTTCTTGGCGATGAGGGGCACTCCGCCCCCCCTTCAAACCCCACAAACAGAAGGGGGCACATCCCCCTTCTGTCAACCCCCTGATGTATCTTTTGGTTGGGGGGCCGCGCCGAAAAAGAGGTCACTTTTTTTAACAACATTTCTCAAACAAAAACAAGTGTTGGGGGCCTAAATAAGGCACTTTTTCACCATTTGAGACAACAAAAAGGGGGGGGGGGTGAAAAAGGCGTTAAAAGGCGTGTATATGACGTAATGGGTTAAATTCAAATGCTCATATATGTTATAACCTACACTTTGTAAGTGTTACGTTTCTGTAGCCATTGTCGACGTAACAAATCATAAATAATTGAAGTAGGTTCAAGGGCTTTATTAGTAATATATTTTCAATATTAGAAGAAAGTAGCATCTTGAAGGTAAAATTCTTTTTAGCAAAACAATCTTATTATTTACAATTTCGTTTGCAAAATTACTTCAAGACTTTAGATATTGTCATCAAGACTTTAGATATTGTCATTCTTCTGTAATATGTCGTCAAGCTAAATAACGTCATAAACATTTGACAGCTTTCTATTAGTTTCGGAATTTATGTAAAATAAGTTTTAAAGAGCAATAATTTAAATGACGTCTTAAACATTACACAGCCCTCTATTTGTTTTGAAAATAATAAAAAGAAATATATAAAGAACATATCAGTAACAGGATACTTCATTTAAGAAACTGTAAACAACATTAAGCTAAATGACGTCTTAAACATTACACATCTCTCTATTTGTTTTGAAAATAATATAAAGAAATATAAAAGCACATATCGATCAGTAACGGAGTACTTCATTTTGTCACAGAACACATGAAATGCAATCTATAACCAAAAGTGATATTTTAACAATTGAGAACATTTAAGCGCACGTTTGATTAAAATTTAAATAATAGAGAAAAAAATATTAGAGCTGCATTTTAGACAGTGTGTAATTTAACTTAAATCCTATAATTCTTAAGTTCTGTGTACCTTTTAATAGTATTGTTGTTAATCTGATTGGTCAAATATTTTTCAGAAATTATGCTTTCAAAAGAAACACAAATCCCACGGTAACACTGAAGTTTTAAATACTAACAAATACTTTAAGTAAGTGATGTATGTAACTTTGATAACTACATTAATATGAGCGTAACAGAACAATATTGACATGCCGTAACTCAGCTGCGCATTAAGAAAGCTTTTTGAAAACCTTCAATAAATGTTCCATGCAACTTCATTCAAAGCGAACCTACATAATGCTATATTGATAATAATGATGTAATGCCTTGCATTACCAGGTTTGTTTTATTTAATATGTATTTTTTTGTTGTTGATAATTACAGCGCTGATTCATAATGCTGTAATGTCATGTTTACACAACTTATATAGAAATATTACCGGGAAAAATACTGTTTACACCCGCATTGTTATGTGTAACTAAATCATAATTGTCTGACTTAATTAAATTGTGAGTGTTTGTATCGAAAATTTCTCAATACGATTTTGAGGTCATCAGAGTTTTTTCACCTTAGAACAGTAAAAATACGAAATGTCAATATTATCTATCGTTGTAAATTATAAGAGAATTATCTTTATGACTTGTTTGCATAAATGATTTATTTATATTCTGTGTAATTAACACGTAAATCTATAAATTTGCTGTCCGTGGTCCGGCATTGTACATTGCAAGTTTCAGCGGAAGTAGGTCACGCATGCGCTATAAGACTCTCCAATTGCCCTCATTTGACATGTAAACAAACAGTTTATTTTTAGAACGAAATTTTTATTTGTTTTACGTCCTGTTATTTGGCAAGTTTTGTGGGTAGAATTGTTCCCAATGGTTGTAAATAAAATAATATTGCATATATTTTATTCGGTAAAATCCGTGGCGTCTCCTCCTGATTTCCTCACGGAACTGAGGATTCGTGAGTTTTCTTGAGGAAACGCCCCTATAAATACGGAAGTTTTAGCGTTCTTCACTCAACTCCGTGACCAGCAGTCAGTTGACGTAGATCCATTCATATTGCTGAAACCAGACTTTGATATACTTGGAAAATCAGTCTATGTACATATTCCTTGTGAAGATTTTGTAGACTAATAGCCTATTACGAACAGATTTGACCATTTTAGTCCTTATTATCGGGGAACGGCATCATCGATTACCCTCCAGGCTTTCCAGAATTCGTCGTTATTTTGTTAATATATATATTTATGAAATCGTTGAGAATGTTTTATATATGAACCAAATAAAAGTGGTTGAAACGTTAATATGTTTTGAGTTTGATTGCAGCATACGGAATTCTACCCAGTTCTTGAACTCTGTCAATGGCATCGTTCCTGTCTGCTCCATGCTACCACAATTAATTATTTATGCAGATAGGATAGGTGTTACAATAAAATTAACCATAAACTTCTCACATTCACCAAGGCAAACCTTTTGGTTCTTTTCAATTCGGAAAAAAAAGTTTCTTTTGAGAATATGTAATAGTTCAAAATTTAACCCATCAAAAACAAATATTAGGGAAATGTTAACGAAGACAAAGTAAGTTTAAAGAAAGTACTTATTTTATGTTTGACAAATGTTTAACTTCAAATTCAGGGCATATTTTATAACATTGACAATTATTTTCACCGATGTACCTTAAACATAATGCAATTCCGACAACTCTTTGAAGTCAAACATAGGTTACATCAATGCTGCATTCCCTTGTCTGCAATAAGGAAAAATATCGAGGAGGAGGAGGAGGAGGAAGATATTGCTTTGTTTTACATTTGTAACTTATGTTTTGACGTATACAACTTGTTTCGTGTTAACGTAAACAAGTATTTCATTAACATATGTTTTCCAATAAAATACACGTTGCTTCCTAGAAATACATAAGAAGATGCCATTGTATGTTAATAAGTTGTTGTTGCCGTTTCTTCGTTGTATTGTTTATTGCAATTATATATAGATTTATTTCTTTTCCTTTCTATTATTTGGTTTCTTTTATTTCGTTACCGGTATCTTATAAATTTGTACAATGAATATATTTTATGCGGAGCAATGCCCAAGTGTCTCAAATATAGATGTTCAAATGATGAAATATGTGGATATTTATTTACGGTCGAGATAGGACTAAATATTTTGCTAACATCGGCTTAGAAACAACCAAACAAACAAAGAGTTTTAAAAGTAATATTTCAACCGAAATAAGCAATAGGTGAAAACAAGATTACTGTGGTTTTAGTTTCGAAATGATAGGTATTAAATTACCTCGTTAATTTGAGAATAAACTGTTAAAAATGGATGACATTCCTTTCGAAAATTATTTCACAATTAAAGTTATCAAATTGACAAAAATACTTCGTAAAGTGTTTGAGTAATTTACCTTGGTATAGGATTCTTTAATTAAAGGAAGTTCAAATCA